GAATACATATATCCTGCCCGGGTATTGTGTCTTCTTTCGTCTCCAGGGAGTCTCGGGACGCTACACATAAGTTATTGCTACAATGGCTTCAAGAATATCAAGTTTGGGTCCTAAACAAAAGTCTCAAGGCTAAGCACTAATTTTACTGGAAAAACAAAGTGAAAATTTCTAAACCTGTATTAGTTTAAGGATACGCCAATGGTAATGCTTGCGCAAATGGATGCAGCGGCCAGTACACCCGAAACTGGTGCCAAAGCAGACGCTCCCCCACTTTTCCCAAATCCTGTGCCCTGTTCATCACCAATACAGTTTGCCTTCACCTAATCAGCTTATTCGTTTCGTGGGAATGAAGGACCATATCAAAATAATAGGCTTGGAATGTTTTATCAAAATTGGCGAAGTTTTTACGCCCTTATTACAAGAACATTCTCTCCACTGTTTTTAAATTTGGTAAGTGATTTGTCAAACTAAAATTTAATATCTTTCGTATACTAATTAATTTCATCCTGACGGCCTCAGAGCACTGGCGCCACCTTTCAATCTACGCTGTACCGTGAGTCGCGTGGTTATGTTGTGCGGACTAAAGTTGGTGTCCATCTTGTGTTTTTTTCCATGTTTGGTTTATGCAAGTTTGTGGGCTTGCTTCACTAATCCGGTTCATTTCTATTTATTCTGCATTATTGGACTGCTGTGTTGTTGACTATTTCTGCTGGCTTGCAGTTGTTGCGTTGCAATCTTTGGTCACAGCATCGGCTTTGGTTTTATGTTTGGTTGAGATCTTAAATATGATTAGAGGCGTCATAATATTCCTTCTGAGACAAATCTTTCAGGTGTTTTTGTATATTTCGTGCCCTTGCTTATAACCACCTATCTTGGATTTTTAAAACCCTAATTTGCTGTTGCCAATCAACCAATTCATGTCTGCATTATATACGATAAGCTTGTGAAAACTGAGAATCTAACTGACCTAACATCTACAGTTTTGGGTCCAGTTGTTATACTTCGACTTTACGAAATCTCATATAACTACGGCATCTTTACTGCACTTAGCGACTTACGGTGGCATTAGGATTGAACTACCGCTTAAATTTATCGGCAGCGCTGTTTATTTGACATGCTTCAGGGCCGGGATGAATTCAGAAGCGGATGAAAGTCCAGTCTTATCGGACGATAATGCGGAGTTCCTGCCTGATGGAACTTCTAGGCTGAGTTTTCGTCAACTTTTTCTGTTTGCCATTGATCACGTTTCCAACGAACCATGTTTTGCTAACTTGTTTAGTAACGATGATACCGATTTAATCGACAAATTGATTCATTTATCTGGTAAGACCTCAACAAAAGTTATGGGATTTAGAAAATTCGCAGATACTATACCTCAATCTATTTCGAAGATCACGGAAATTGTTCCGGTCAAAAACATTTCGTCTTCCGCATGAAATCAACGGCGAGAACATTGAGTCCCTTTGCACGGAACTCACGGAAAATGGATTCATATCGTTTGGTTATTAGTATTGGTTTCTTATTTTGGTTAGACGTCGACTGTTTTTCTGACACAGAACTGCTGTATATGCTTGGGAAAAATGATCTTGTAAACCTAGCTGCGTTGTTCAAGCTTCCCGTGAAGAACTCTGGGAGGAGGGCAATTATTAACGCCCTTCTCAGATCATCTCGTCATCCTTCTCTGCTGAATTTTTTTACATCGCCACGATCGGTCAATAAAAGTCGACTACGTGCTTTGTATGCCTCCATATGATTAACCGTTTTACAATGTTTAAATTGATATTTTGGTAACTAACCTAATCAAACGCATTTTTTGCCCTTCAACAGAACAGAGCGTTCCCTTGGACCCTGTTTTTCTGTTGTAAAAGCCTATGCGGATGTTCTCTCACAAACGCTTCTCTGTTTCTCGTTGACATGGATGAAACCTTTCGCCTTTACCCGCACCATTTCTTTAAAAGCAGTTCTTTGCAACCATATGTAATTTTTAGTATCGCTTAATCTGAAAATGGTGGTTCAGATACGAAATCAGGCGGATGCGTTCTGGAGCTGTCTCATTTCCCGCTTATGCAATCTGTAGGAAGTCTATCATATTGAGGAATAGGGAAGAGCTATCCAAGTAAGCTCGAAAACATCCGTATCTAGTATCCCTGTAGGTTTTTCGAGTTATGGAATTTTCGGCAACAATTGGACTGGCTGACGATGAGGTCGAAACTCGCACAGGCCTATGAACACTTTCAGAAGGATCTTGATCTCCTTAGAACTGTCATTGAAAAGTTTGTTGTGATTATGTTTTCTAGACTATTGTATGTATCACATGTTTAATGAGGTCTAGTCCTTTTTTGTAGTCCAACCTTCCATCGCGGCGATCTTCCTCGCTTTCTGCAAAGATTTGCCCTACCCGGTCTTGCGGTTCGCCTTGTTCGAATTGGTGTGGAGATTTGCGAGCGCCTTCGTAAATACCATGAGGCTGTGGAACTGATTCTCATTGTATTATCCTCGGATTTATTGACGAGTACCAGCTGCAGAACAGTGTACTTTTTCGTCAAACGTCTTCTGCTTGATCAAGGTACCCACTATAGCGACCCTGTTGCCTGTTTAAAGAAAGTTGAGAGCCTCCTTCCCATACTACGAGGCTTACATCCGGGGCATCGACTGGAAATTCAAAGACAAATCGGACGTCTGATAGGAGAAAAGTCGGACAATGAGTTGTCGCACTTTTGGCGGGGGAAGAATGAAAGTTCACGAAGCTCGAAACGGGACGGGGATTCAAGTCTCAAGGAGGAGATCATGGCCGATATTCCGTTGGATAATATGAAGGAACTAAAAAATGAATTATTGTCAAGGTTAAAATGTGCGTCTGTGGTGAGCGCATTGTTTGGATGTGACCTATACCTATACTACTGTTATGAGCTACTGGTGCCTAATTAAGTAGTACATCAAACGTAAAGTTTACTCGGATACGACATCAAATGGTAAATTATTATTTTATCATCGAATTTTAAAACTCAAAATATGTTTGGGTTCTCCAAGGTGAACCTTTCGGCCCCTACATCCGCTTCCTCCATGGACATTGGCGCAAATCGTCCATTCTACCTCTGGATGGAGCTCGATAAGGATGCCACCGGGGATGGATTAACCACTTCCATTCTCCAAGTTGAAACTTGGGCACTAAAACACTACCTGCGCAACGAGAAATTCGAAAAAGGTGGAGTTTTATTATCGATGATCCTTCTAACCCTTGACTGAGTTCCTTCAAATGGTACAACTGGCAGTAATACAGGTGTTTGGGTCATGTTAGCCGCCAAAGTGACTGTGAAAATTTTGGCTTTTAAGGACTTCACGCCGAATCCCGAATATACACAACCCTCTTTGTTTTGCTGTTTTACGATCTACTTTATGGCGTCGATCGCCCGGACGCCTTCTACTGTATGTGCCAGCCAGCACCATTGGATCTTTTTGCCGGTGACTTCTATATGTCACACAGAGACCTCGTTGAAGGTCGTCTAGAAATGATTAGCGCTGCGAAACGGTCCTCACAAACACCGGAAACGGAGTCGGTGGTAAGGGTGTAACTATACTAGCATTATTTGGGTGACTTTTTGACCAGATGGCCCGCGCTGATGTATCTCACCTTCCCTTCCAAGGTTACGGATCCAGTCTCGCAGTTGTTGATCGTCACGTGGACGGAGCACAAGGACGAGCAGTGCATCGGTATCGGTTGGAATCTTTTTCCTGACGGCGAAAGTGATATTGTGGCAAGTGAAAAGTCAGTCGTGCTAAAGATGCTTCATTGGGTTAACATTGCTTCTCATGATAAGCAGGTAAATGATGCTGATCCGATCTCACTGTTTTATTTTTCTTTCTCAACGTAGGAGTTATTCTGGTGTTTGGGACCGCAGTTGGTAGCGTCTATCTGCCGTCTACTGATTAGTGATTACGCGAATTGGAGTTCTGGACTGCCTGATCTGACGCTTTGGAGCCCCTCCTCTGGAAAGGCCAAGGTCCGCTTATTCAAACACACTTCTTTCCTCTATTTAAGCACGCAGTCGCAAACTAGTGATAGTTGTATGCCTCACTGAAGGTTTAAGTGGGAACTGGTCGGATAAGGGTGTAACCATCTGCGTAGATCTTACGCAATTATTCTCATAACAGCACCCTCCTCGTTCAGTAATGTTGGATTTCAACGTAGTCAACTGATGAGGATTCTCCCCCTCCCCCCACCTATGGCTCTCTTTGCCACCCTTTCATCATGACGATGCCTTAATTTTCAGCTTGTCGAGGTAAAAGGTCCTGGAGATCAGCTCTCATCTCAACAAATGGTTTGGATAGACAAGCTCCTTTCTTTTGGGGCAGATGTGGAAATATGCTCGGTGGCCGGTATGCTCACTTTTTACCACAAATTTGTGGCTATTTCAGTAATACTGGAGACTAGATTTCATGCTTCTTTTATTTTAGCCGTTCCCCGTAATCGTTATCAGCACAATCAGTAATATAGTGTTTTTGCGACTGCTTTGCCTATTACGACTGAAGGAGAGCTGGGAATGGAGTTAAAGACATAAGAAGTCGTAGGTTTCTATTTTATCTTCCTTCATATGGGCTACCCAGCGTACCAGTCAAGGAGAGTCGTTACCGTCATCATCGTTCCCACCATCGTCATCATAGTCGTAGTTGTTCATACTCCTCTCCACAATAAGTTTTGTTCTCAGCTCCTGCTTTTTGGTCTTGCTCTGTACATAAAGCTGTAGAGAATACGAAGTTGTCATGAGGTAAAGGAGGTTGGAGTTTGAAAAACAAATCGGCATTATGCCACACTGTGAGATGAAAGCCACAGGTCGCACCTCATTGGACCCATCAGATCGGGTCGTTTCATTAAAGTGGTCAAGAATTCAGGTGTATCACTTACCTTGGTAAGCCTTTGCTTTTCGGCCACCAATGCATTAATTGATGTTGATAGCTGGTGGAAAAATGGGAATGATAAAGAGTTGCGGTGAAGCTGCTTCCTAAGATTCCCTTTTTGTTTGGCGCTTATCGCACTACTGATGGGTTCATCTCTCATGGCTAACACGTCTGCAGATCGCTATCGTCGTCTAAAATCAACTGCGCTGCAACTTCGGGAAATATGCTTCTTCCTCCTCTCGTCGTGCATAGAACAAAGCCTATGAGTTGTGGAGGTGGTCAAGACTTTGGTCAGATCTACCTCAAGTACACAAATAGTCACTCCAGTCACAAGGTCAAGTCAGGTAGATGCGCACGACTAAGTCGATCCAAACCCAGGTGCAATCGATGACACTCTGCAGCAGTCTTCACCAGTCAGCATCTAGGCTTGTGACCGCACGTCTCACCCATGTGTTGACAACCCCCGCGCTGGTCCTTAAGGTCATCTCTCCTGAGATCTTACGCATTGATTATCTTGTTGGTGGCCTCTGTATTATCCATATAGCTCGGACAGATAAACTCCGGTCTATAACTGCCAATTCAGTCCGGAGGGCTAGTAGCATATGCAGCGTAAAAACTGTTTTATACTGCCAATGAGGGAGACTTAAGTAGGTCTGTCTGATGCTGCACTGCCGGGGTGTTCAATTTTGCAGCCATGAGAAAGCATGTCACCGCGGTGGTAGAGTGGCAGATACGATCCATTACCTCTACTAACGGTTGGCACAGGTGCTGTGAGCTAGTCCGGTCCGAACACTGTCGACAGCGTATTGTACCGAAGCTTATTGTGAAGGAGAGCGCAAATTCCGAATTCACAGGAGACTTAAAGTGCTGAACGATGGAGTGAGGCTTAGTTGCGGTAGGGCATCCCAATGAATAATAAAAACGTTTCGGGGACGGCAAGTTCGTATATCGGTGTGCCAGTGGCGTTCTCGACTATGATTGTTCATTGCCAGCCTTCACCCAGGCTGCAGGAGGCCTGTTTAATCCTAGACATTTTAAAGTACGTACTGAGACTGAAAGAAAGTATACGACAAACCTGGCAATGCACGTGAACATTTACGATTGCCATGTATCAGGCGGAAGAGGTATTACGACATGAACAGTTAGAATAATGTCTGTCGAGAAGGGAAACTAGGGCGGTTATACGGTCCGATCCCACCACCTGGAACACATCTCAAGACTCGAAATACGTGAAGTAATCTTACCAACAAAGTATGTCTGTCATAGGCAACCCCGTATTTTACTAATCATTGGACACCTTGAAAGTAGCGTCTGTGCAAAGGTACTCCTCCGGTCGGACACAAGGACGGAATCTGTGTAATAATAAGAAACGAAGACCACCGGAAATGGTATATGCACAGACAACCTCTCAAGGAGCACCAGAAACAGTGCTTAAAAAGACAAGGGGCTACGTAGTATTTATTTGAGGACAAATTTTAGTCGAGAAGTGGTAGGTGAACACGAACATCGTAACAGAACGGATGTTGCGAACAAAACCCCTAGGAAGAAGTGCGCTCTGACAGACCATAACTCTGGTCATTGAATCCCGTTTCTATCGGTCAATCCCTTCCATGGGAATGAAGGTTGGGATGGAAGAGAAGAACAAATAGCCAAACACAAAATAAGTTAAAATGAGGAAGGACTGAAGGTGATCTATATAATAGTGCTCATTTAATAGGTCTACCACACACCTAAATGCTCAGCAAGAGTGTTGTCAGTAGCATCAATACAGCGAGGTAAGGGAATAGCGCAGTTTTGTAAGTCACTAAAATGTTTCGTAACCCGTCATGTAGTTAGAATCTTTTATTACTAAACAGTCAGTCAAGAACTGCTGTAGTAATTGTTACTAAAAAAAGACCCATTAAAGTGGCTCTAAGTCCTTGTTTTAATTCATCTAGTCCGATTGTCCCCCACCTTGACTTCATAGGCGGCAATCTTGTGTGCTGTGGGTGTATTCGTGCCGTATGATCTAATTTATAAAAGAATTAAAATTGTGCTGCAAAACTGCCATAAAAACTTTTTAAACAGTCAGAATATCTTTAAAAAGCAAAAAAATCCTAGAAATCTATTAACAAATGTCAATTTTTGTTTCAGTAGATTTGGAGCTCCCAGATTTGACGCGTTTCAACTTATTTTTATATTGTAGCAAACATGGATATTGTAGTCAAGATGTTAGGATTCAGCAACCATGGTGAGGTGCTCAGTGTCTTTTTCTGTTCACGAAAATCCCAAATAAGCCTTTACATTTAGTTTATTGTTAAGCATTGCAAAACAAATGCATTATTTAATAAGTTATGTTTATTTTTTGTGATAGTTTTCCCTTCAGAAATATTTAAATGTCTTTGGTGAACATGCTTTTATCACAACTCTACGACGGTAGCGATAAGCTTCCACGGAAACAGGAGGCTAATTCTTCTGCATTTAGGGATAACCTACCATCTTCCACATTCTTATAGAAACTACAAAACTCCTTGGATATGAACAACCGTACCCCGCTGAGGACTACCTTAATCAAAGTGACACGTCAGTATTACATAATTCCCAAAACTTGGATTATTGCACACAAGCTGGAGCATAGGAATTCTCCCGTGATTTCATTTTAATTGCTTCTTTACATTCTTCCGCATGCATTGCAGACAAATGCAACTTTCAATTATTTAAAAGTTTAAAGAATAAACCATGCTTGATTCTAATTGGAAGGTGCCAAGAAAGCAGTATCTCGTCCATCTGTTTATTCAAATTCGGTAAAGAAATTGACTTCCTAGCCGAAAAGTTCCTTTCTATTGATTACCTCCAACAACCAACCTTTAAACCTTTTCGGTTCTACCGTGCACCTGGAACTATTGTGATAAGTAGGAGTGTTATACTTATCATTTTAAAGTGGTAAGTTGATTCCACCGATTTGAGATAACTACTCGCCATGATGCAGGCAATTCATCCTCGCTTTGTTAATGGTTCTTGGAATTAAAATCTAACGCCATTTAGAACCTACCAATTCCTCTTGTTTGCCACAAATTCCAAGTCAGCAAACGATAAGGAGGCCGCTTTCCAATTGCTCCTTATACTACATCGATCAGCTCAACACGTCCTATCCCAAGATGCAGCTTGTCCTTTGCCCGGTGACTGCCGTTACGGAGTAAAAAGTTGACCTACCAGTAAAATGCAACAATACATTCTACTTCAGTGTCATAGTCATCAACATTGGGTTCCGTGAAGACTATTACCGTAAAGACATTCCAGTTCATTCCACCTCAGAAATGGGAGATTACCAAACAGTCGGCGCTTGTGGCATAATTTACATGGATATACTTTATCTTCCTACATTAAAAATGAACAAAACGTTACAGTTCCAGTAAGAATCAATCCTTCCGACAATGGATCACTACGAGACTCCTCACTATTATCGACATACACACGATACGCCATTTAGCTGTAAAGCAAAGTATTCTTTGAGAACTTCACCAAGATTTGCTACTGCAGCACTGCCGAATGGCATGGCCTCCGGACCATGTCAGTATTCCCTCAAATCCTTCTGTACGTTGACAACACACATTTTGCCCGAGTATTGTGTCTTCTTTGGCTTCGGAGATGCCTCGAAGCATTGCAGACACATCCCAACTAATTGCCGTCCTATCTGCAATGGAACAACTAGTCTGTTGCAACATCCCCGTCAACACCCTCCAAAAAATGAATAGCATATCGTAGCGCACCCCGAGTCTTCTCTGAAGCAGGAAGGTGCCATAGAAGTATAGTGGAAGATATACTAGTGATGTAAGGGAGAGCAGCGAGGCTACCGGGATAACCTGGAGGCCGTGTTGGCGAGCGGAAGTACAAGGGTGGAGCCTTCATTGCCTGCTTAACCAAAATGCTAGGTAAAGCAATCAAAGTAGTACAATGAGACGAAAATTGGCAGTATTATCTCGCAGCATTTGTTCAGATGTGGATTAGTACATTTCCTCAACTTCAAGGGGATTTCCAATAATATTTAGTTGTTAAATTTATTCCAAATCAGACTGATAATCTAAATTAATTTCGACTAGAATATATCTGTAGCGGTTAAATAGGACGGAGAAACCGAAATTTAATCCGTACTACCGAACCAGAAAGCACTCTAGCATGAGGTGAAACTAGGTTTTCAATGTCATAGCCTTGTCGCAGGGAATAAGAGCGCTTGGAACGCCGATACAAACCAGTAGGTTGCGCCGCTTTGCGCGCTCTACTTTGGTAACCGCAATCTACGTACCAACCTTCTTTCATTGCCTGGAGAGAAAACCCCCAAGCAAACGGCATAATTTGACGAGGTCGATGAACGATAGCTTAGATTCGGACAATATAACTCTGTCCGTCGAAAGCATTCATTAGAAATGGCAGGTGTCCTATCTTTTCGCACAAATTTATGCAATAAATACATGCAATCGACATTCATAATATGAGGGAAGAGAATTTATTTACTCAGATTCCATGAAATAAACATTGGATGTGGATAGATGGAAAAGTAACCTACAATCTCATCTTCTTTGCTCGTTTTTTAGGTGGCGGTGTATCCACCTCCATCGATTGCTTCGTCTTTCCATTCAAGTTATTATGAGGAACATCTATCGCCACGCCGACGGCGGAGCGTACGGCCTTGCGAGTAGCACAAGCTTCTCGTTTCCGCACCAAACTGGAGGTGGACCAGGAATACAGCGTTGACATACCTCCCGCCACCTTGCTACCTCCAGCATCACGCAATAACTCCTTGGCCAGTCGCGTATCTGTAGATTCGATTAGTCCAATGAGGTGGTCCGCCGCGGACATCTCCACCACCGAGACATTGGCCAGTCGTTGCGCCGCCTCCTGGGCAGTTAGTTCGCCCGAGAGCAGGGCGCGTCGCATCCTCGCCTGCGCTCTGCGACGTCGTGACCGCGCCCGAGCCGAGTCCACACGTCCAAGACGACCGGCCATTCTGCGCGAAATAGCGGCGCCCTCGGACGACTCGACGTCTCCGGGTAGGGCAATGCTAGAAGTGGCTAGGAAGGCCAATCTATTACGCTGTTTCGATTCGCGAGCGAGGAGACGCAGTGCACTGCGGAGGTAGGTGACTCCAACGCCCGATTTGCCCGCACATGTACTTTCCGCATCCTCAACTTCCTCCTCTTCTTCCCGTCGACTTTTCTGCTTTGCGATGAGATTCGCGATTTCTGTGGCGGTGGGTCTTGGTAGTTTGAGCAGCAACCCAACAGTCAATTTGAGCGCCATTATCCTCTATAAGAAGCAAGTATGTGTTTATTGCATGATTACGAAGGCTTTTTAAGTTGTACTTGGGGTAAACTACCTGACTGAATGCGGATCTTCGGTTGTTCAGTTCATCAAGTGAAAGACGATTTGCTGTCTTGAATATCTTAAGGACTTGTTTCGTCTCACCGAGAGCATTCAAGAACTGACCGAGGTATATTAGGTTGGACAAAAGCTGAGAACGTAAACAGAGAAGTAGGATGGGTCAATAAATGTTCATATGGATTAAAAAATGGTCAAATAGAAGCAGAAAACACCCACCATGTTTGAATACTCCTCCGACATTTGACCTGTGGATGAATCCACTTCCAGCTGGCGTAGGGAGTCGTTCAAAATTCTGATTAACTACGATGGCAAAGACACTGATCGTAATAAACAAACACTTCATTTACAAATGAAAGCTTAATCATATGACTTACCCTCAAAGAAACGTCTTTAGAATTTGTAAAGAAAGATGACACAAAGTGTAGGGGTGTTGTCACCTCACCCCGACCATTACAGACGTTATCCAACTCGACTCGAAGGAGCCGATTGACTAGTCGAGAGACCCACTCACGCACAGACGGGGAGGGAGCTAGAAGAAGCGAATGCGAGGCCACATCCCCCTCCTCGTCAGTCCTGGAGGTCTGAAGCAATGTAGCAAACTTTGTTTCACGCTGACTTCGTTTCTTCCGCTTAACCTTCAACAGGGCATTCCAGATCGGCACACATAAAGATGACGAGACGACAGACGCATCGACATCGGAAAGTAGACGATCCGCCAGTCGAAGCCCTTGCTCTAGGCCACAGCAGACCAACGCAAATTGCACGTCAGGAGCTGATTTAGAGGGCATGATAGTGCGCTCTGGAGTTTCATCCATAGTGCTGGCATTGATACAAGACTCGACGATTTTCACAGCTTCGGCAGAAATTTTTTCAGGTTTACTCGGCTCCGCGTCGACATCAGTGTCTTCTGCTTCTCCCTCTTCGTCTTCTTTTTGATCAGATGCGGCTCCGTTTGAAGTGACTTCCATATCTGAATCTTGTTCCTCATCTTCGTCCTCATAAGTATGATTCGGTACAGACGGTACCTCGACGTCATTATCCACGTCTGTGGCGGTGAGCCATCCATCTTCATCCTCCTCATTTTCCTCTTTATCCGCAGCTAGGAAATGCGAACACAGCACAAATTAGAACGCAATCCAACTTGAGCGTGGCAGAATCGAAGCAAGGTGAAAAACTCACGTTGAGTTGGAATTAAATCGTTGTCCTCATTATGTTCTGACGCCGAAGTCACATCTTTGAAAAGATGGGTATGGGTGGCGCGAAGACTAATCAGCTGTTTCCGCGACTCGGCGAAAATGTCCTTTCCGAGGATAGTGATGAGCGTCTTTCTATGAGTTGCAACTGAGAGACACTCCTGGGCGTCTAGAACTACTGCGACCATCTAGAAAGGAGAAGCATCATACCCTCGGACGCAAGGTTTGATTTAATTACAAGAAAAATAGCGAAAAAATAGTATGTGGATGATTAGGAGTCCAAAAACCCAAGTTTCCCCTACTTGACAAAACCTAGAATCAAAAGGCGGAGTTACATAAGTGGTGATCCCGACACTAGTTAACCCCCACCTGCAATCCGAGAAGCCTTGCAGAAGCTCTCGATTCCACTGGAGCACGCAGGAAAGCAAGAAAGTACTCCTGAAAGTGACTCAGTGCCTTCTCCTCTGGAATCCGAGTGAATAGGAGACGCACCAACCCGTAGAGTGACAAGCGTATACTGACTGAGGTCTCCCTTTCGATCGCGGCACCCACAGCCAATAGCAGAGTCTCATCCAATCCGCCCTGCACTAGACTAGCCTGTGGTAATTCGGCCACAATGGTGCAAAGAAGTGCTGCCACCGAAGCACGACCCAACTCTCGTGAGTGTTCCAGCTGACGCAACAGAAAATTGATAAATCCTACCACAAAGCGTCTCTGATGGGGGTAGTTGAGGAGGAAAGCGAGGAGGCACCGACGACAATCTCGACGCATAGTCTCGTTCGACGACGTGATGGCCAATCGCTGCAAACGCAGCATCAGATTTGAGAGCCGCTGGCCACCACCTGCTCCAGCAAAGGAGAAGTCATTATCAGTGACTTTACTAACGACCAGACCGTCGGTCAAAATTTTATTGGTAGTTTTGGTGAGGGTAGGGTCCTCTTCAGGGTGGAAAGAGACAAATCTACTGTTGTCATCTTCATCTGAATTCGCCAGTGGGTCGCGTAGTCGACGGGTAAGGAAGGCGGCGAGGAGGGACAGAACTGGAGAGGTGGCGGCATCTCGAACCACTTCAGTTTCAATGGTACTGAAGAGGGTAGCCAGTTGGGCGTTAGAGAGGGTGTACTTCGTTTGATGCTGAATCAGTGCTGCCAGAGTCGCGTAGAGTCCGTGAGCAAAGGACTGCGCAGCGCTATCCTTCTCCGTAATCCGCGAATTCAGCAGACCCGCGTGTTTGTCAACCAAATTGAAAAGAGATCGAGACACTTCGGGTAGGGCAGTCTCAAAACGCTCCAGTTGAAGGTGGAGGAAGATTTTCACGCAACGCACTGCGCCCGCGAGAACAGCGAGACTCTTAGAGGTGGCAAGAGTGGCCAACACAGCTGGAATCGAATCTGATAGGATGGCAGCGTCTTCAGGACGGGTTGTAGGTAAGAGAATGCCTTGTCTAACCAGACCGATTATGGTATGCAAGCCGCACGCAGATAACATGTTCACGTGCGCCTGATCCGTCTGAGTGGCATGTGGGTTCTGTGACGCGAGTTTGGGTTCAGCAGGGATTGCAAGGTAGTCCGGTCGTTTCTCTAGTGGTCGAGTACTCGATTTACTCCAGCCGGGGCGATAGAGAGCTGCAACACCGCGCTTAACCATCGGCTGAGATCGATCCTCCGATTCGATTTCGATTGGAGCAATGAGAGTGAGGGCTATTTGAAACAATGTCGATACACCTGTAGGCATTTTCGGATGGAGAATGCCATATCGAGTAGGAATTCGATTGAAAACTGCTTGAAGGCGAGCCATAGACCGCTTACGGAAACGCAGTTGACCTGTCAATTTATCATCCGACTTGATGGCATCTAAAATACATCAGATAAGAAATGGTGTCTATGCTTTCCCAAGTACTGGACATTTTTATCGAAACACAGCTTACCTGATTGCTCACCACCTCGTTGGAGGCTCTCATTCGAAATAATTTTCCCAGAGGCAATCAGAGCAGCAGCGGTCCGTAGGTCCTTAAATACACGTTCCAGCATGGTGGGTGAACAGAACCGCAAAAGTGCAGGCAGCCCGTCGGGAGCTTTGGGACCGCCACGAGCCTCAGGTAGATCAACGGACGAAGCAATAGAGGACGTTCGAGAGTTAGCATCCGTCGTGGAGCCCTTGTGGAATGCCTCACGCCGTGAGTCTATCTCCTCACCAAGTTGACCCGCAACCTCGTCGAGATAGAGGCGCAGAAGGGTGTGACACACGTTGTCCAGATTGGCTGCCACCCCCACCTCACCTCTATCTATTGCAGCTGTGAAATCAAAGAAAATTCGATGCAGTGCTGCTAGCCGAATAGTCATTGCCATATAACCTCGGGAAAGCTCTCTGGCGATGGTCGAGAAGATTGAATCCAACGCCGGACCAGAGCCGACCATGATGGCGACTTTAGAAAGAGCTTGGACAGCCTCCAGACGGGCATGAGAGGGGAGTTTCTTGGCCGGACGAAGGAGATCAACTACTCGAAGGATAAGAGTGGGCAATCGGGACTCCAGTTGCCCTCTGGGGAGACGCCGCAAGAGAGTGACCAGAGCAACTACAGCATTTGTGCGTAGATAAGTAAAAGATTTGGACTGTGCTTCAGTTTTATGTGCGGGCGGAATGATGTAGTTTTGAAGACGTCCGACCACTGTAAGCATAAAGTCCACAGCCTCTTCGCAAGGTTGGTAGCCGTCAAGAATGGCCAATGTATACTTCAACACAATTGTAGACTCCTGATCAAGGTTGGATAGTGCAGAGGAAAGAAGCTCACGGTATGGTATCCAGACCAGGCGAGAGGCGAGTGCTCGGACAGCATTCAGACAGGCGGAAACGAGTTGTCTCGACTCCTGGCCGAGGCTACCAGCTCCAGAGAGCTCAGCCATCATTTCCTGACGCAGAAAGAAGAGAAGAATGGGCAAAAAGACGCCACGAAGGTGAGAGAGTGGAATAACGAAGGAGCCTTCGGTGCTATTGTCAGCAGTGCAGCTAGCAATGGCCTTCTTTGAGGCGATGGTGAGAGGGTTGCTTAGAAAGAGGGCGAGACGACGAATGGCGAAGAGCTGACGGGCAGAAGTACCGCTTTGGATATTAACGAAAAAGCAGACAGGCTGTTGATCGGATGTGGAAGAGTCCGCCAAGAGGGCAAGGGGTGCGAAAAAGGCGTGCGACGAGCCGAATGACTTGACAAGTCCAGTGAGAAGACGGAGAAAGTGAATACGTCGTGGACCCATAGCCTGCTTCAAGTTACGGATAAGTCCTATGAAAAAAAAGTACAAGTAGATAGTTAGCTAACCCGTAAAATTGGATAGATGGATAGGAGGGGATGGGTGAACCCAAGGATAAATGGAAGGTCGCACTTCTCACCCGGCCAAAGAGCCTGGATAATTAGCCTTTTGGTGAGTTGTGCATAAGCCTTCTTCACAGCATCGTTTACAGAACGAATGCCTTCCGATAGAACTCCGGCAAGTCGAAGGATATAATCGAGAGAGAGATCTCGAAGTTGGATTTCTGACGTTTGGAGAGTATAGAGAGCACTGTGAACACCTGCCAGATGGATGAAGTAATGAAGACGATGCTGTGAGGCGAATTTCTCCAGTGGGAGATCACACAGTCCCAGCAGAGCGTTCAAAGCCGATTCGCGCTGAACAGAATCCACCATTTCCAGATGACTCGTGCTCCAAGAGTTCAGCTATGAAAGGGAGGAATTAGAGTGTGTTTCGTAGATGAGAGAGGAGGATGAGAGATCATACCATGCAGAGGAGTTTGTAAAGGACGTTTTTTTCGAATGCAGAACCCGGGGATATAGAGCTCGGGTCCACATGTTGGCTGCGAATGCAGCGAAGTGCGTTGAAGAGGCTTATAGGCAGTTGGCTAGCCATACCCTGCTTCACAATGTAAACGTCTGCAAGACATGCCAGAAGCTGTGTTGGTAACGACGAGGCAGACAACGATTGAGCTATTCGCGCGGCAGCTACACCCGCAGCACTACAGAGTAGAGCTCGTGAGATTCGAGAATCCACGGTGGAGAATAATTCCAACACCTTCCTGAAGGGGGAAAAAAGAAACACCTCAACAAGTCGTTTTAGCCTTCTCCACTGACGCAAAAAACTCAGAGTGGCCAGACGCACCCAAGATGTAAGTCGACGTGAGCAGTGACCTCCATGAAGCGACAGAGTACTCGTAGCACCTCTGCCTCCGTGATCTCCTTGGCAATGGCAGCTGCCTCGGAGTCGGGACGAGGGCGAGGCAGGGAGATGGTGGGATCGATCCCACTGGAAGACTTGCTCTTGCGCTCCCGGTGAGCAGCACCGGAAAAGAGGCTGTTCCCACCGCCAAAGTGGGAGGGAGGACGAGAGAGAGCTTTTATTAGGAATGGCACAAGGCCAGTGAGAAGACGACTCGCTTGCTTGGGTGGTAACACTGCTGCTGCCTGCAGAAAACAGAGTTGAACAGGTCTTGATCTACGGATACATTTCACTAGACTAGGATTTGACTTATTTTTGAAGGAGTAGTACTCCTTTGATCATGGAAACAAGTGAACAGGGGAACCACAATAAAATGAGAGGAGAGAGTGAGCCTACCTCTTCGGAATCACTCTCTGCAACAGGTGGAACAGTTAGGTAACCTAATAATTTAAATTCACGTTGAAGCCACTCCGAAGCCGTCGAAGTGAGTGCTTTTCGAGCCTGTGACGATGAGAGCGAGCGCAACGTCAAGAATCGATTGTAGAGATACTCAATCAGCCCCGCATGGAAGGGTCTCAGAAGCCGACGCCCCACCTCTTGAATGTCTACAACACAACGACATGAAGTATATTAGCAAGCTCAAGTAATCATCTAGTATCAAGGAAATGGGCCACTGTGTACCTTGAGAGAATATGAGATTGGTCACCACCTCGACAATCACTCTGGCGACCGGTGTGGAGAGGTTTTTGTGCTGTAACAGTTGCACTATAGCATTGATAAGGTCAGGAGTGAATAGAGCGCCGACAAAGTCCTCGCTGCCTGATTGGCTCCAGACCAGCGCTAACTTAAGCGCTAGATGACCGGGCGATGCTACAGCAGAGGAGGTAAGAGGATGCGTGGCCAGTACCTCTGTCTGCACGCATGCAACTCGTTCAGCCGTCCAGAAGGTGCCCAGATCGATTCCGGGAGCGGAGGAGAGGTGAAGGAGAAGATTTATGCCTGTTTTGCAAACCACTTTTACTTGCTTTGGGTGTGGTTGATGCTGCTCTCGACCTAGCTCTTTCTTTTCCTTGTTGGAGGCCGTGGAAATCATTAGGATGGCGATTTTAAAAAGGCTCGGGAGATGAAGCGAGGCGTTGGTGACTTTTGCTTCCGCCTGATCCTCTGAAGGTGGTTTGATGCCGCCCAAACGATGGCCCATGTAGGAAAGGAGTTGGTTAACCACGTTGCAGATCCTAATGGATGCGTAAATCGTATATTTGACGATACAGTTCTTTCAATTGCAACCGAGTATAGCACCTCCCTATTCATCTATGGTAGTGGTCTGTCAAACCTTTTTACGCTACCATCGTTATAGTCGAAAAAAGGGTGACCATATGGAGCGACAAACTTCTCGAGATCAGGCTTACTTCACATATCCTGTCAGTGTGTCACTATTCCCGATAGGTATATCTCAACGTTTTCAGAGAAAGATTAACTCACGCCTGGAGACGACTCCAATTCGGTTCCGAACGTGCGTTTATTTCAGCGAAGGACAAATCGCTCGGAGGGTCGTAGATAGCCAGAGCGGAGAAGAATGAATCAATGATAAGAGAGAGGAGGAGGGCCAACTCCTCCTCCGAACATCCCGCAAGGTTAGTGAAGACGGCAGAAGCGAGGTTCTCCTTGGAGAGGTGCAAACGACCGTAAAGAATTCTGAGTCACAAAAAACCAAGATTGTCAATGAAATAGACACTTGATGTAACAGTTGCGTTTTTTTCTGGGAGCGATGGATTACCGGATTAGAACGCGAGCGACAGCGGAACGGTGCTCCGAAACTACGGAGGTGTCGATTTTGAAGACGCGAACAGCGTCACGAAAGGTGTGCAGATTCAGGATCTTCTCAAATTGCTCTCTGAAAGAGGCAGATATGGGATTGCAGGAGGTGGATAAAGTGGAAAGAAAATAAAGGTACCAAGTTAACCCACTTGTAAGGTCGCAGTCCCGAGGGTGCAAGTGACATCCAACAAGTGAATGCCGCTTGCTGAACAGAAGGTCGTTTGTTGGTAAGTAACTACAAAGAGGTGGAAAGTAGAACTTAGCAGAAATAAAGGAGAAAAACTGCTATTCTGATCAGAAAGTAACACGGAGGGTTCAATCAAACAAGTTCACAAACGCAAGGCGATCCACATGAAAAATAAGGGTAATGGAAAAGGGCAGCCTTACCCGCAGTAGAACAGCTCCCAATTCCTCATGTTTGTAGACGGATTGGAGGTTAGGCATGCTGGCGAAGAGGCTGAGAGCGCAAGTGAGAACGCGCTCGTTGCTTTGGCTCGGCATTGCGTAAAACTCCCCACTGTTTGGAACAGAGGTTGGGAGAAGTAGATGAACAAAGACTCAACAGTAGGTTACCATTAGTGCTTCAGCATTCACAGACCACCGAAACGGGGTTGGTTCAGACAAGCTCAAGAGGCATGACCATCTAGTTTTACCAAACTTCTTAAAATCTTACATTTACAAAAACGAACATTCATGATATGGTGCCGAATTTGAACTGCCTTAAACCTACAAAGTGCTGTACAGCAGGGGATAGCAAAGGCTCCGGAGTACCCTTAACACGAGTACAAACTCCCAACAGCAAAATTTATGCCTTAGAATCGTCTTGGGTACAAATACGTCACCGTAGATGTAAAATAGTCAGGGAAATGAATAAAAATTGCGGCAACACTCACCTGACAAAAGAAAGAAAGAGCGGTATCAGTGTGCGTGCATATCTACCCACCCCCCTCGGTGTAATGCAGCGCCAGAGATTCAATCGGTAGCTCTTCCAATCCTCCGCCCTGCGTGGTGCAAATGCCACGGGCGCCAAGTCGTTAATGTGATCAGATGCTGTGATCACGTCGTTGTCAGGCACGACAGTAAGAAGGCTTGTGTAAGCCTGCCTCACAGACAGGCCATCGAAGATGAATTGCGGGACTGAAAAAAAAGGGGGGAAAGTGAGCATAGCACTGCAAACACATCCAAGATAGGAGGTTTCTTCTGGTTCTACCTGAGGTGCACGGCGTGGTAGACTGTTTCCCACTAACCGGACGCTTGAGTAGGTCTACCATAACCCGCCAAAAGAGGTCACGACACTGTATCCTCCACTGCTCGTGCACCTCTGAAGACTTTGGCTCCTCCGTTTCAGGCTCTGCCGTCTCACGGATCAGTGGTGAGCGGGAGCGAGCACGCGATTTATTACTGCTACGCTTCTGACGTTGAACATCGGGTTGAACAGCGGAGTCGGCAGCTTCAAAGTAGAAGATAGGATTGGCGTAACTGGCCACCGCTGCGGTTAACCCGTCCCATGCGGAGGTTAAGTTGACGTGCAACAGACCCAGTAGATGATACAACGAAATCTGTAAAAACAGCCGGATGTTTCAGACGTAGTGTGGAACCGAGGCATTGAGAAGAGATGGGGGCTTACTTCGGCGGCCAAAGGTGAACCAAAAATGGTGCTGCGACCGCAATGCATATGAAGGATGAGGAGGAGAAATTCGCGAAGAGCAGCGGGTGTCTGTTTCGTGGTTTCGGCACTCAAACAACGCTCCACTGCCGATAGGACATTTGACATGTCTTTACCTGTGTTGTCTTTTGGTGAGACCACCATCAGCAGAGAGCGAATGACTCGAAGAGTGTGCAGACGCAACTAGATGCAAAACAGACCGTATTTTAAAAATGTTTAATAGGTATAAAGTAGACTGACTATATGTTTATTTGCTCCATGCACATTTATCATTTTCTACCGTTATCGAAGCTACACAAAATACACTGTCCAACCCAAGACAGTACAAAAACAAACCCCACACATAAACTCAGCCTACCTGATGACTAAAGGAAAGCAGTAAAGGAAGCAACTCTTCAATTGACACGCTACTTAACTCCAACCTTTGGCTTGCCAAATCAAGAATGCGAAGAAGGATTACGCATAAGTCCGCATTTCTCTCTTTCACGGCACTAAAAATTGGGAGAAAAGACAAAGATCAGAGCGCTTAAAAAGTGGCTAACGTTTTAGACATGGTAACTTGCAGAGCTGTTTTTAAAAGATATCCCTCATCCACAAAGACAATAGGCTTAGTGGACATCGTGGCACTGAAAGAAAACCAAGCCTCGTAGGATGCCAACAGATAAGCCGCCCAATCCATGAATTCCAACACCTCTGGCTGCATTTGCTTCAGACGATCAAAAGAAGATTTGATTTCTTCCGAGAGCTGAGCAAGAGTATCATCGGCGGAAACGGGGCTACAGTAATGGAGCCAGATAAATATCCAAAATGAACAAACCTCAAGTGCGGTAAACAAAGGGCGGCGCAGAGTTTTCGTTCAATCGCAGCACATGAATCGTTGATTGGTTGAATTATCCAACGCACAACCTTCTGCAGAACCTCTGAGCTGTGGAAGCCAGAAGCCAGTGAGAGGCAGATTGTGCTACTCGGTGGCCGGCTAATCGATAGGCTGGAAGTGAGTGATGGCGGTGGCTGGCGAACGAGAATGAGGTGAGCAAGGAATTCAAGCGTGCAATTATCGATCAGCGTATCAGTGTTGCGTTGGAGAAGTACATCAGCGAGGATTTGAAGAAAGTCCTTTTCAAAAAACTCGTGCCGAATAATCGGAAGCATGAGAGATATCTGCTGTGATTCGGTGAATTTCGAAGCGATAAGGACCTTCCGCATTAGACGAGAGGAGTTAAAATGGCTGGAGACAAGCCCGACAAATTTGACAATAAGCTCCGCCAAAGGGACTAGCGGATGTTTAGCAAGAGCCGCCAATAGATGTCCCTCTAGCGCTATTTCATAGCGGTGGAGAAAACGCTTGCTTTGCATTAGGTTTATGAGTTCACAGCAGCACGATATGAGGGTCTGAACATGGGAAGGGCAAACCTTGTCAAATTGGGAAAATGCGAGTTGGCATATTGTATAAAGGGCTTCGGGTTGTATTTTACTGGCAGCAAGAATCTGGAGAGACGATATTAAACTGCTTCTGAAGAACTCAGCAACCTCTAATGAGGAAGGTGTCCAGCTGAATTTTTCGATCTGAGGATTGGTTTTGGACATTTTAGCTTCTGGTCGAGGAGCTGCAATAGATTCTTTTACTTCCGTTCCTGTAATGACTGCAAAGAGGGAAGGAAAAATCTGAAAAAATAACATCGAAGAGCATAACCAACCAACCTCTTCTGAAGAAGAGTGAAAGTATCCGTCCGGAGAACGCAGGATTTCTGCAAGCAAAGTGCCACTCGTGTTGTAGGAAACAGTTACATGCTCCTGGTTGAGTTGCCACAATAGCAGCAATAAATGAAAAGATGGGATCTTTCGCAAAACAAAAGCCATACAACCACCAGTGAAGGTGCGAATAAATTCCTTTTTGTGGGTAAGAAGAGGTAAAAATAATCTAGGAATGATTAGGCCACGAAACGTTTACTTTAAGAAACTGTCAACATCTTTCGAGAGATACCGGTGAAGAAAGTAGACAAGATGCGAAAGGCAATTGAAAGCGTAGTTAAGTACATCAGCATCCTGTTGGTCTTTAGTTATAATATCCTTGATATTATGAAAGAACTTTGGAAAGTAAGGATAAAAATCATCACGCAAATCGCAGGAGAGTGCACTCAAAAGACTAAAACATTGGGTTGCACAAAAAGTGTGAAATTACTCAAGGATCGGACCCGATGAAATTTCATTGCAGTCGAGAATGAAGTCATGCAGGTGAGTAAGGATCTCATCCTGATGAAAAAAAGCTAACAGGAAGAGCGATTTCTTACCTTATGCAGTAATACCAGCTTCAAATTTAGTACATAAGGGGAAACCAGCTTTCGGAATTCAGCTAAAGATTACAGACAAAAAATAACTTACAGAAGCCACAGCTTTTATTGAGATGTGTCCAACTTTCAAGAGTTGCAGCAAAAAAGCTGTCCAACGACTCCTAAACAATTACATCGAATATCAAGTAACGCACATCGTCGATATAGTCATTGCGGCGGTATGAAAGGCGAACTTTCTGCTTTATTCTTTCTTTATATGTAAGAAACTAGCAGAAAAATTGAATAACCAAGCGGGAAACATTACGTGAAAGGTATTTTCGCTCTTATGATGTGAACCCATCAGTCGCAGCAAACATGTGACTACGAGTGCAAAAGTCCGCCGAAGTACACATTTCATTCTAAACATCACTAAGTGATCGAATTTGAATTAACTGAAAATTAGACATCACAAAGTTCCTGGTCCCATTGGACAATCATCGTTGTAACCATTTTTGAAAGCATTTTGCAGTTCAAGAGTAATAATGATGTCCATGTCGTAACTTCATTTTTATTCATTTCTTACAAATATTCCGTTCGTTAGCAGACGAACTTTAGGAACCTACACTCACTTACGACAAAGAAGTAACTTAGGGATGTGGGTTAAGATTCCTAAGCCTAGCTTGAAACCGTTATACCAATCTTCCGCGGCGTCCCAACCTTGCTTGAAATCATGAAAAAGGGCTTTAATATCATTGACACTGTACACGGGCCCAGCGTAGAGTAGAAATACAATTAGCAATCACCACTATGGTTGCGCAGTTAGGCTTATATTTGAAAGATCTGTCTTATCACCACATGTTCCTCTCTTCTTCTAATCGCGCCGGTACCTCTGACCCTCTTAACGCTAACAGCGTCATAAAAGCAACTTACGAGTATGGTACAGCAATAGTTAAGTATCCGTTTAGGCAATAAAGCAATCGATTTTTTGTGACTAATGTATCCCGACAGCTCTATCGTACTTGGAGTTTCATTCCATTCATGGGATAATTAGTCACCGTGTTGCTCAAGTCTGGACTGCCTACCCGAAAAATCATATTTCATGACCCAATCGCAATTCATTAGATCATTTGCTTAAAAGTAGAGCTGTTTAGCAGAAGACTGAATACGGGCTTGATTTAGGATCCTGATATTCTCTTCCTATGTCTCTTTTCCTCTCTATTTTTAGTTCAGCCCTTTTTGGCCGTCTACCCAAGTTCCAATCCGCTATCAGAGATGCAGATGATGCGCAGCTTGTTTAAACGATTTAAGCTTTTATACACATGCTATTTCTTTTTTTTCAAACCATTTAAGTCCGATATTGCCACTTTTTGGCATACAGGAGCGAAGTGATTGCCACCAAACTACCCTCATAGGTGATTTCTAGTTTTAACGAGCTGCAGCAAATAGCTTTTTTTATTCATCTAAACTTCGATAATTTTAGCAATAGCTGGGGACTTTGTCTTAGTGGGATTCATTTTCTTGTCTTTGTGCCAGTCTAGCCATTAGAGAGTGGAGGCATACCTCGCTTATGGTGATCCGCTTGGCTTGCAGGTTATTGGCGCTGTCCCAATAACGAGATGCCGACCCAAATGCACTAGAACCATTCCTTAAAACCCCCAAACATTGTGAGGAGGAGAACTTTGCCGATCCTGCTGCTAAAGCAGTACTTTCGACTTTTCCTATCCACTTTTGTCTTTAAACTCGGAGATTTAGAAGCCTGGTTTATGACAGCAGATTGCGGCTTTCTTCAGGGCAAAGCTCACAAATCTCCTCTTCTCTGTTCCTAGTGCTCTTCGAAAAAACCACTTGATTAAATTTAGACAAATTTATTAGGGGGAAATGGATCGGGAGAACAAGTACAAAGTTTAGGGAGGGGAAATACCGCAATCGCACTCAGGCTTAAATGACAATAACTTCGTCACCAGATTCGAATCTTATACTCGCCTCCTCCCTAGAAGGTACATTAAAACCACATAAGTGTTACAGTGCAAGTGTGAACAATGAAGGTAGTCAACGTTTTGGGAAAATCTGTATCACATTTTCTTAGACAGTCACTGTTGTTGTAGTCACAAAACCAATAAAATTAGCTTACTTAGTACACAAAAATCCTACCTAATCTAACTCCTTGAAATTTCTAGTCACATCCGATGAATAGTAACTGCATTTCCGTTTACAGATTGTTACAATCTACTAACAATGAAATAAAAAGGCTAATTTAGGGAGCACGCATCTGATCGAAGAGTTTTGAGGAACTAGGCAGAAAAAATACGTGTAGTAGCTCCGCGTTTTCAAACGCTAGATTTGTTACATGGGCACAAAATCAAATAAAAGGCGTTCCCACTTAGAGGTATGGCCAACCCTTCTGTGTCAAACAAGCAAAGCTTCTTTCATACTCCTATGGACTATTTTTACCTTAGGGAGGCCCCACGATACCATATTAGAATCCATTCGTTATCTTGACCAATAAACGTCCACGCGAAATAGATCCCCTTAATGGTGTTAAGGCGTTCAATGCGTTACAATATTTAAAATATGCTTTTTTTATTACCTGCAAACGTTTTTAAAGGCCGAATAATTTACGCCTGTTTTGCTAATATATTTTAAGGTACATGATAGACAGCAGACCTCTGTTAAAAAATCATGTTTTTATCCGAAGCATTTAACTTAAAAAGAATTAAAATTTGAAGGCCACTTTTACTCGGAGGATTCACGTAGTTTACAAGTCTTTAACAAACAGATTTTGTTTTATTCGTTACCTGTCTATGGCGTTCTCTTCGAATTAGGCAGTTCGGTGTCGCATCATGGAGCGGATGCATTTTAGTTGATTTTTCTTAGTTTCTTTTCCAAGCATTAGTTTGCAATATCCCAATGAAAATCCGACATCGTGTGTCTAAAAAGCAGTTGGATAAGATGGTACGTCTACGCACTGCTTCTGCTGTCTAGCAATATTTTGCTCTGGTGCAAATAATTCTGCATATTTTCGCTTTCTCCACTCTCATCTTTGGATGTTTTTATTGGGTTACTGTAATTTTTTCCTATGTGGTCAACTTTTGTGGCAGTCATATTATCTACTTTGGCTTATATTCTCCTTGCAAAAGTGTATGTAAATGTGGGCACGGTATAGTGCAGTTAGTTGCTTATTGTATTTCTTCGAACCCACGATACGTTCGCTTTCATTTTCGGCTACACTTTTGTTTACTTGATCAGTGTCCAAGCTCATCGGAAAATCGATCTCGTCGCTATCGCCGCTTGAATCGCAGCTCAACCCTCGGTGCCTCTGGAATTTCTCCAATTTCCCCATCTCCCTATTCCCTTAGGAACAAAGTATGCTTTCCCCTTCCACCTTTGATCACTCTTACTGTTTTAGTTAAATCTCCTAGATATAAATTTAAGTGGCTCTTCACTCGATAAGAGCTTGGGTCGTCAATTCAGTGAGGAGACGAAACCCTCCAAAGCGGATGTCAATGATGTCCCACTCTCCGATAACAGCAAGTCGTCCAAGAATAAGAATAAAAATAAGTACACCACAAAGATAGTACGGAAAAATATACTGGATTTATGTAAGCCTTGACTCCTCTCTTTTCTCTTTGAATATCTGATTCTTAAAGCTCTTTGTTTGACCACGATAGCTGGTCTGGAATTGTCGGAGCCCCCAAACAAAGTGAAAAAAGGTAACCAGCAAAGCATATCCTCGGAAGATAGTGGCAACATCGATGTTGATACCGGCACGGGGTTTCTCCCACGTCTTCGTCCACGAGGTTCTACGGTGGCGCCTGTCTCGTATTCCGTTAAGGTAATTGTAGGTTCACTTGATTGCTTCTTCCTTACTATTGTCTGTCCAGGAGAACCACGGTACATGCAAGCACTTAACGAAGCGCCTGCAGCCCAAGCGTTACAACAGAAATGTTGAAGAGGATGATGAAGATACGACAGAGGAAGATGAAACGCCAGATGGGCGTCGATACCCTCTGCGAAATCGGCGTCATCCTGACGTTTACCAAGGTAGTGCGCGTGTGTTTAATCCCGGTTTTGTCACATGAACGGATGCTATATCTGGTTTTCTTTCTAGTCATTCCACAAGTCAAAGACATCGAGGCGAACCAAAGGAATTGGCTGGCGGATGAATCTTACGGTGAGGGATCCAAGCGACCTCGTCATGGCGATCACTAGTGAGTTTACCCTTTTTCTGCTGTACGCCTAATTCCTTGAGGTCGTCAGTGATGTTTAGCGTCAGAGGTAATCAAATTACTACATCACTATCAGCTACTGGGGAATTGGGTACCACATACCACAGACTACTAGCTGATTAAAAGCATTCAGCACTAGAAACTTGTCTTTTACTTCTCCAAAGTAGGTGGCAAAACGTTCATTTCTAAGTTTTTTGACTGACTTGTGATGAGAGATGGCATTTGTTTTTCAATATTGAGCAAACGAAAACATCATTATCTCCAAACAACCTTCTGGTTGTTTCCACATTTTGGAGCTACTGCTTCATCCCTCAAAATTCCGCCTTATGTGCGGCAGAATGTATAGGGAGATATTTACCTAGATTCTTGCTGAAGATCAGACAGCTATGACCGTGACCCATCTACTCGTAGATCCATCTACACGTGGAATTTAAGACAAATTTCGTCGAGAAAATCTAGGGCCAATGAATTGGAATAAAGTACCATTTTTATGACAAGATTTCTTGCCACAAAACCTATTCCCTTGAAGATTTGCACCTTAAATTGAGATGGGAGGAAAGTACTGCTTCACCTTCATCCTCCGTATTATCCGGATCTTTCTCCAAGTTATCACTTCTTCGGTATAGACAATCACATGCGAAATGGGCAGTTGAGAAGTAAGAATGAGAGTGCAGTGGGATGGATACTTAATTTGGCTCCTCACTTCTTTGCGCTTCAGCCGCCATCTTAGCGACAGCCCTTCCTCATCTCTTTCCAACGGCGTCAACAGTGGAGAGGCGGAGGGTCGTATTGGAAATGGTAGTGGCACCTCAAATCGCTGTCGTCCGCACTGCCCCCGACGCACGAAGCATCAGGACGAACTGGAGGAGACTTTTTTGCGACAGGCTGCTGAGGGTCTCATGCCTATCAACTTTAAGCCCCGCGATGTTGAGGTTGGTTGGTTCTCATGCTTAACAGTCTCCTTTCGTTGATCTTCCAATCTCTCACTCTTGCTCACCCTTCTTTCGACGCAGTCGGGTCCGCTTCGCAACCGTCTCGTAGCCGGCGCTGGACTGACTGACGTAGAACCGATGAGTTTCGACACAGAGGTGACATTTGCCGATGTGGGTGGACATCAAGCGCAGATTCGAGCACTGCAAGAGTCCGTCCTTCTGCCTCTGGTCTATCCGGAGGTTTTCAATCGATTCGGGATAGAACCGCCTCGTGGCGTGCTCTTCCATGGCCCACCTGGTAAGCCGTTTCGCTCATTCTCCCTCCCTCTCTCTCCACGTGCGACAGGTTTGGGTTACGTTGTACAATTATGTCACAACCTTCCCTTGTGTGTTATAGTTCTCTAGCTATCTCGAAATACTGAGCTATTGCTATCTCCGATAAGCACAGAAAAGACGCATATGGTCCACGAAAATCCTTTTTATCTATCAGATCATTCTAATATGAATCACTTCATGGTGTACATTCTCTTTCTCTGAGGATTAAAAGTTTCTTTCTTGAATTTCTGCAAGTGCTAATTTAATGTCAATTGGCCTCTGAACTGTCCATTACTGTTAGGCACGGGGAAGACCCTACTTGCCCGAGCTTTGGCCAACGAGTGCACACGTATGACCTCGGATGCTGCGCGTGCTCATGCTAGTGGCTCCACCGCCTCCCGTCCAATCGCTTTTTTCATGCGCAAGGGCGCTGACTGTCTGTCTAAGTGGATCGGAGAAACGGAGCGGCAGCTACGCCTTCTTTTCGATCAGGCTTATCGACTGCGCCCCTCCATTATCTTCTTTGATGAACTCGATGGCTTAGCGCCTGTCCGCTCTTCCAGACAGGTAGGTCGTCCCTCTACAGCTTTGTTTGGTATTGTGGCACGGCTCCCCTCACCTTTGGCCTGTACCTTGTCCAATGCTCTACACTGGTAGAGTGCTCTGTTGTATTCTTCCACCACGTACGTAATTCAGCTTTGATTAAGGTCTTCCTATGCCTTAGAATGATTAAAATGGCCATGACAGCACCTTCTGTAATCCAGCCTGGTACACTATAATTTTCTCCAAACTTGCTACCTGTCGCCAGCCTGAAATGTGGAATTTAAATCAGTCCCTATGATGATTTTCCTCATCTTTGCTTTTAAGCCGAGGGATGTGACTGTCCTATTTTCGTGGTGTTATTCATATACGCTAACCAAGCTGCGGTTTTTTTTCTCAAGCCACAAAGTTGGTGTTCTATTCGCTCTCCCCACCCCGGTTACCCCCTCGGCCTAACGCCCCTTTGACCATCGTTCTGACTCATCCTCTAGTCAGATGCCATGAGCAGAGCCATCTGGCATTGCTGCCGAGGTTGAATCCCGGAGTTGTATGAGGTGGCGTCCTTATATCTGATTCTGCCATTCGAATGAATCAAAACAAGATGCTATAGTTAGGTCATTATTTTATCAAACAAACTGTTTCCGCTCTGGCGCCACTCATTTCTGCTTACATGTGGAGGCCGAGTCACCCTTGAAGAAACTTCAATACCTTTGCTTCTGAAAATACTTGTATTTGTAAGCTTACAAAAGGTCTGGCGGACTAGTGGCGGTGGTTTTGTGCACATAACTCCATCCCACAGCTATGGCGGTCGAATTACCATATTACCACCGGGCATACAGTGACTGGAATTTTTAATTATTTGTTGCCTTCTGTATATCGGCCTAGAATCAGCTCCATCCCACTACTTTATTTTCCAAGCAGTGAACAATTATCACAGCCTCTTGCATCTTACATCGGTTTTTGTCCTTCACATTTTCTCCAGGACCAAGTTCACTCCAGTATTGTGTCAACATTGCTAGCATTGATGGATGGATTGGACCGGAGGGCGGAAGTGGTGGTGATAGGTGCCACCAACCGGCCCGATGCCATCGATCCCGCCCTCCGACGACCTGGCCGTTTTGATCGAGAGTTTGTCTTTTCTCTCCCAAACGCGGCTGTTAGACGGAGGATTTTAGAGATCCACACCTCCAAGTTGATCCCGCTGCCCTCACCTCAGGTATGTTCTTGAATGGATAGTTGATGGATTGACCGACAGTGCTCTCTGGGATGTAGGATTCTCTCCTCCATATATACGATAACGTAGGACTTGAGTTAACTATGAGGATGAAATAATCCACATAAATCTAGAAAGGGTTTATTCGCTTTAAAACCTGTATTACCACACGCAAGTCCTGAATAAGCTTCGTAATTTTCCACACATTGGACAATTTGAGTTTTCTATCAGGGTCCCTCAGCTTATGGATAAAACATCCGAAAAAATTCGTTGTTTTGACGCCTCCGAATAAATTTTATCAGGTTTGGTCCAACCCGTGCGTATCACGTATAATCTGAACCCTACTACGTGTATCAATACGCAATTAAATCTTGTAACTTTGTTTTCCGAATCCTAGATCTGACACGTTATTTTTATACCATCACAAACTTATGTCTTGGTCCTCTGAGTGAGTGTCTATCACACTCCGGTCAATAATATCCCTGCGATCGCGTTGACTGGTTTGTTTCGGGCTATTAATAGACTCCTCTTCCACGCTTGACCTCCAGTCACCTTACATTGGTGTCCTCGTTGTCTGCAAAAGATGTTGAACTTTCTCCCCAATTGACAGCATGTTTTCTACCCTTTGAGTTCCTCTTTGTGGCCATTTTATAACTAAATTTGAAACTAAACTTCTATTAAGAAAAAAAGAACCGATATTCTTTCCTTTGGAGCGAGTGAGTGGAGTGATTGAATGTTTGCGCCAATCACCAAAGGAAATGTCAACGCCTGTTTTAGTCTTTTTTTTTCTCTTCCCAAGCTACTGAATGAGTTGGCCGAAAAGACGGTGGGTTTTTGTGGTGCAGATCTGAAGGCCCTGGCTACAGAAGCCTGTCTCTGTTGTCTTCGTCGTCAGTACCCTCAAGTCTACGTGAGCAAGCTAAAACTGGCTGTGGACCTCAGCTACCTTGTTGTAAGCCATTCCCATCTTCTCGCGTTTTTATCTGCGTATTTGATCACGACCTAGTCACTCGTTCGCTCCTGTTATCATTCTCTCTCAAACCGTTGATTTCATGAGTTAGTGCACCGACGTATCCTTTCACAAATCATTCTTTCTTCCTTGTAGGTGGATCGAATGGACTGGTTGGACGCGCTGAAGATTATCCGACCGGCAAATTTACGCGTCGAGTTGGACGTGGGCAATGCGACATCGGCGCCGGCGGCGGCACTCGCATCGACCCTCCGCTCTAACGGCGTTGATTTTGGCGGCATTGGAGAAAGAGGAGGTGGCAGCAGTAGTGGTGTTTCAGCGCTTGAGGCAGACCCCGCATCACGTCTCTTTCTCGAACCTCTCGTGCACCTAATCACTGCTCGCATTTCCCGTGCTCTCGCAGCCTCCGACGATGTCGACTGTGTTGATGGCGGAGGCAGCGGTGACGGAGGTGAACCAATGGTCACTTGGAGCTCTGCCCCTCCCCGCTACCCTAGTACTACCACCACTACTGTAGCTACCCATGCCACCTTTTCTCCTGCTCTCATTCGACAGGTGATTGTGGAAGACTCGCTTCTTCCAAGTGCGGTCTTTTCGGCTGTATGGCGGAGACTGGAGTCTGTTGAGGTAAGATTGCGTTTGCCTCATCTCTAATTTTGTGATTTCTTTCGGGCTTTAACCTGCTGCAATTTGTGGGTGAGTTATGAGGATTGATGGTTCTCTGCCCTACTTCGTGTTCCATTGACAGTTGGTAACGTTAAATCAGGATGTTTTCGCAAACAAAGTATTTATGATTTGCACTTGCATTTGGAAGAAAGTGTTGGGGTAGTAGGTGCGTTCGTAGACTCCACATGAGCCGTTAAGGTCAACTCCGTTTTGTGAATCTGCTACTCCAAGTAGGCACTTGCTTAACCGTGGAAATAAAGTGAGAAAAAAATTCCAACCAAGGTGTTCTCCCTCTTTGTCACTATTATTTTTTTCGAGTTTGCATTCGCTATCTCACCGTCCTGATGTTTTGTCTTGATCCCTGCGGGCTTCACTACTTCCTTTGGGAAGCAACGGTTACAGTAGAATATGCAGACGTTTCCAAATAAGTCACAGGAGAGCCTCAAATGCGGCAGTGCTATTATCAGAATTGGTTAGATGATGAGGAGGCCGGAAATCTGTGGAAATTGGAAGTTTTGGTCGCCATTAGGCGCTTAAGTAGACAAGCAGTGGACCATTGCAATTGAATTCCATGTCAAGCCTATTTTGAATGGCTGCTGTTAACACGGCCAAAGAGAATGTGTACTCTCAGTTTTACTTCAATTTCATCCACCCTGTCAATCATATCGTTTCAATTAGTGTGAATGCATTCCATTTTCTCATGTATCACACCTCCTTCGTGGCGAGTAATTAGATTATTCCGCACCTTAGTACGATCCTCAATTAGGCCAACGGCACCAGCCTAGGAAATGGCATTCATTGGCATGCACAAACGCCGCAGGCCTAACAATCCTCCGATTTGCTCTCGTTGGGTCAGATGATTGCTCCACCGGTATTCAATTCAAATCGTGACTTGGTGTAAAGGGGACCGTGGCAGCAACACGCTCAAAGTATCCTCTTAGTAATGCCCGGTACCTCATATTGTGGGCGAATCAACCCCAATCCAGACCAGCCTTGGCGGCGATGGCAGAAGGTAGTATTCCTGCATGCATGAATCAGCGGGTAGTGGTGTTGTTTTCTTGTGGACGAGGACGTGAAATCGGGTCGTCTAGTTGATTATTCACATTGACATTAGAACTCAGGTACGGTTTATGAGGTGATAAGACACTCAACGGCCCAGTAGGAAGGCTTTTGAATGGTGGAAACGTTTGAAACACATCCTCTCATCTGCCCCGTCAGTGAAGATCCCGGGTGTAGTGTTGTCGATCATTCCGGCAGTCTTTCTGCAAAACTTTAGCCCCTGGAAAGCCTATTCAACTTTGTACACCCGATTGATGCACATCTACCTGTTTTGAAATGGTTCATGACATTAGTTTTTCTTTGAGAGTGTTGGTCTCAGTCATTCGCCGACATATGCAATTCCGAGAAGTTAGCCCACATAGACTGCCTTAGGATGGTTACCTAATCATGAGCACAGGCATAAGTGTACGATTGTAGCAGGAGACTACACTGAATGATTAGTGCAGTTTTCCCTCCCAGAAAAGCAGTTCTTTTTTTATAAATATTGCTTGCTATTACGGCTATTTCACTGCAGGTCTATACTCTCAATCTCGCAAGTCTCTATACGGGCACCTCCGGGGGCCTGGTAACATCAATCACTCAAATAGTCGCGGCGGCGCGTCGCTCCCTGCTGAACCAGCACCAGCAGGCTCCCACTGACCTTCCCTCCACCGCAACCTCCCTTTCCACCAGCCCCTCCAACATAGCTGGGGTGGTGCTCTTTGTCCCTCGCATCGATCTTCTCCTTGCCCGTCTCCCTGCCGTAGCCTGCCACCATCTGGTAGAACGACTTCTTGAAGTTACCTCAGCCACCATGGATACTGGCTGCGGAGCTCAGAGGCGTCTTCTCCTCGTGGCCACTGTAAAAAGCTTCCCGCCTAGTATCATTCCTTCACCCATTGTAGGCGAAGAGGCACAACCTCAGACCACACCAGGTTCCCTGTCTATTCGTGTTCCGCCCGCGGTCTCGCTACGTTTTACAACTTTTCCTCAAGGTAAATCTCCCTCACCTCTCAAATTTGAATATAGTTTTGATCAATGCACGGAAGAGTTGGGAGGCGTTAGAGTCGAATCGTGGGAGATCGTCAGTCTATGTAGTGAAATGTGGAAATAAAACATAGTTTCACTTTTCTGTTGAACATTGCCTACGATGCTCTCCGTGGTCGCCGTTCTGGTTTGACCTCTACAAAGTAGTAGAGTGTAGTGAAACTCCTGCCACTACATGGATACAATACAATTGCATAAGTAGGTTTAGAACTGAGGTACAAAACTACTCGATGTCATGAACTGAATATACCATCCAAATAAATCTCATTCTGTTATCGCTTGATCAGAATCTGCCGCACTCTGCAACGGTCACGCCTCGCCAAAGACAATCGCATGGTTGCGCGAGCAACAAACCGGCGAACGTAGCCGTTCTAAGCCCTCCATTGATCCAGAAGTGGAGGTGGAGGGAGTTGATGGTGAATCAACAGCTGCTGAGGAGGAGGCGATGGCGGCGCCTCGTATCTCCCAGTTGTCCCCCCTCTCCTCCCCCGGTGGGGGCAGTATCGACCACCTTGTAAACACTTATCTTCGTCGCCTTTTCCGCTTCCCCTTTGTGGAGAAAATTAGTCTCCATCCGCCGGGTGATCAGTTACGGCGCGATTTCCTCTCGCCCGTTTTTTTCGATTGGTTTAACGTCTCTGCAAATGATTCCACGCCAAATACCAACGCTTCTAGTCGACCTCCAAGGCCGTGAGTGTTTCCGATATATGTGCGTGTGTGTGGACGAATTTGTTGGTACCAATTGATCGCTCTTGTAGTCCGACACCGCCTCCTCTGAACGAGACAACGACGGGGATCCTGGACCATCGGCAACACGAGATGACAGCAGTGGAGGTGAAGAAGGCGCAGGAGACACGGGATCGTTTGTTGAGGCATCTACGCGTGGAACTGCGTCGTGTGGTGGCGCAGTTGACACGGGATAGGCGATTCACGGTTTTTATGCGACCGGTGAATCAGGACGAAGCGCCCGATTACTATGAGGTCATTCGTCGACCCATGAGTTTGGGCGCGGTTCGGGCAAAAATCGATGCGCATCAGTACACATCAGTGAAGGAGTTCTCCAAGGTGTGTCTGTGTGAACCTCTGTTCGTTAATCATTTTGCTTTTCCATCAAACCCTCCCCAATATCATTTTCTCCCCGTTCTGTAGGATCTGGAGTTGATCTACAAGAACGCACTGGAGTACAATCCCGTTGACGTGCCCCGTAGTCGTGAAATTCGGGAACGCGCTTTCGAGTTGTGGGATGCTGCTGAAATGCTTCTGGACGAGAATTCGGCTCTCACAGAGCTGGAAGAGCAGATAACTGAGGTAAGTTTATTAAAAACATTTAAAAAAAAAACTTTGAGCCTTGGCAATCGAGTAAATTGGGGAATCCACTTTTTTTCCCGTAGGCTCTTGCCGCTTGTCCACTGAGTTCATCCCCCCAACGAAATCACTCTCCCCATCCAGTGCCCCACTTCACGGCTCTTTCCGGCTCTTCGTCTCGCCGTTACAGTCGTCGACTTCACGTAAGTCTCCACTCTGCACCTCTAGCTAGATCTTGGTGTTTTTTTCTTATTTTTCCGCACTTCATTCACATCTGGTTAATGTAGGGCGAGCAACCGATATTTGGACCTGAGGAGGTAAACCAGCTGAATAACACCCGCCAAGTCTCTCGATCTTTACGTCACTCTTCCCCTCCTGATAAGAAGACCATTGATAATGTGAGTATCTGGCTGGCTGACTGGCTAGCGGCTTTTTTACACTGAAAGAAGACGGTTTTAAATGTATCTTGAAGGCTGCTCTTCTACTTTTGCAGACGTCTACCTCCGGTATGATGTTAGACGGTACCGCTGCTGATGCCACCCAGCAACTCCCTTCGCATCTCCAACCGGATACTAATGGTTCGTGTATTGGATATCTTTCAAGTTGTTTGGATATCTCAAATCTCTTTCAAAATCGCATTGCGATTCGTTAATTTGGTCATGGAGTGTAAATGAGATCTGGTAAATTTTTTCATTCCTCTCCAATCGGAACGCAGCAGTCGCCACTGCTGACTGTGGAGAGGAAGATAAGTCTGATGACGACTCAACCTTTCCTGCATCCTCGTCACCTCTTTTGGTGGAAGCCGGAACGGAAACGGAGCAAGTTGTGGCATCATCACTGCCACCGCCACCATCTGTTAAGTGCCTGGCGGAAGGTCCTCTCCTCTCTTCTCTTCGATCTGCAATGACCGCGCTTTTGCAAGAGGCTGTCACGACAACACGGGGTTGGTCAGTGAGCCAACTGATGGCACTACAGTGTGACCTGCTCTACGCTCTGCAGCGTACAGCATCGCTCCCTCTCGATGTACAAGGGGTCAAGTCTGTAAGCTCTCCTCTCATACTCGCCTCTAGCACAAAAAATCATCACTGATATCATCTCCTGGTTTGTTATTGCAGAGACTCTCCTCAATTCTACAAAATCACTATCAGATGGTGATCTACGATCGTTGCGAGGAGACGACAGACGCACCCAATCTCAAGCCCTACTCTCCACTCGCCTACCTCTGAGTATGGAACACTCACGTGTCGGCTATTCCGCGATTCCGCCCACGACGAAAATGCCATTCGCGTTTCAGTGGTTTTTGTCTCTCTCATTTTCACTCCATCTTGTATACTCCCTCCTTTTTTATTGCTTAGGCATTTGAAGACTGTAGGCGACGTGGTAGAACTCGCATTTGCTTTAGAGTATAAAGGTTTTCTGTACAACTTGTTGGATTATGTGGCTTAAGTCGGGGTAGGTTGTTGTGAGGCGAGCTCGTTTAGCTCTTTGAATAGTGGTTGGTGGGTCGTTGAGAAGGGGCTACGGCAGGGGTGGCGGTCGGCTTTGCAGCGCCCTGAGACTTCCCTGACAACGAAGTAAGGCAATACTTGGAGGAAGTGTTATAATGGGGCAGAAGGGCTTGGGAGTTAATGGCTTAACCCAGAGGTAGGGCCACCTAGGTGAGGCACAGTAATGGAGTCCCATGTGACCCGTTAACAAAACCAAGATTTAAGCAAATAAAATATTGTATGTGTTTCTTTGGAATTTTGTCAAGCTCGACTGTGTAAACTAAATGGGTAGGGATCCTAACGGACAAACAGTAGCCCTGGCCAATAAGCGTTTTTGTGTTAATGGGGATATTGGCATTTATAGATTTTGCAATTGTAAATCTAGGTAAATTTTTAAGTTCGAGTGTGATTATAAAGGCATTTTTCCAAAATCCATCACTTTGGTCCACCAAGCTATCACGCAAAATAAATAATTTTCCGTAGAAATAAAATTTAACCATATGTCTTTTCAGTAAAATCTGTGACAAGATCTCAAAACTTTATTTTCTAGGAGTTTGTCAACTTTCCAGTCGGGGGTGCTCATTGGCTAGTGCTTTACGCTTTCCATCTGCACTCTGCGGCCGTACTCGCTCGTGTGGATAATGGAGCAGCCTCTGTTCTCATGTATACGTTGTCTCAAAAATTTTCCATCTTCGCAGATGTCACGATCTGGGACAATTTGCAAGGTTTTGCGCTCCCTCTTTTACTTGACGACTGATGTCTAGGCATGCAATCCACACCATTCGTCATTCAAGCAATGCGAGTATTGCAGATCCGATTTCAAACAGTCGATGTAAGCCACCGCTCCGTTTCATTGGTTTAATATTTTAGGTCAGGTGCAATTTGTCCCCGATGTTGCTCACTAAAATCCAGATACGGAGATCCGAAATCTTGTACAATTTGTCAACTTCCGATGGCATTCGGTAGTGCATTAGTCTGTCAACGGTGTTTACACTACCGCACCAAGTTTGGTGATCCCAGACAGTGTGAAAAATGTCTTCATATGTGTGCTTTTTATAAGGACGAGGTAATTAACGTCTACCCATTTCCTCGATTCCTATATTGTGTCTCTACTTCCCTATTTCGTTTTCAGGCTAGTCGAAGCAAGGTTGATGGTCAAGTTCTCTGCTGGGTGTGTACATATAATTACAAAATGTCCAAATCAAAGGAACGGTCGGAGAAGCATCAATCAAAGCGCAGTAGCTTCAATGACTCTTATCTATCGAAATCTCACGACTCATCAAAGTACGCTGTTCTGTTAAGCTTTTCATTCCAATGTGTCTTTTTTCAAAATTCATCGGAACCGCTTTGTTCGGTGATAGTTCAAGCGCCATCAAACGTCAAAGAACCGAAGAATACACAAGTAGACATTCTTCAAACCGTCCTGGAAATGCTGCCAATTACAGGTACGTTACTGTGGCGCCTCTTTTGTATCCCATGTGCATTCTTGTCTTCCTAGTATGTTGAATCGACTTGAGTTACCTATGTAGACCTATTTCATATCAGTTTATCTTTGTACGTTTTATAGGCTTTCCTTGAGTTATAGTGACCTTTTGTAATCCTGATATATTTCTCTGCATACGTCTTTTATTCCATTAAACTACGAATTTCAATCGCGTTTTCAATATTATGGAAGAAGTGATTTTTGGGTATTTGTCCCTAGATTGGGTTTCAGCCCTGTTTCCATACCATATTTTCTGTCCATTCTTCACATTCTGCATGTGCCCTTTCGGCGTCTTTAAGTACAATGAGAGCTGTTGTGTAAATTTGCCTTAAAACTTTTTCTAGGCGCTTATATGTTGGATCGACAGACAATCACGTACTTGTAGGTACCATCAACTTCCTGTACGCTCTCATACACCAATGCTGCTTCAAATACCGCTTTATTTTCTCAAATACCATATACATTATTTACGTGGCTCATCATTGGGCAAATTTTTATTAATTTGCCCTCTTTTTTTCAAACCATTTTTCATACTGAAATGTATTTATACTTGTATTCCCAGACTAGGTCATCTCGACGTTTAATCCTTCAATTTCGGTCTATTCTACCTCTTTTTGAAAAGGATTTTTATTTAGTACTGCAATGAGAAGTTTCTCTAAGCATTTGTATTGAGCCGCTCTACAAATGTCCATTATTCTAAGCATCTCGTTTTTCTTACGGACTTATGGGCAAAAGCCTCTTCGCTTACTTAAATTCAATGCAAGCTAGTCATTTGTAAAAGCAAAGTTTTAACTTGGATCATAAGTTGCACGTTTCCCCACCCCTGATCCAGCATGGACTCGGCATACAATGAGCATCTCCTGACTATCGGCCAATTGCAGGAAGATATCAAGGCTTTGAAACGCCAACTGGCGCAGAAGGATGCGGAGTTATTGGCGAAGGATAAGATGATCGCGGGTCTTAAGTCCGACCTCGATGACTACGAGTCACAACAGCGAGAGCGCGCCTTCAAAACGCAGCACATAGCCAACGAAGAGATTGAAAGGCTCAAGGTGAGCTGCGCTTGGATGTGGTGATATTTTGCACGAATTATCCCGAGTCCTATTTCACCATTGCAAAATTGGATTTCTTACGTCAAAATTTTCTTTAGGAATTGAGCAAAAACATTAAAACAAGGCTGGTGAAAGCCATGAAAAAACCGAAGATCTGAATTTCTTTGGACATTTTTCATTTGCTCACGGCGTCCAAATGGGGCTGAATCACTTATAGATTCCGGTATGCTGAATTAGGACTGGACCTCGTGGTACAGCATGCGAGTAACTCCTATGCTTACATACGAGACATTTGCCCATTATTGTGTCCACCGCTCACCAACAAGCCTTCCAATTTTACTATTAAAAACTTGTCTCTGGAAAACTTAAGGATTAGTGAAATTAGGATTGAGTATGGAACAGGAAGACTGAAATAAGGCTAATCTAGGGGGATTGAAGATGTGGAACTAGTCATTACTTTTTAGGGTGTAACGATGTAGCGCCCGAGTTGGCCCCAGGCATACTTGCGGGTCTATGTTTACTCCGCAGCACTAGTCAGTGCTAGGCTAAAAATATAACTACCTGGAATCTAAAGAGGCATCTTATTTGGCTCTAAGCGCACATATACCAGACGTATGTCTATGACTTTTCGGCGTCATTGTCGACAAGTTTAGCCGTCCACTTGCGGATTTGTGGCACCCGTAAGAGTAAACTTGGAGATTGAAGGAGAGGCGATGTAGGTGACGCCTTTGCTTCTGCTTTGTTAGCCTATGTCTTGCTGTAGTGATGCGGTGCCTAAGTTACCCTGGTTTGCGTTCAGTGCCCACAGATGATACTTTTATTTCTGCTACTAAATTGTTAAACCTCTTGTGATGCTAAATTGTTCACACGATCTTGGTCAAAAGTTAAACTGCAATAATGGCGATATAAGAGATTAATATATTCAAGATTTTTTGCACACATGTATGGCACTCCAAGTCTGCGGTTATCCTTAATGCTTTAATTTGTCGAAAAAGTGGGTCCCTTACGGGCCCCCTGCTCTGAAACCAAGTAATCTTATCCCAAATCGGTACATCTCCATCCTTAGGTGGCCTTTTACTCGGTCTGGGTTACGCGTTGCCACCCCAGTCACTTTCAATGGATGCTCAACAGTGGAGTCCTATCATTCATTCACAACTTTATTTTTACATAGACTGTCTTTTCCACATAAGTTTGTCCTATATATCATTCCAACTTTAAAATTGCAAATGTTTTTAACTCACGTGCTATTTTTACATATGAAAGGGCTTCCAACCCATGGTGTGGTTCTCAAGTTATGGAATGCTAGATTAACTGCCATTAAAAGGCCTGCTATTTTTTGATTTAGGAGTGAATATTTTTAATCACATCATCCCAGTTAAGGTCTCGGGGAATAAGGGTTTGAATTCAATTCTACTGTTCTTGTTTCGGGTATAGCGCTTTTCATCGTTGGCGTTCTCAAACCGCCTTCTCCGTGATTAAAAGACGCAGCCAAAGACAAGATATGCAGCCTATAGTGACTTCTTTTTTGTTTTACCCATGATTAGTGAATGCCACGTATCTGCTTCTGGTAATTGTCACTTAAGTTTCAGATCCCCAAGTATGCAGAGAGCGACTTTTTGTCATCTTTTTGGAGTAGAATGTGGGACATGGTTACAGTGGCTTCTTTCATTTGTTCAATAGGAGACCATCCGTACCCTGAAGCGAGAAAAGGCAGAGCTGTCGGCCTCTCGTTTTACCTCCAAGAAACGTCGCATCGTAGCTCACACCGGCTCCCCCCTCACCCTCTCACCCATCCGTGTTCCACCAAAGCCAGCCAAACTCACCACCGTTTCCACTCCCAATGCTGTCTTCCACCGTAGCGGTGGGGGCGGTGCCGCCGCCAAGGAAGCCGGTGATAGTACTGCCTCCCCTACTCCGCCTCACAGCCCCGACACGAGCGGTGGTGCCGCAGTTGACTTGCCATCGACCTCCGGCACTCCTCCGACGCTTTTGACTACCACCACTGGTGAGGAGAAGGCGGGGGCTGGGTATGGCTCTTCCGCTCCGTCTTCGGCGCATTCATCAGTACCCCCGTCGCCTGGTTCACTGCCAACAAACGGACCGAGTAAAACGGTGCTGGCGGAAACGGGAGAACTGGAGTGTGCTATTCGGAGAGACTTGTTGGGCAGAGGTAGCAGTAGTGATAGTAGCGATGAAGAAGCGACAGCGGCGGTGGTGGATTAATCTCGACTACTTTGAACTACTGTTGACGAGCTGTACGCCCTCGGCGGACGTCCGACCCGACTCCGATGATGACTATTGCCATTGTGTCATTTAGTCACAAATTTTTTTGTACTCCGTGCTGATACTTATCCGAAGGGAACAATATACGCCCTGGTTGCGTAAGGCGTCGTGGGGTTCTTTGCGCCAGGTCGGGGTTTTGGACCCCGCGGGGTGGCTGCGGCGCATTCGACGTCGGCATTGGGGTGACTAGGTTTCCTTGTCCGGATTGTCTGGTTACGCCCCTCAGGCTTGAGGTTGTTTAACTGCGGCCTATCTCAATGAACATGAGACGCCCCACTGGTATACCAGAGAAATATTTTCTAAAACGGGATGTAGGAGTATCAACGAATACTAAGCTGACAAATCGCGAAGCTTAGCTAGTCCTATAAAGTGGAACTGATTTAAATATGTGAATGGATTGTGTCGAAAATGTTGTTAATAATAGCTGTAATTGCTTATCATCGTTAAACATATCATATAAAAACAACGGTATTTAATATTTTGAATTTGTTTTTGTTTCAAGAAACTTCTTAGTCACTTTTCCTTATTTTTAACAATGAGATTACATTTGACCTTGTGGTTGTCTTTACTCCTTGTTTTAAGCACCACCATGAGTGTAGAGGGCTGGTTAATTTAGGCCTATAGGCTTCATTTCTAATTTAGCTATATTTTATTGTGGAGGAATGGAAGAGTATTATGAAATATCTATCAAAAGCCCGGCTGGTGCACCGGATGAGATTTTTCGTGTGGTCAGATGTTCGGTGAGAGTTTAGGAATTTTTATTTCTTTAATATTGTTATAATTTCTTATATCACTTTCTTACCTTATAGGAGGATTTAGTAAAAGATGATAATAGGGAACTTTACGATTGTATTAATTGTACATTATTTGATGTTGAGGAGTTAAACGCAAACAAAGTTTTGCTTAATGGTTTTTCGGCTGTGAGTTGGACTTCGTGGAAATCAATTTCTTCGTACTGCATATTTTACAATTCCTGTGTAGAAGAATTTTGCAAACAAGTACTGTCAATCATTTACATAATCAGTTTTCTTATAGTGGAAAGCTAGCGGGATCACCCCAAAATTTTGCCAACGCCAAGCCAAATTCCATCAATTGAAATATATCATGGCACTTTGCTACAATCGTGCTATCGAAGAGCCCGACAGACTAAACCAGTATCCACCCTTTTCCCCTCAAGTCTATGGGGAAACTTCCTTCGAATTGATCCAGCAAATGGTCGAAAGTATCCCCATAAGCGGCGAGGACACCTTTATCGATCTTGGTAGCGGTGTTGGCCAGGTGGTTTTGCAGGTAGCCGCGTCCACTAATGTCAAATTCTCCTACGGAATTGAAAAGGCTGATTATCCTGCCCAATGTGCAGTCCGTATGGACAGGGAATTTCGAAGGTGGATGGCTTTTTTTGGGAAAACTTATCAACCATACGAGGTTTGGTTTTATTTCATCTATTTACACATTTGAAATTCCAAAACTACCATCTGTTTCTCCTTTGTTTGTTTATAGTTAATTCAGGGTGATTTCCTTGCTGATGAATATGTGGATATTATCGAGACATCGACAATCGTATTCGCCAATAATTTTGCCTTTGGTCCGGAGTTGGACTACCAATTGACTCTTCGGTTCTCCCGCCTCTGTGAGGGGGCTAGAGTCATCTCTTCAAAGTCCTTTTGTGGACGTACCATTCGCATGTCTGATCGCAGGCTTGGAGGTAAGCGTTTTGTATAAGCAGTGAATTATGGCCCTTTATTTGTTATCTAATTGTAGTCTCCCCTTTTTTCTGCAGATCTGAGCTCCATCATAAAGCTGACTCTACTAGATCCCGTTAACGACGGTGTCTCTTGGACAGATAAGCCTTTCAGCTACTATGTCCACACTATAGATCGGTCTCCGGTAAGTCGACTCTCTCTCTATCCTGTTGGTGTGAATTTCACTTTGTGTGCGTTAGTGCTCGTTTCTGTATGCGTGCGTATTCGCCTTCATTACTGCTTCATTTCACTTGCTTTCCATCCACTTCTGTCATCTGGTGACTCACCTGAAGAAAGCCTGTGCAAACACATCTTGGTTGACCGTTTCTTGTTGCATAGATGTATGCACAACTGTTGCCATCATTATTGCTTCCGCTGGTGCTCCTTTTTGCTCATTCGTTACCCTTTTCTTAGGCCCCTTGGAGAACCTTGGTGATTCATTTTGGGGGTATGAGTTGATGGAGCTTTTCCAATTTTTCATTCCACCTAGCAATTAAAGGGGATAGGATTGTTTACTTCGATTTAAATCATCATCTGTTCGTCCGTGATATTTGTGGATGCTGCGATGCCATTAATCACCTGGTTCACCTAAACAAGAGTTATTCTCGCATCTACCGTCTAACATTATCACTAGGAGAGTCAGGCTGTCCATTTGTCGTGCTCGAATTTTACCTGGTTCACTCGGTTCTTTTACTGACCTCAACATTGTGACCATTTGCATGTGTGAGGACACTGTGAGAGCATCGGGGATCTAGTTTCGCTTCTCTCATTCGCTAGATTGTCTTTTGCCTTGTGATAGATTTATTGTTGCGTTATGTAACTCTATTAAAAATAATGAGGCTGTTTGCCTTCAATACTATTTGAGGGCGCTGTGAGACCATCAAGCAACTATTTCCGGTCCTTTTATCATCGAATCTTACCATAAGAGGGCCTGACATTTGTTTATCTCGTGTTAGATTACCAATGCCCCAGATGGTTTTTCATTAGCTGGACTTGTTAACTCCGAAGTCTATGGAGGTATCGGTCGTCTAATTCCATTCCTCTTATTGTTAGATTCCATCACTTTCAATGACCCTGTCCACTTGCGAACAAACGTGTGGTTGCTGTGGCGATAAACCTGACTTCGCTTCCCCCGCCATTCAATTCTGTCACATAATGTATCGTCCACTTTTCTCGTTGCTTCATTTCGTTCCTGGCTAGTAATGGGAGGTTGTCCACTCAACAGCATGCGAGGATACCCTGGTGGCATTCATCTTGGTTGGGGACTTTGACCTTAGAGATCACATAACTAGTTGTATCTCCTTTTCATTGTCTCCCTTTCAGTTACTTAAATACTTCAATGACCTCAAAAAGGGTCAGCGAGGACATAGGACGAAGGAGCGCAAGTCAGCCAGTTCTGCGTCAACCCCTTCTGCCACCAACTCCACGTCCAATTCCAGTGATGGCTCACAGGTGATTTCTCTTATTTTAGCTTGTACTCTGGTGTGGTGGTTGTTCCACAGTGTAACCCATGCTGAAGTGGAAACGTGTAGGTTAAATCAACTTTCAGCCGGCACAGCGCTCTTTGGCTTTATGGAATGCGGTGCCGGGAGATTGCTGCAAATAAGCTGCTGCGTTATTCCTTTTACTTTTTCTATTAATAACGTCTAATTATCCCACGAGAACAATGCGTTCATAACTAACGCATTTGAAGCCGGATTAAGTTACTGGTGGAGTATCACGCGACATCGGGATATTTCAATGGCTCCAAAATGATACCTGCTTACTCTTTAAGGGGCGGCTATTCATATAAATATCATTTTCATGACGATACTGAAGGATTAGGACTACATAGTCACGCTTTAGCAGCATATCACAGTTGGGTGATAGTGAAATCCCACTCATTTTTCATTCCCCCTTGCATTTTTTTGAGTTGGCCCCCAGTGCTTATCATTCATGTGCCCTCTAGCGGCCTTGGAGACCTCACAGTCATGTGGGGCTTAAGTGGTAGTGCACGCTTGACCCTGTTGCGTTTTGCTGTCAGTATAGTCACCAGGGTGGTGTTCACCACTGAGGGCATATGATTCTGAAAATGTCTGCGCCGAAATAATACCCGTTGGTGTTAGTCACCGGGTCACGAGGCAGTGAAATATGACGGTTGAGTCGATTACGCTCCGAAGGCAGAGGTGCCTGAAACTAGTCTCTTTGCCATGCTTCTGCGTTATTACCAACCTTAAACGACAGCCGGGCAGTAGCAGAATTCACTTCGCCTCTCATATCATTCCGTTTCTGCTGTCTCTGATCGCTTGGGTAAAATGACTACCACTCCCCTCTGATTAAGGTGGAAGTCAGTGGGCAGTATCTCTGTGGTAGTTTAAGGGATTCGGACCCACCCCAAACCGTCCCTTGAAGTACCTCTTCATCTGTAGGATGGATTCTAATTATAAAATATTCGATAAACTTGGCGTATCTTTTCCTTGTTTGTTCCTTATTTTTTACCCACCAGTGATCCCTCCGGTTACCACTAAGCCCACCTTATGGGATGGGGATCTGAAGATTGAAATTGGACAGTTTAGCGACCATTAAAAACAGTAAAATCCCATCAACGTTTGCTGATGCTCGTCCTTGCTGTAAACCTTGATAGTAAAGGCACTGTAGACCCTTGTGACCCAAAAACGCATTAGCCATCTGTGAATGAAACTTCGAAGTTAAGTGGTAATCAAAATATTATCACCTTGTGCTTTTTTGATCACTTTTCGATTTATCATCAATGTCATCCCTGGACGAAACAAAACTCTAAACAATATCGGCTTCTTAAATATCAGAATTGCTTTTCAAATATCTCCCAAACTTTTGAATAACGTCCTTCTTGTGACGCAGAAGGGTTAGAACCAAGCCCGCTCCATCTCGGAGTGCCAAGCCCTGTCAGCATGCTAGTATCCCGTTGAAGTCAAGGTGCATCCATATGTATGAAATCTATCTCGATTATTCAATTTTTCTGTACCGGTCCTCCAAGTTTTCTCATTCTCTTCTAAAAGCGGGTGCATATAATGGTTACGTTCATATTCCTTTGCCTTTCTAGGTAGGCTGACAACTATTTAAAGCAGTTTTCATGCGAGCATGTTTTGGGGGTGGATGTTGTTGACGTAGTTGAACACGTGACAACTGCCTAAGCTTGGTTTTTGATCTTTCTTCCTCTTTCCTTTCAAGGCTGGAAGCGCAACGCCCTCAGTGTGTGGCAGTGAACAGCCTCACACTCCGCAGTCGCAGCGTTCAACCAACGCTGCCGAGGCTCGTGGCGGCCGCAAGCGCCGACGACGAGCTGGCTGCCGCCAGGGTGGTAGCAAGGCAAAGCGATGCACCGTGCGCGAGGCTGATGCGAAGCCTAACATCTCCTTCTCGTCCTCCTCTGCTTCCACGATTGCAGAGCATGATGGAGACGATGGCGACAACGAGTCTACCATGGACTCGGTGCAGCCGGCACCACCGCCCTCTCCGTCTCCTCCCCCTCTTCCCGCCTTGCTCAAAACCGAGGAAACTGACGAGTTCAGTGGTGGTAAGAGGCCTTTGCGCATGAAAGTGGACTTGAGACTACTTCAGACCACCTTCGTCTAGTCCACATGCCCTCGTATCCACCTCCTACCACCGGTTTTTTGTTTATTCTTTTGCATTTTTGGGGGTTTTTCGCTTAGCAGCCATTAGATAGACCTTTGTGTGCTTCCGTTTTTTACTTTTGCCAGTAATAAACCTTTTGCGTTTTTCCTCAGCATGCTTTTATTTCGACTCATTGGGGTGATGAGTGGGCGGACTGCTCACTAGCGCATGAATGCCACTGTGACTTCAGGCATTATGGCTCTTAAATAAACCCCTTTTTATGGTTTTTGCTTTTTTATCCTCTAAGAAGGGTTTTGAATGGATACCTATCGCTGAGTTGTGGGAGTGGAAAGTAGAAAACCTTTTATTTTTGCCTCCTTTGGGAGCCTTTAGGTAACCTTTTCTGATTTACCGGCAGTCACCTACTTGTTCATGGGTTTGGGATTTCTAATTAACTTGTCGTGAAAAGTTTTTCATTCATGAAGTTGGCTCGGGTAGTCTTGTCTGTCTCTTCAAAATACGACTATATCAGAATGTATTTCTGCTACTTATTCTACTGGTAAAACTCATCTTACCGTGACCTTTCTGTCTGTCAGAGTGGTACAAGTGGCTTTTTTTTGTTTCTCGTCCTCTCCGAGCGCGTTCGAATAGGAGACTATCAGTGATTTGTTCCCTGGTGTTTTCGGTTCACTCTCCCCCTTTCCTTTGGTTTACAGACACCTCTCGTATGACCTCCCATTCCGATCAGTGTCTCCCGCAACCGTTGGGTGACCTCCCCACTTCACCATCCTCAGCATCACCGTCTACCTCTTTATGTTCACATTCGGATTGCACCTCCGCTGACTCCGACTTCAAGGTCAAATTGGAGCCGAAGACGGAGCTTTCACTGCCTTCCACCTCTTCTTGGTCGTCCCTCCACGGGGCTATCCTAGAGAAGAATCCTCACCACCACCAATTTGGCTGCTCGACGTCATCGGCTCTGCGGCACCATCCCAGTAGGTGTCTAAGTGGTGTCAAAATCAACTGCCTCTTCTACTTTCTGTGGTTCGAATCAAGCGAGGTGCTCTAGGCTACCATGAAGAACAATTTTAAGTAGTCTTCTACATCTACACACCTACCTCAGCATTTATACCTGGAAGACTTAAAAGTGGTAAATTTTATCGGAATGGTTGAGCCATCCTAGGACAACTGACCCCATCTCATCATTGGTGCAAAGGCTGTCTTGCTCTCGAGTGTATTTGCCGTCTCAAATAGGAAGATCAGAGTATGCATCATTCAGACATTACAAGCACTAAAAGTTTATCCAAGTGGTTGTTATGTTGGTAGGCTGGGAACCGCCATGACGAAAATCTCCTCTGAAGTATGGCCAGCCGTCCTTGAAACCTTTGTATCATTCAAGTGCCTTACAGATGAGAAGATGAGCATCTTGCCGCCAAGCTAGATTGTGTTTGAGATATTCCATGGGAATAGATATTTGTTAGTGTTGCCTTTGTGCACCCATTGCCTACCATCTTGAAGAATGGTTTCTCGACTGGTCCATGACATGCGCACCTCTCACGTCAGCACCCACAAATGGTCCTCACTGCTGAAGGGAATCTAATCTTTCTACCTCCTTTTTTTCATGTCTGCAGAGCTGACGAAACGGATGCTTCTCAAACAGGTTGGTCGAATGCGACGTCCAGTGTATGCGAAGGGGTTGCTAGATAAGGCGATAAACCTTGAGAAGGAGCGTCAGAATCGGTTGATGGGCCATGTCATCAGGCTGGAGGAGACGATAAAATTGATGCATGAAGAGGGGAGGCAGCAGCTCGCGGCTTTCACGAACAAGGTTAGTCAAATCTCATCCAGAAGGGTTTACCTCTAGGTTAGAGGGATTAACGGGATGTCGGTGTCTTCCAATCCCACTTGAATACTCCTATTCACCAAGCTTACTGCGGCTTTAAAACAATAGGCATTGTAGATCACAGGTGGATTGATAAATAGCGGATTGCTTTATCCTACAATAGCATCCCCCGCACTTCGCTCGCTATATATAGTGTAAGGAGTGGGGCGTATCTTCAAAGCACCTCAGAAGCCTTTTGATTGATGGTTTTTTAGTAGTGCTAGCACTGGTTCCACAAATCGCTGATTAAACGCACCACTGTGTTCTGGAATGCCTCCAAGTGTAATGAGGAGTATTGTGTTAGAATTCTAGAGTTTCCGCGCGAATCACGCGTGGAGTAATGGTTACCAGGCCGAGAAACGATTAGCCACTTTGTCGATCAGTGGCCTAAAATCCCTGCACCAGTTGTGACATCAAGCGAAATTCATATTCTCCAACACTGGAACCTTCTCATGCAGCCTGATCAAAAGATTACACCCATCTCCCTTTCTCATTGGTAAGAGAAGGGTACGTGGAACGAGGCTTCTCCCCGAATCGCACGTCACGTCCACGATACTGTTTGCTCCTAGGCGCATTCAAAAAGACCTTTGTTGTACGTGCTTTGGAGGTAGGAAAAGGAAGGTGGTCCAATTAATCAATGTTTTGAACACACCCATGTCGCCTGTCCAATTGTGGAGGCACAACCATGACTCACTCTCGTTTCCTGCTTTCTTTTCAGCTCGGAATGCTAGTCACTACCCCGGCCACCTTCTTCTTGGAAGCGCGTAAAATTATCCGACATCATCGCAACCTCGAGGCGAAAATGGTGGAACTGCGCGAGGAGGTGAGGCACATTTTTCCCCTTGTCCCCTATTCTGTCATCTCTCCACTTATTTGGATGTTGGCACCTTAGTTGGCCCGACTGGCTGATTTCCAACGTCAGATGGCGATGAAGACGCAGTCGAATTGCGAGCACCTCGAGCCCGAGGAAGAGGAGGAGGAGGAGGCTGATGTCGAAGCCATCTATCGACCGCCGATTGCGAAGCGCCCTCACTATCCTCCTCAACTCTTTCCCGAGACGGAGGTGACGGTGCTAACTCCGCCAACCCTCTTACCGACGGAGGAGGACATACCACCGCCACAACTTATTGCTCCGGCGATAGCCCCGCCACGACTTACACCGATCCCGTGCGTGCATAGTGAGGGCACACCGCCACCACCATCTCCTCACGCTGATGATGAAGTAGGAAACTCAGCTTTTTCTTTGACCACTGCCCTATTGCCTTTGAGAAAGTCGCTCAGTTTTACTGGTGGGAGTTCTTGTGTGTTTGTGTATGTGTGGAAATGGGGAAGTAGTGTTGTTTAAGTGTGAAAAGTGCTTTCGTTTGCCTCTTGTCAGGCGGTAGGGCTTCGTGGTTGATGTGATTCTGATGCCTACCCCGAATTTTGTAGGATGGGGAACGGAGTTTATCAGCTATTTAAGCTTTGCGTGACCCCTGCCATCAGCTCTTGTGGGTGGGTAAATGCTGCGCTTGCCTTCCCGATGCTCTTTTTTGTGATTCCTGCTAATTTACGAGCCTCTCGGATTGGTTCGACCAACTGCCTGGGTTGAATTTGGATTGAATGCAGCTTTGAGGCGGGTTGGTGTCAGACTAGGTGTACTTGATTCTGGTAAACGTCTCGTTTCTTGCACTCTTTTTTTTTAAGAATTAAGTCGAAATTGACGTCAATCTAAATCCGGTTCTCAGGCTTCATTATTTTTAACTTTTGTAGCTCCCTGTCTCGACCCTTTCTGCTGTCTTCGTATGCTTGACGTCTCTGAAACTTTCTGGTAGCCGTCCTTGTAAATAAGATGGTGGAGGTAGCGACTTCAGTTCCACTTCAAGTGCCTCAGATGGAGTTGGGGTGGCGCGATGCTGATAAGGGCCTTGAGATCAGTGAGAAATTGAGAAGAGCTTTGAAGTTCGTTAATCATTTGAATTGGTTCTCTATGAAATTCCCACCTTTAAAGTTACTGTGGCATTCTCTTCTAAAGTTAGCCTTCTTTAGTCCTACTCCTGGAGTATTCCATTCACATTCCATCGGTCTTGGTATAATTACGTTGGCAGGGGTTACCAGACGCCCCAGAATGGAATTAAATGTAGCCCGAGTGTTCTTCCAGTTTCTGCACTTTGTGATGGATTTAAACGACTTAGGTTGTAGTTTCATCCATGACTGGACCCGAAATTGACACTTATAGTGTTACCCTCGGTTTGCACACCTCGTATTTTGCATAAGCTCGAATGACTGTAAATTTCACCAAAATTCTCGCCGCTGATGTGAAATTGGGGAGGATGAAGGCAAGCTAGACTGTCCTAGTGCTGATGGCTGCTACGCCACTCCTTGCGTCATACATTACTCATGAAGTAATGTGCGGAAAATTGGAAGCACAGCTCTGGGGGCTGGGGTTAACCCGGCCCGATTTGATTTTGATGATGACAAGCTGAGATTGATAGAATGCAATTGGGAGAAGCATGGATCTTCGATGTGCTGCAGGGACTTGTGGACTGAATCGTCTTCCCGAAGGCTGGAAGTCTTGAATTCTGATTCGATGGCCTCCTTGATTGTGGTATCCGCTATTTGCCTTCATTTTCACACTTCTAATTGTTTTTACCTCTGGTGGTATTCCTTGAGCTGCCTCTCTCAGGATAATACAACCTCTTGGTGTTCTTTATTGAAGTCAACCTTTGAAAATCAAATTTTAGGAGGCTGAAATCAAGTTACTTTGGCTGTGTTTTGGTAAAACTGCAAAATTTCTTTCCCCAATGTGTCCTGTAGGCACTAGGGGCGAATTCCAAGCCCTAAAGCTCAAATTAGGTTGGAGTAATCAGTTTCTAACATTACCCGCGTTTTTAAAATCAGTCGGAACCAACCCACGTGCATTAGCTGTGTGAATTGCACATGATTTCTCGTTTTCGCTATTATCGTCACCATGGCTAATTGTTGTTGTCACCCGTGCTGGCGACTGGAGAGAGTAGCTTGTCTCAGCCTGCTTCTCAGTTAATGCACACGGTAGCACTGGACACGCAACAACACGCGCGCCATCTGCTCTCTCTCTTTCTCGCTCTCGCTCTCTCTCACCTGCTACTAACTCCTACCTCAGGTCTGCGATTTCACCACTGAAGTCCTTCCACCGCTCTACCGCCGTCGTTACTACTCCCTCGATGCTGTGAGGTTTGGGGAGCTGCAAGCACGCCTGCGGCAGGCGACGTCCAGCAGCAACACTCCACAGCCAAGTGCTTCTCGCATTTCCTAGGTCTTCTCTTCCCTTTCCTTTGTGGTCCAACTTTTCTTGTTCTTTTTTTTTATACGCACCCACGCACACACACTCCTTCCAGGAGGATGTTGTTTTGGCATTTCTTGCATATGGACAGTTGGGGAGAGCCCTCCTGCATTATCATCACCAGGTTTCACTGTTGTCGCCTCAGCGCGTGAAAATTCCAGATGCAAATATTTCTCTCTTTGTTTTTACGGACTGTTTGAGCGATTGTAAATAATGAGGAGGCGCCGATAGGTCTTTGAAGTGGGATGTATAGTCTCCCACTCCTCCTTCTCACCTTTGTTGATGGTTATTACTTGAGATTTGCGCGAGCACTAGAGAGTAGCCTTCCTTAGAGCTCTGCGAACTTTCCACTCTCCCCTCGCTCCTCTATGTGTGTATCTTTCACTCCCAAATATAGTACTATTTGCTGAGGTGGTCTTCTGTTTTGGGAGGTTCTGCCTCGGTTACCATCTATTTGACCGAAGTGACGGTGGTTAAGCGGCAGCACCATTTGGAGCGGCGTCTTTTCAGCCGGTGAGGGGTCTATGTTGACGCTGCACAATTGTTACAAAAGGGAGGGGGCCTTTGAAGTTATCTTCGTGTGCCAGTGGACACACTCTCTCTGCTCTGACATGCATAACGCGGTGACGACACCACCTTATTTGCTCGTGTAAACACACAGTGTCGCTGCTTGGGTGCTATGACTGTACACACCGTTAAGCGGCGATAAACGTGAATTTTGGACAAACATCTCTTTGTTTAATTGAATGTTATGAAGAGTTGGCTCGAAGTGTCACGAATATAGCTAACTTTGGAGGTCTCTTGGCCTTAGGATTGTTTATTTTTGCCTCAAAAAGACATTTCTCCACCGGATTCCTGTCCTCTGGATGAGCGCATGTTGTCGGCGGTGGATTGACACCCACATTGACATACTGAGCCTATTCTAACGGGTCAGAGGTTTAGAGGCGTGGTAAGATGCCATCGATGAAGTTGTTTTCCACTCTTAATTACCACTACTCCGTGTAGAACGGGTAGAAGTGAACTTACCTGAACCTTGTCCTCAGAGGTCACGGCCACATCGACTAACCAGCCAATCTACTTGTCTGTGCAGTACTTAGTTGTCACGTTAGTTCCAAGTTTTGGCTCTGGCCCAGAGTGAAAAAAAAACAACTATCACAGGCGGTTTAATTAATCGTTAATCGTAATTGAATTAGTGGGCTGGCAAATGTCTGGCTCGCTGTAATTAATTAATCAATATGGGATAAATTAATTACCGCCCCCCCCCCCCACCTCAGCGACCTGGACTGAAGAGTGGCTTGGGAATGAGACTACTGGGTAGCAGTGGAGACTATCAGGACGGACATGCATCACTCCTGCTTGACCGTTGATAGCCAGACGATTGGTTCCGGCACGAATAGATTGAGGTCCCCCCCCCCCTCCCCAATTACGAGTGGACTTCTTTGCCGTTTGACGGTTACACGGTCGCTTAAGTCTCCACAGGTTATACTACCCCTCCTCTGGGTTATGCCAGTCGCGCCTATCAGTCCCCCCCATAGGCCATAGTACTACAATTTCGGAAAAGACTCGGGGCTAGGAACGGCCGTAGCAACCAGTAGAGCGTTTTCATTCCCAATCTGGTACTGCTGGAGGGTGTTTATCCAAAACCACATGTCTTAACGCCTCCGTATTTTGATGAATCATTTACAAACGAACTGACGTGTCTAAGGATGTTAAAAAACCATAATTCCTCCATCGTCGTGGGCGTGATGTGCGCATGTGACTTCGGAATTTGATAAACTTTTCATCTCCCGGAGGAAGGAGGGTGAAAAATTGCTCTCAAGAAGGAGAGTGAAGCACGATCTAGTTACTCAGATGGATCGCTGTGGCCCCTTCCCTTGCTGCACGGGCAACTGCAAGTAATGGGTCGCCAGACCATCGTAATTGGGTAACCTTGTGCATAACTAAACCATTAGGAATGTCCAATTCCCTAGTGTTTTACTGGTCTGTCAAGGGGTGAATGGTTTGGCGCGAGTGACGACACTTCCTCCCCTTCTCTGCTCGCGTAGACGTCGCCTATTTTGCTGCGCATCACCTGCTGGGCATCAATTGGTCGGCTCAAGGTCGCCGAGGGGCTGTAGGTTTGATTGCCGGCCGGTTTGCGTTCGCGCACATCCGATGCTGGTACAAATGCACGGAGCGCCTAAAATGCTCATCTTTATTTCTCGTAACTTAAATATTTCTCCCACGTTTCTCAATTAATCTTTCGGGGAAAAATTGCAGCATGATTTTTGGATTGTAAAGTTGAGAATCACAGTCGTAAAATTGTGCACAGTCAAATGAGGTCACTCTGTAAAAGCAGAGGAGGTGTTAGTCAACCAATTCTCCATTCCGACTGCCGTGATTTATTACCACATGCCAACTAAGGTACACAGCGCATATTGGGTCAAGACAGAGCTGTCCCGTGCGCATTTACTTCCATTTACTAGAGTGGCCGGCGATACCCCAGCTTGTCAATATTAAGAGAGGTGTATTTACCATCGGCTATGGTTGAGATGTCAAGGTGATTGTTTACCATTATTCTTCACTTTTAATGCCACAAATCTCTAGTGGAATACATTCAAACTCCTAATTAAGCTTTGCTGAATACAACAATACTTCAAGAATATAGTTTCATATTTTTATGCCAAATTACCTAGCATCATTGTTGATTCCATGCAATCGAAGAATTGGATTTGTCAAACAAAATTTGACATCTCCTCTGCGATGGCTAGTCTTTGATGAGGCAACGGCATGCCCTGTAATTTTGCGACAGATGAGAGGATGCAATATGTTTTAGCGTAACAACACTTTTAAAATTTCGAATCCTTTCATTTCGTTTATCAAACCTGAATTAGATTAAGAATATACGATCACTTTCAACCGGTCTTTGGAAGAGAGGAGGAAAATGCAAAACAAGTAATAAGCTAGAAATACTTCATGTAAAGGCCACGCTTGGTTGATAGAATCATTTAGTGTTATCAACTCAAATGAAGATGGGCAAGATGTGAAGCTTTATAACATTCCTTCAATCATTTTTACAATTTAATGACTTAATAAAAAAATGTACAATTATCCCTAACTGATGCTCAGACCTCCAAAATATACCTGTGGTAAGCAAAAGTGCTTCAATATTTGCGTAAAACACAAAACCCATGGTGAGAGTCAAGCATAGAGACAATGGTATATTTAAATATGTATATTTGGTTGACTTGGTTTGGGATCAATGGTTTCCGTCAAATGGTTTCGCAAAATAAAATCTTAAAAAAAAAACAAACCACTGTGCTTTAAGGTAATCCTAATTTAGGACAATCCATGGCTTACTTGCTTGTATTTCTTTAAGTAAAGTGTGGAGAATAACCCCGCGCATTAAGAGCAGCCGCGATTTGTGCTGATCAAGCAAATACTTCACTGCATTTTTCATGAATTTTGGCCTGTAAATTTTCAACAAAAATCTTTTATGTTTAACATTTTTGTTTATAGCAACTGAAACTGCACTTCAAGGTTCTAGGTGTGGTGGGTCGACATGTGGGTTGTGCGTCGTCGGATTCGGTGCTTGGATGCAGCCTAGGAAAGTTTATTTGACAAAAAGTGAACAAATTGCTTTTTCCGTTGCAAAAGGTAGGATTCGGTTTTATATTCGAGTAGTATCCTGAGGGTTAGTCCATTTTACAATGTATTGCTCGCACCTATATGACAAAACATGCCGTGTTTAAAGACAAAAAATCCTCTGTTTAATCCGTGCTGGACAATCGTATATTATTCTCTTGCGCTAATTGCATTGTCGCTATTTCGATTTCAGGTCAATATCTAGTTGGTAACAATAACGGTCACTTCTACCGATTTCTACTTTTTAAACCTACAAGTCCTTTTGCAAGTGGTATTTTATGACTCATGATTTAGTATGCTAGACAAACGCTACAGAGAATCTAGTAAGCTTGATTCTTATTTGATCGTGTTTGTTTCTCCAACATTTTTATCTTTTTGCAACCAGAACATGGAGGACACTGACAGAGCCTTACCTGAAGGCGCTAAAACACCCCCGAATGAACCATCTTTCGAGATAATTGATCTTCAGGTACTCTGTTTCCTCATCAAACGTCAAAATTCTTAGGAACTCTTCCCCAGCAATACGCCTTCCATGAAAGCGGAAGTTTTGAACGAAGACTTGTCATCGATTCCCTCCACTTCTTTAAGCAAAACACACGAGCAAGTGGATTCAGCACCAATGGGCATAGAAGATCAGCTTTATAGTAATTACTTGAGTGGAGCAATTTCTTTTGATGAGCTTATGAAAGAACTTCACGCAAAGACCAATTTGGATCGGACGGGTAGCAACTCTAAAAAGGCCGCTCGACGTCGTCCGCGTCCTCCTCCCAGAAACCAACGCGCAAAATCCGGAAGTGAATTTAAAGACCCACTTTACGAACCCGGTAAATATCCTTATTTTATTTCGGCCTTTTGATCAACTTTATGTGAATTCATTTGGTGTATCTTGGATTTTGTTTTTAATCTAGAAAGCGATTTCGGTGATGAAAGACTTAGAAGATCACGAAAGAGTAAACAATCGGCTCCCCGGAAGGTAGGTGACAGTGATTAAACAGTATCTCAAATACGAATTAAATGAACCCTTAGAAAGTCGTTTGCTGAATGAGTATGGGTGCACTGTGTATTGGCAAAAATTTATTTTTTGATATTGTTAAGTGGTGTACTGTTCGATGTCATTATTATTATCGGTTTCTAAAACTCACTGAATCATAATGTGGCAAACTATTTCCAGATTTGGATCTTCCTTCATGACCTTCATACTTCTTTTCCTAATTCTAGAAGTGGGACCTTAAATTAGAATTAGCAAATTATTTGGGGGAAGCGGAAAGACACTTAAATAACGGGAATTTTGACAAGACTGAAGAGATTTGCCGAAACATCATCAACGCCGGTGAGCAGTTTTCACTCGGAACGTGTTCAAGTTAAAATTATGGGTTGGCGAAGTATTTTCTTCTTGTAGCTCCACATGCCTCTGCCCCCTACGTCGTTCTGGCCGACATGTTTTACAGGCAGGACCGCAGAAAGGATTCTCAAGAGGTATGTCTGGTGGCACTTTCCTGCTGTCTCCCAGTAGAGTAAAAATTTATTTTCTAACCTTCATCCCTCGCAGCACATGCTGCAAGCAGCGGAGCGTAATCCTCGAGACTCTGCATTGTGGATGAATTTGGTTGATTTTTCCGAGGACGAGGGCGACCTGAAACAGGCCATTGTCTACGCTCGAAATGGTTAGTAGTGCAAATAATTATGCTAAAGTGCTATAAGCAACGAAACGTTTATTGGAATATTTGTATTCTTTTTCTTCTCTAGCAATGCGATCTGCGCGGAATGATTCAGAGATTCGCCACCGGCTGGTGAGTCTCCTGATGGCGACGGGTCAAGAAAAGGAGGCTCTTCGGGTGCGACTTACGGCTCTTCTCTTTGGCAAAAATAATGATCCCCGTAAGGCCTACAATCAGATTGTCAAAATCGCTGAGGTGTGTTTTTCTTGTTACTACGCTTTTATGATGACACTTGAAAACCCATGAAATCGGCGGCTATTACGAGACTTAGACATCGATTTGCTTTATTAAAAAGTTGACACATCGAACTTTTCGGTGCTTATAAGTAAACCTACGACGTGGTGAGTAATACGTGATGTGTGTGATGCCCGAGTTACCTCTAAAGACATCGAATGGTATGTAAATTCGGGACCGGTTTACTATCGGCATACAGATAGGCTATTGGTTATAGCCTTCCGATTGTGATAGCTGGATCACTGGATCCCGAAAAGTCCGCTTAGTTTTGTGTAAAATTGAGGCAAGCATTAGTATCCACATTTAAATTTCATGTTTAATTTCATTTCGATTCATTCATTTATATGTGCGTTACTTTACTGATGGTAGGAGTTCGCTGCTCTTGGTGACCCAGGTGGTTGTATTCGAACCTATGAGTTGGCTTTTGAAAAGCTTCCTGAGATATGTCCTACCAAGGGTAAGCCCTATCGCCACGTTAATGCCCTATTTGCTCTGTCTCGACATTCCCACATTATTGATACGAACATTGATCCTTCCTTCTCCCCTAGATCAGCTCCGTGTGCTTGACCTCTTTCAAGAGGGTGATCGACCTGAAGAGGCTTTTAAGGTTCGTTTTACTTTACCGCATAACCTCTGGAATTTACGTTACATGGAACAGTCCATCAATGTCCGACCTTGGAAAAAGCGTCAATTGTCTGTTATGCTCCATTTCCTCTACTTCTCAATGCACATCAGTTCTCACCAGATATGAAAGGCTAACTTGGGTTTCGTTGTTTTGCTTTCCCTGTAGTTCTTCCTCATGTACTGGGGCGTCTCCCTCATTTGCGAGAATGGACAAGTTGCCTCACCATATCGCGTGCCTTCCAACACTGCCATTATGGAGTCAATTCGGCGGTAAGTCAGCCCTTCATCTACGTTCCCACAACGGGCATTCTAAGAAAATTAGTCGGCAGCAAATCTCGACTGTGCAAAGAGGTGTCTGCTTCTGCTATCTGAAAATTTGCTCTCATTTACCCGATTGTTATATATTTTCGGCTAATAAAGAAAACTCTAAACAGCATAATCGTTACTTTATTGTTAATCTTTTCAGTGTTTTTCTCTAACGCATCGGCTTTGGGTGTAACCGCCTTCCCTCTCCATTTCAGATGTGAATTTGCAGAAGATATGAATGTGGTTGTACTAATCCGTTTCTTCATCCTCATGTTGAAGTACAACCTGGGATCAGTTGTAAAGGCGAGTGATTGTATTAAGTGGACTTGGTGCCTTTTTTTCTGTTTTATTCTCTGAAATGGGTCAATATAAGGAGGTACCAAGTCACCTTTGCAGTTTAACAAACCGGGTAGATCCACGTTGAGCATTCTGAATGGGTTTTGTTGGTTAATTACCAGCAATTGAAAAAATTGCCTTGTTCGATCCATAGGATCACCTGAATTCTCTGATCGCCTCCTCCTCCACCAAGGAGTTTCGTCGAAGTCACGGTCTCTTCTTCGACCTGGCTAAGTCCTGCAAATCTGCTGGTCTCATCTCCGAGGGACTGGCCATTGCAGGACGTCTCACTACTACGCCTAAAATCAAGCCCGTGAGTTCTTAATCTGTGGGCAAATAAATTGAGCTTTCCTTTTCTTAACTGTATGTTTGGGTCGCAGAATCCCAAAGCACTGTGCCTTCTCGGCGACCTGCAAGTGGAATCGAACCTACATGAAGAAGCCCTCTCTACTTACCGCCATATCATCAACCGACTCGATCCACGGTGTACTGAGGCGCGTTTGGCGTTGGGGAATCTTCTTCGTCGTCTAGGGGACGAAAAAACTGCTCTAGAAGTCCTTGAACCTTCCCTACTCCGTATCAGTCAGCCAGATGCTCAAGAAACTGGAGTGGAAGCGGAAGTCGGAGACAATTCCACTGAAGATGAGGACGATGATGACGACGATGAGGGTGACGACAGTGAAACCTCCAACAGTGACCGCTTCTCTGATTCGGTGGAAGAAGAGGATGAGGAGAGTGGGGGGGACAATTCTGAAGCAGTGGAGGCCGAGGCGTTGACATCAGCGGTGGTGAGTGGCGGGTTCGTAACTTCACCAATGCTCTGCAATGATCCCACCGCTATGCGACTGGCTTTTGAGCGCTGCAAACTCCTTGATTCGCCTGCTACTGTGAATCAATTTTTGGAGGAGGCATGCCGTCTCCTCTTCTCTGATGTGATGCAGATCTACTCCTGTGAACGACCTGGACGTGAGTTTTCGATCTAATGTCAAAATACTCGCTACTTATATAGTCAATGTAAGCACGATTTTATCCGTGTCCCACAGCCGCAGTGATGTTCCAGTACTACCTGTCGAAACACCCTTCCGTGCAAGCACTAGCCCATCTGGACGAACAGACGGACCCAGCTTTGCGTGTCTCATCGGAGGACCTGTGGGCGACTTGCTGCTGCCGAGTGATTGAGATTCTGATTAAACGAGCCGACTATGTCACTTTGGATCGATTTCTCTCCTGGGCCTCTGTGCTGCCTTGGATTGTGGAAACGTCTTATCGACGGCGTATGATCACCCACCTCTACATCAGCAATGCGCTTCAAGTTGGACATGGGGAGACTGCTATGGAGGCGATGAGGCAGATTGAAAAGGAGGTACATTTTTTGTCGAATTTCGTTTCCTCTTTTCATGCTCTCCAGGCATTAGCAGTATACAAATCAGTTTTGCTTAATCTTTTCCTTCCCTTTCAGTTTTCCCATCTGAATCAGTACTGGAACCTCCTCAATATTGCCTCGACGACTTCTCGAGAGCTTCGACTCACGAGATTCCTTCTTCGACGAATTGCTAAGGATAGGGACAATCTTGGCGCTTCACTGATGAGTTGTGGCGACTGTATGGCAAGGGGATCGAGTCGCTACTCCATAGGTATGTTCTAAGAGCTATTTCCATTTGAGTATTCCATCATCGTACTAGCTATAGATAGCTTGATCTGGGTGTTTGAGGGTGACCAGAGAGTCTCTGCGTTTTAGCTCTCATGGCTGACATCCGATCTCGATTCCCCAACAACCCTCTTGTCTCCCTCCTACTCGCCGTCTGCTTTCTCAACATCTCCGTCCACAAGCACCTCTTCTCCCGTCACAAAACAGTCCTTCAGGTGAGCATTTTGGTCAATGGTTGGAAGGCAGGATAATGGTACCATCAGCATTAAAATACGTATTCTTAGTCCTGTCTTGGCTTTTTGGTAAAGAAATACCTTTTCCACGTTTTAGTGCCTTGGATTCTTAGGGGAGTACCGCCAGCTGCGTGGAGAATGTCAAGAGACCTACTTTAATATTGCTCGAGCTTGCCATCAGTGCAGTAAGTTGCTTTATTCGCTTGAAGAATTAAGAAACTTACTATTGCTCTTGAGTACTTGTCCTTCTAATGGAATTTTTAATCCCTCAGTGCTGGGACACATTGCTATTCCCTACTACGAAAAGGTTCTTGAGATGGAACCGGTTGGTTCAACGGAGGAAGAAAAGCGGGTGAGTACTTGGATACACAAAATCCTTTTCATCCTTACCTTTCTTCCACTTCATTAATAGAGGCGTTTAGTGTGAAGGCTTTGGTATTCCTCAAGTAGCTTTCGCTTTAACATCGACGTTGCCCTTGTCGTGATGATTGTCTAAAGGGCACGGAGATATCTCGGTGGGCGATTTTTAGTCCATGGATCTTGTTGTAATCCGCCACATCGCTTTTTTGAGGTTTTATCCTTTTTCGTATGGATCATTGTCGGAAAGCGAGTCGACCAATAGCGAATGTTCGTTCGAACAGAGTACTTATTAGCCGCGTGGGCGTTCTTCCGGTCTGTCTGGGGCTTGCAAGAATGAATGGGAGGCGTTTAGGGACATACAGGCTAGGGAGATGGAAGGTTCATCTGTTTTTGTGATACAACATAGGGGGTCTCGATACTGGGTTTGATCACCTGTCAGAAATGTTGTTGTGCTGTATGGTGAACATTTCCTGGCACTTTCTGGTTGCGAACTTGATCACCTCACTAAGGGAGGTGGTATTTGTGCTACGGAGCTTCTCAAGCATAACAGGTGGCCGAACTCCATGTCTGAACTGGGCGATTATCTATCCTGCGACTACGGTTGCAGGTGAGCCATGGAAGGCTCGTTCTGCTAGAAGTTTGACTTTCTTCCCGTATCCCTCGTCGGCTTCGTCTACTTATTAGTTGCGATGAAAGAAGTCTCTGGTGAGTGTCTGTTATTCCAGGTCGTTGAAGATTTGGGTAAAGTAGTGCGGCATTGTTTCGTCTCGGTGTCTGGGGCAATATCCGCGTCTACAAAGGCCGAGAAGAGATTTTGGGGGGCGAGTACGGAGGATCTGGAGGGTTCGCTGGTGTTACAGGTAGAAACTAGAGGTTAAATTTGCCGTTTTTAAGCCACTCCTTGGAGTCCAGTGTCAACTGGATTCGCTGTTCTGAGCCATTCTCATTCCACCCTCCCACAAAGTGCCATCATTGCGGAAACTCCCAGATATTTTGCTGATTTTCTATTCCCTGAAGTGGTCGTTGTCCCTAGTATTTGGTGTGTTGATCGCCAAGCGCCACCACTGTTTAGATAAACAGTTCATCCGTTGTCTGCCTTCCCAAGAGTACCTCCATTTGACCGTTTGTCAACACGCCCATCCACACGTAGCCGCGCACATCTTGCGTCGATGACACCCAGTTTATGTGCTGCGACAAAACCGATAAGTGGATGTCGCCATGTCGTTAGTTGAAAGAAATTTCGTCACAGTTCTAGAGTCATCCGATAAGACGGTTAGTAAGCAGCCGACTTTCCAAGTTGTGACGGTGCACAGGTTTTCATCCTCCCGAACTCACTATTTCCGGTTTCACAGCCACATCCTCGCGGTACGGCTAGGGTCCTGGTAAGCCATCTTATCTTGGAAGGGTTCTCCCATTGACCCTTCCATTCTTCAAATGGAACTGGCTGAACGGAATGTGAGATCCTTGGGATCATTGTGTTGGTGTCAGAGTATTGCTTAACTCTAAATGCAGCCAAATGATTCACTCGGTGGTTCGGTTGGTAGCCTATGCGTATCCCGCCATGCCCAGCGAGGAAACGGCAAGAAGGAATTATCTACTTCCCCATTACACAATTACTACTGTTCTCTTTTAAATCGTAGCTCCTTGACTTGAGGATGGAGGCAGCGTACAATCTGCAGTTGCTCTACCAGCAGAACAAGAACCCGACAATGGCGAGGTACATTATGCAGAAGTACCTCGTGATTGAGTGATCCTGGTTCGTTCTATTCTCTTCTCTTCCTTGGTGCGTCTGCGTGAATATACCCATGTAAATATTGTAGTATACTCCTGTCAGATTGTCCTCTATTTCTCAATCTAACTTTATTCTCTTTTTGTAATATTAATTGGGCCAAAATAAATGTTTCAATTTAGGCTTTGGTGGTTTTTGGGATGCTGACACCTCCTTGTCTTTTGTAAAGGCTGATGACATTGCTGAGTTGAGGTGTAGCGTACTGTAATTGGTCTACCGCCCTCTACTGCACCCTTACCGGGCTTAAATAGACTTTTTTTCCCCTCTGAAGCGTGAAATGATTTAGGAAAGGGAGGATTAGTGGCAAGAAGAGGTGGTGCCAAAGTCTGCTCTCCTTCGTCTCTTCCGCCCCTGCGGTGGGGCATTGTGAAAAAACTAGCCCATCGAAATTGCGCAGTCGCTTGGTATTCCCCCCGACGGTGTATTTATTTGGAAATAATCTGCTGTATCCCCGGTTCGTACTTTTGTTTTGCTGGGGAGTGGGTACCCATCACAGCCTCACGAAGATCTGGAATGCTGCTGATAAACTATTGAGTAGTGCGGGGATTGGGTTTGCTTAGTTCAACCACCCTTACCCGATTAGCCAGGTGACTAAGTTGGGAATTCGCTTGTCTGCCCGTCACATGATCCTGTCAGATTTCTCACTATGAATTTGTCTTTCAAATGTGACTTGGTTTCAAAGGAACTGCTCATCTCCCGCTTTCTCTGAAACCTTGTGACTGCTGAGATCACTCCCATGAGTTTCTGCCTACAGTGGCTCTTAATTGAAGCTTGTATAAGTGGAGAAAAAAGGAGGTGAACACGAGTCTTCCTTATTCTCACAGACATAATACCCCAAATTCGTCCCAACACTGAGGTGAACATCGGGGGGGAAAGGTATGTAGCATCTTTCCACCGCAACTCTTACAAATCCTAGGTGACTTTCCATCACACCCCTTCCGCTGTCCTTAATCGTAGTTGTGTAGTTCCCTGTAAATGAAGGGAATAGGATTGTGGAGTGTAAATTGAATGAATTCCAAAAGCTCACATTTCGGCGATTGGTTCAAGCATCTCACACACATTTGAATTTTCACGTCGAAGAGATCAAGTTTAAAATGACTTGCAGCGCCTACTTCCCTCAAAAAGTAGACAATGGACGTAGGAAGTCATTTTTCTTTGTACGTGGAAAAAAGCTGGAGCATCAATGGCATATGCATCACGATAAAGTAGCAGCAGACTTTGCAAGACACGTTCAAAGAGAACGCAGACTTGGGAACCTAAAAGAGTCAAGAAGCAGGGAATTTTAGGAAATTCAAACTGAATGTAATTTGGATGTGGTTCTCTACCGCATCTATGCACCACTGATACCTGCAAAGTAGCTTCAGCACAAAGCGATTCATCTGTACGTCTGAACATCCTACACCAACTTGCACCATTTCTCCATCGCTTTCGGCACTCAGGATGTACTAACACCTCAATTATAGGAATGTCTGGGGGCTGAATTTGTTGTACTCACTATTCTCACGGGGAAACTTATTTATTTGTGCGATTTCTTTACACTATTTCCTCCTATGCGTTAGTTGAGCGTTAGGAATCAAGCAGACATTCCCTAAGGTGGTCGAATGGTCGCAGACATTACTGACTGCCCACGCTGTGGGCTGTACTCATGAATGTACTCATCATGAATGGAATAGGCATTCGCACACAGTTTTACGACCGAATGTCTTTAAAATGTACATGTTATTCATTTTGATGCGCTACTGGGGCTGGACATCATCGGTATCCCCACTCCGTACTGCAGTCTAGGTCTTCTGTAGATATGGCCATCCACAGGATCGGATTGTACGCCTTCTTTGACAGAGGGCTGCCCACATCACCACGTGCTGTGTCCGGACCGGTCAGTGAAGCACGCCGGCTGTAAATATAAACACAGAACTTACTCGCCACCCACTACTCTGCGTGGCATGACCGCGCCACGACGTCTTTTTACTAACTCAAACCTGAAATTCCTGTTTAACTCGGACGCCTCCTGCACCTAGGCTGAGAGGTTACTACTTGTGATCTGAAGTGGTAGAATTTACGTACCTCAACTGCGTTGATGTTAACAGTACCATTGATTCCATTGTTTGTTTACCATATGGCATCAAGTCATGCCGCATGGCCTCGTGATAAACAAACACTGTCCTGTTTATTGCAGTTTTGTCTTGCAAAATATAAAATGGGCTGTCATGTCTCAATGCAAAGTACTACAGGATGGCGAGATCGCGGCCCCTTTGGATCGTTTTCGTCTGTCTCTTCGCCACCGCCGCTCTTGGCTTGGAGCTCACTCTCGATCCAGATGAACTCGTATGCAAATTTCTTATTGATAAAAATAGCTAGACTGCATAAATATTACTGACATGGAATACGTCCCCGTTAAATGAATATGATGTTCACGAAGCCATTTTATGGTCTTGTTTAAGTAAATATAAGAAGAGACCCAGTTATTTCATCACACGTTCAACTTCAGTGGAAACTTGATGAGGCTGCCGCTAGCTTCGTGTGCTTTCATAAGACAGCTTAACAAGTTGCAGAAGCCTTCCAAAGTATATTATGTAGTGGGATAGTCCTTTTTAAACGGGATATGTGGCTGCTATGAATTCCCAACTGCCTATTCTACTTTGCGTGTGTTCATATGATTGTCTGATGCTAACGTAGAGAAGGTTCCATAATTACTTGAGGTCTGGAGAGCAGGCCTCCACGATATTTGAGAGAGGACTATAGTGTATTCCTTCGCCTTACCTTCATAGGTTAAGGCGCAGCGAGAGAGTCACGGTGGCTTCTACTTTTACGACTCAAATGGCGCAACACTGATGTTTAATCGCAGCCTCTTCGTCTACCGCGAGAACATTTACGACGGCTGGTCGCGGTGGAGTGAGTGTTCCCCCCATACCTGCCTCGAACATCGCTATCGTCGCTGTGTGGACGACTCCTACACTCAACCGGTCAACTACCTCACCTCCTCTGCCCGCATCTGCCCCTTCAAGTACATTGCAGAGGAGAGACCGTGTGAAGACAAGTCCAACTGCATCATCAACTGTGAGGGCGGTTCAACGTGGTTCTTGAGCGGGTGTAGCTGAAATGTCTTATGAGTAGTAGCAGTCGTGGTATCCTAAACCTGCAAAATGCGATAGCATCTTAGAGCTACACCCATTTTGGACCCATTTTTATGTTCTGTTTATATTTTAATGGCGCCCGGTCATCCTTGTGAAGGTTTAAGCATTCGCAGAAGACACCTTTCTTCTCTGCCGTTCTTATAGAAGTAGTTCACAAAAATGCATGATTGCTTCCCTTCTCCTTCCAAATGCTATACTCTTTTTGTTTTGTCAATTTTTAGCGAAACCGTCAGAAGAACTAACTAGAATGCAAGAAAAGTGCGGCATCAGAGGATCGTTTGATAAAAATACTGCAAAGCCCAGCCGTCGAAGATGGAAAGATATGGACGATGATGAAGCCGATGACGCTGAGGCCGAAGAACGTGGCGAGTACGAGTCCGAAAGGCTACCATATAGCTTAAAGATTCTTGGTGGAAAAAGCGCCAAATCAAAGAGCTGGCCGTGGCATGTAAGCTTTCCTGGATACTCTTTAGTATAACCTCTTGCATAGGTTATGCTGTTGACAGATAGAGTAAGGGGAAGGTAAGAAAATGAACAGATTGATACTTGAACAGATCAGTGACTAGACGGATCGACGGGGGGATGAAAGTGTAACGAATCTTGGAATCAATAGATGGATAGATAGCCAGATGGGTAGACCCATTATGTTCTGCGAATTCCATCTAACTTTTCCCATTGTGCTACACTTTTATTAACTATCCATCTCTGCCTACTCGGCAGATCTGGAAGTAATCACGAGTTTGACCACCCCTATTCTTCTAGGTTGGAATCTACAAAGCAGCCAATTACAACGCTTCCGAGGGATTGACTCGCTTGAAGTCTGAAAACATCATATGCGGGGGCACACTGATTACACCACGATGGGTTCTGACTGCGGCGCACTGCTTAAAGCCAATTTTCGGCTCCTCGAATGCCTTGCCTTTTGGCATTCCAGCGCCATTGAACACGGACGAGATGAAGCCCATTTTCCTGCTCGTTCGAGCCGGTGACACTGTTCTGGAGGGTACGCGTACTCGAAACGAGCAGGAGAGCGATCATGTGGTCGACCTGGTCGTCATTCATCCGGATTGGGTTGCCCAACGTGTTGATAGTCCATTCGATGTAGCTCTGTTGAGACTCGAGACACCTGTGAACATTGGTGAGTGACAAATCTGGTCTTTTGTCCTGTTTTTCTACCATGAATCTTCCTGACTCCTTCCATTCACACCAAACTCCTCTATTTCGTTTCCATCAGCCGTTCATCTATCCATTCGCTCGTTCATCCCAGATCCACCCATCCACCCATATGGAAGTCATTAATCTCTTCCCGGTCCACTCATTTCCCTTTTACGGACCTCTGTATCCATCTGTTTCTCCGACCCATTTCAGTCCATCAACCCATCCACCCTTCCAGCCTTGTTCCAGATGTGTGCCTATTAACTTGTCCATTAGTTCCAACACGTTTACATTACTCTGTTGTGGCTTCGCAGAGAGTGACGGTGCGGGCGTTGCTTGCGTACCCAAAAATGCAGATGCAACACCGGCGGAGGACGCAGTTTGCTTCTCCGTTGGCTGGGGTGAGAAATCTCGACCCATAAGCAAGCCGCGACGCCGCCGTCCTACCTTCTTTAATCCCTTCTTCTGGCCTTTTGGTCGTTTGTGGGAACGTCGACCACAGCGACCCACTTCCTTGAATGAGATTAGGGTCTCCATCGACCCACCTGAGAAGTGCTTCCATCATGACGATGAAAATGAGGCCCAAATCTGCGCTGGCAGCTCTAATAAGGTTAGAAGGCCTTTCGATCCTTTACCTCCCTTATCCACCATCTTGCCAGATAGCTTTTTTTGAATGCTGGATCAAATAATTCGTGACAAGCCGGTAAGATTGCTAGCCAGAGAGCCTAACCATGTCTCTCATTTTTTCTGTGATGGTGATGTCACAGGGCGTTTGCGCAGGCGACACAGGAGGTGGACTCTTCTGCCGAAATGAGGAGGATGGACGGTGGTACGTGTACGGTGTGATGGGCTCGGGACCCACGCAGTACTGTAAGTCACGTCGTTGGCTCTACAACTCGGTGGGCAGTGTCATCCAGTGGATCAACCGCTACGCAGTCTAAGGTTACTCAGTCATCTCTACGCCATCCTACCAATCTTGCCAACTGCTTACACTAAATTGTGCTTTTAAGATGATTTCGGTTTCGTTATAACTTTACAAAGCATAAAATATAAGTTAAACTGTCTTGTTTTGCTCTATAGGGCGCGGGTATTTACCATCTCTTCACCAACCTAGGAACAAGATGGTCTTCCTGGCCTTGTTTACCCACTAATCCACCTACCTCAAATGAAATTATCTTGAATTCTCCTTAACGGAATGACCCTTGAGAGTCACTGGCCCTAACTCAAGCCTCCTTAAGGGACTGCTCATTTGGCCCAGGTCACGGTATCCACTCATTCCAACAACGTCCGTTTTATCCACCCATTCATTTACTTTTCTTATTTCAGACCATCCACTTTCACTGGCATCTTCTTTCACTGCTCAATTTTGCAATTCTTGTCCGACTGTATACGCCGTGGCCAATTCTTGAGCGTCCTAGGTCACGAACTGCCTACTAGTTTGTTCACAGTCCATTTCAAGGATTTCGAACAAATGAGTTTTTTTCTGAGCACCTACGTTACTATCACAAACGGCTAGTGGCGAAATCATTTTTAATTGAATTTTAAGCGTAAATATGTATAAAGGTCGCTCTAAAAAACAAAATTTGTGCTGCATTGTCTTAGCGAGCTACTTTTTTTATTTAAGTAGCCTACCATATGTACTACTATTAATGTAATTGGGATGGTTGTTGAATACGTAGAGTGCTTAAGTTCCTAAATCTTCTCTTTCTAAACCCCGCCTCTTTTACTACGTACTCATAGCGGTTCCACTAATCCCCGTATCTCTTGATGACTGACCCTGCTAAAATACAGGACTGGGGTGAAAATAGATTGATAAAATAAGATTTTGGGATTTAATGACAGAAGTTCTCCCCTCGATCACTCTTTGACTCATTTTGAAGGGGCCCCTAATAAACCACCATTACTTTGGATCACTGAGATGGAGGTCAGTAAGCTCGGTTCGGTGTTAGCGATTTGGACATTCAATTTGATGTGCAGCATGCTTATTATTTACTGGAGTTTGAACTCTGCATTTACGATTATTGGAGAAGCCTAAGGAATATACCATCACTAAAAACATCCTTTTCCTGAACTATTTATGTATTTTGGAGGGGTGTGTAATTACAGTGATTCTTTAGCTAGTAGTATCTTTGAAGGAAAAAGGACCAAGGAAGGGAATAGGTCCTCAGAAGCTCGAATTGTTTCGAGGTAAAAAAGACTACAAATTCGAGTTCAATACGGAAAACTTAATGAGAGACGTCTCATTTGTCCCCAAAAAGGTGACCAAACAAGAGGACCTCATCATCACCGTCGTCCCTAGTTGTGGACGAGTAAAATCCTAAATTTCTTGCATAAAGATAAAAACAGCTGTCTTCATTGTAGGCAAGATTAGGTGGTCACTGAGTTTCAGCCTACCTTACAACAGGACAAATGTAAGCATTAGCAATGAGTAGGGACGAAAGACTCATTTATCAAATGAGAAAATCAAGAGCTTTTCGGTCACTCTTGTCATTTCTGGTGGAAGATAGTCGCCTTGCTTGTACCGAAATTTTCTTTTGAGTTACCTACTTGCACTATATCCTATTCGTCAATTCTCATTGTGCCAGATGCTCTATTCCACACTTTACAAGCATCTCTAAAGGGAGTTCCAGTCGATATTCATGCAATTTTAGCTTCCCACCGAACTTTCTTTCGAAAAAGTGTTTCACTAGAGGGCGTGAAGCTCATTTTTTGTGGTCAAAAGACGCAGCAGGTACATATTGTACGACTGTGGAGATACTCCGCAGCAAGGGAAGATGAGAAACAAGCCACAAATATCATCTTGACTTCTGTGGGCTAGTGCCCTCTTTTACTACTTGACAACAGTCTAGCAGTGAATACGACCTTATTATTGAGTGTTGGGAAGGGATAATGAGCTTTCAACAGAAGAGGAATGATGCCCAGGTGGTGATGAAAACCGTGCATAGCAGAGAACAAAGAACCCGTAAAATCAAGTTGATGGCCTAAACCTCCAGAGCTACTAACTATGGCTAACAATTTCCATAAATTTTTTTGCTACTGAAAGTCTCCAACTTTGCAGTCCAATCAAGTATTCAACAGATGGGTAAGCGGCTTTCAAAATTTTTTCGATGCAGGCAATGACACCTTTACAGGTTGGGCTACGTCGGTGTGAGTGTGAGGCGAACGTTGGTCGCCGACGAACTAGAGGGAATAGAGTACGTCTGGCATGGGTTTCGTTGGAAATCAACCTCCATCTTCAATTGATGTCTCAGATATTAGGACAAGAAAGTGGGGAAACATGAAAGCACCAATCAGTCTATAAAAAACCACCAGTCATAGCACAAATGGTGGAACACTTACAAGTCATTCTATTGTCTTCGGTGCTACGTATCGGGTGAACATTGTAACATCGCTCGAATGGCTCATTTTAGCACCTGTTCGTCAAAGCATTATCTCAAGGACTCACCATCATGCTTTTGATCATAAGCTTCGGTCTTAACAGCATTTGATTTGAGAAGAAGGAAAAATGTAAAAGATGCTTGATCATAATTTGGCTTACTCTTAATCACTTCACTGATAGTGACTGCACTTGAAATACATTAGCATTGTAAAACGCCTGGATTCGAGGTATGGTGAATTTGACAATTTTACCACTTAAAAGAGGAGGTGATGTCGACAGTTCCATAAAGTCAGCCTGTTTCAGTGCTCTATAAGGCCCCTATTTCTAGCCTTATTTTCTAAGCATTGTGGAAGGTTTCGAAACTCGTGCTTGATTTCATTCCCTCCTGATTGGACAGTATCAGGTGCCGTCGGAAACAGAGAGTCCAACTGACACACAGGATTGAAAGGTCCTTAAACTGATTGTGAGGTCAATGCTACTAATGGAATGGCAACCGTTCTCTAGTAGGAGTGGAACCGCAGAGGCTGAAGAGGTCACACACAACGAAGCGAAGTATTCACTCACCAAATCAGAAGAGAGGCCACGATTCCACACGCCAACCAGTCCTACGGATCTGATGATCCCAAAGAAAAGCAAAATTCATCCCAAAGAAATGGGCTGAGTGGTTGATTTATAGCGGCTTCAAAGGAAATGCGAAGAATGTGTGTTACTACTAACTGTTGAGTACCAAAATTAAGTGTAGCATCAAATTCATTCCCCCATTCACCATCATGCTCGCAGTTTCCCAAATTAAACGGTTTTCTCAAGCGTAAGAATTGGTCATTTTCAGGCCTCATCTAGCTAACAGGTGATATTTTTCTTCCTATGATGTTTTTATACTCTTGGGGTACTCATATAGCGAGGTAAACGAAGTGCTAGAGCTACTCCTCAGGATGCCTTCAGACTCAACACTTAGAATGCTATGTAAGTGATTTCCAGGTTTATTTACGATCTAAAAAATGCTCCTGATTTAATTCGTGTGCACAAATCTTTCTTGGACTAGGTCAGGATACTAGTCTTCTCCCAATAGACAGTCTGTCAAAGTTGTCTCCGCTAGGCATTCATTGCTAGCGTGAATTCCGGAGTCCACATTGACAGTTATGAATTACTTGAATTTCGTCTTTGAGCTAAAATGTCATTCCTACTGATAAATCATCATCACCATTACAATTTCGGTCGACGCTCTTTGCGTACAGAGAGTTAGCCTTCATTCCAAGCAGCAGTCAGCACCAAGGGCAAATGGCGAATCACTTTTTTGGAATTTAGATGATCACACCTTTGAAGGAGGAAAAAATAGGTAGTTGTAACACTTTTCGAGCTAAAGTAGTTAAGTGTGTCAACTTCTCAGGCCTAATCAGCCTTCCCGGTGTTGACCGTCATGCCGAGCTGCTGATAATATTTCAACTGATCTGCGTTTTGATGACAAAACCACCTCAAGACTACTCATAAGTCATTTTATCTCCCCAGAGGTGCGCACTTCCGATCCTGCATTCGCAGAAGTGCTGATCCTGTCATCCAAAGCGAATAAGGACATCTTTCGTTACCAGAGACCTTTCAAAATACCGTAATTTGCAAGATCTCAACCCATTCTGATCGCCTAATAATAAGTAGTTCCAAGGACAGAAGGCTAAAGTCAAAAAAATTTCACGAAATATGAATTACCACAGTCGATTGACATGGATGGATGGATGGATGGATACGGGATGGATGGATAAGCAATGGATGAATAGAAAGATGGGTACGAGATGAATGAATGAATGGATGTGGAATGGACGAATACATCTTAATTCGTCCAGAGGCTAGCTGTCTTAAGATACGAAATGGTATTTTCTGTTCCAACGTTTAGCTTATCAAAACGTCCTTGATTATTCTTAGATCAACAACTTCTTACCATACCTTGGTTACACTTTCTTTGTGCGTAAATGCCTACAAAAGTAACTGTTAGTCAGGAAATTTCCCCTTGGTAAATGCCTAGCAATTGTGCTGAGGCCCATCCGCTTGATACAATGCGATACGACGCAAAAAAAATTGTGGGTGTGCAGGAAAAGATCTACACTTTAAAACAACAAAAACCACTCGGTCGGATCGGTGGAAGACCGCATACTTCAAAAGACTTCCTCTTGAGGCAGCTTGCGCTTTAGTTAGGATGGAAGGGAACACTGTTTGGTCCCATTATTTCCTTCCCATACCAACATCACCTTTTTATTATTACTTGTGGACAATCATATATGAAAGGGGAACAGGTGGGTGAAAAGTGGAACTGCTGTAGAAATGGAGAATTGTCTCAGAGCCAGTTTTGTCTTACCGAGACAAAGCTTTTGATGGAAGTAGGCTTCATGGTGTGCTCGTGCCTTTTAAGGAAAGGGTGGTGGGTTGCAACACTGACTATCTTGACAAGATAGGCAGTAGTACTTATTACCATTGATGCCATCTTTAAATTAAAGGTAAGGATTTGACGGTTCTTGCAATATTCATGTGGTTAGAATCATAATTTTTGTTACTTGTCGCAGAGAAGCGCCTCAAGTCTGGGCTAGAAACACTCTTTCAATCTAAGGCCTTCAAGAATGTGGCTCTTTGATTGTTTTTTAAACTCTTCGTTATGGTTTTATGGACACTGGAAGCCTTGCCGTTGCACTTTGTCTAAGTGGCCTGGCCTCAGAGCCATGTCGCTAGCTCCTCTTCGCTCAGCCCTTCTGCACGTCAGCAATACATGTCCTGTCCTAGTATTGTCTCCACATTGGTGACAGAGGCAAGCAAACTCGGCCCCCAAGGATAACTACACTGATTCCCATTCCTAAAAGCTAAACATTAACGTAACAGAGGGAGAGCATTCGCTACGGATGAAGAAACGCGTGACGGCCCCTATCCCGCCTTCTGTGGGAATGCTATCATTAACTGAAACAGCACTAGCCATGAACCATCTGGGGAAGTTCCTAGCGGAGCTGTCCACGGTACCTGTATGAAGATGTCAATGATGTAAGGACGTAATACCTCCTCCACCTTTCGGCTAGCTAGGTAGAACCAAGAGAGCGAGACCTAGGCAGAGCTGAAGTGAAAACGAATTGGCCTGGAGGAATGGATGCAAAACCCTACCCCTCGAGACTATGATAAACCCCATCCTTTACTAAGTCCCAGCTTTTGGACCGCTGTTCTTACCACTGGCGTTGGACATAAAAGATGGCCTACACATTCTCCTTCCCGCAATACAATTCCCAAACAGGACTAAAACTCCCGATCCGGTAGGATGGTCCAGAGGGACCAGTGGCATTGCAGTCACATATCTCCTCAGTTGCAAGAAAATTCGATGACTTGTTTTACAGAAGTTTTTCTTACGGTGCCGGCTACGTCTTGATGACCGTCGTGGGAGGTTAACCAAGGGAAGGGCCCATGTCGACGTTCCAGAGGGTAGAGAGGGCTTTGTAATGCCTTGATTAATTATTGAACTCCTTGTTTCGATTGCACGGACACTAAAGGCGCCGTCTTTTTTACCTCCGCCCAGCGGCAGGCCTCCGGGCCATGCCGGTAGCCCTGCGACCCCTCGGAAGTTCGGTAATAGGCTTTCCGTCCTAATATTATAACTTCCTCATCTTCAGAAAAGACTGGGGACCTTACAGAAACGGGTGAAACATAAGCGACAAAAAAATAAATCTCCCAGCCTGGTATTTTCTCTTCATCACTGAATTATAATCCAACACTCTTTATTTAACTGGTGATTTATGAGCTTTCTCCATCTTCTCCGTCATGCGATTTGTTTTATGCGGTCTAGGGAATTAAAAAGAACATTCGTCAGGCATCTTCTGCAGACTACCTTTATATGTGCTTCAAAAAGGCATCTGCAACATCAACCAATCGTAGACAATATCTTCATTGGTTTGTTTAAATCCGCTTTTGGTTACGCGACCACCTAAGTCTCCGCAGATCGTACTTTCTTTGGACCACAGCAAAAGCCTCTCAGCCCTTCTTTACATCAGTAATACATAGTTCACCACACCACTACGACTTCTTCTGATTTCAACGAAGTCTCGAATTTCTGTGGAGGATTCACACAACAATGCCTTGAAAGCGCCTGGGTGTAAAATCTAAAACGGGATTTTTCTATGAATACAGAAGAGGTTAGACGAGCTCCTAACAGAAGCGAAGGCGGTCGAATACCACGCTGTTTCGGTGGTTACTGATACCGCGGATGCTAAAGAGACCGCCAAGCAGGACGTAAAATTTAACAGTGGAATTTTTAATGCGGCGCCAAAGAGGTAGTTGTTGGACTTTCAGACTCTCCAATGGTTTAGATGATTGGATTATTTAATCCAAACCGTCGGACTTAACGCCATTTAAATATCCACGACCTTTAAGATTGTAAATTTGAAATGCGCACAATGAGGACCTGAACGATAACGTCAAGAACAACAAAAAAACAATAATGACATTGTCACTTCGTCAGATTTCCATATTACGTTCACCTTTCACCTTTAGCTACTTGGAGCATTCGCATGCGTGCTAAATCGAGTTTTCCGCCACCGTTACTTCGAATTTAGAAAAATTAACCTTCATCGCATTTTCACCGTTTTTTTTCCCAACTTGTCGGCTGCATTTAACGTCTTTAATTCACTAGCCTATTCGCTCATAGAAGCTTAAAAAAATTAGTCGCTTCTGTTAACTTTCATAGCTTTGATTAGAGAATCTCACGTCCGCAACTTTCGCAGGCCTTGATGCAATGTTTTGGGGCCGTCACTAAATTTGCCGATTGACTACGCTTCGACTGGGATGCACCAACTGGGGATACTCCCTTAAAAGTCGTTCCAACTGAAGGTCCTTCAATGAGTCGGCATGCAACGAGTTTCTAGATTACCTCCTCCTCATCCTTTGATGCACTTGTTGAAATATTTTTGGTTCGCTGGAAGAGCCGAATGAAGCCAAATCAACCTATTCATTGTATAGTTGTCACAGGTAATAACATGATCCACGTGCAAATATTCACAGGCGGCTTCACTTACCTCTCCCTAGCGGTCAATGACCATGAGTTGACGACGAATTGCCACAGGATTGTTAGAATCCTCTCCTTCTCCATAGAAGCGCTTTTAATGGTGATATCACCTCCTACAACTGACAAATTGGTTGAAGCTCCACACTGTGGACATACACAAACTCTGGCGACGGCAGTAGTTTATGGAGAAGTCGTGCTCATTCCCTCAGGGTGAAAGCGGTTAAACCCCTGCTTATAGCACCGCAAGGTATCCATAACGTTTAGCGCTGTTTAAATTATGCCTCCTTTAGATGGTGGACATACCCATCCTAGGCAAAAACCAGAGATTCAAACAGCGCAGCAGCTATTCGTTTTACCTCGTAGAGATTCGACTTCTAGCTTTAATTATTTTTTCCGGTTCTTAGAATTGAACACCATTATGTAAAATACCACAAAGTTCAGATTGTTGTAACGCCGGCTCTAACCACAGTCAAATTAAACAATTTCCACAAAGTCTAGACCTATACTGGTAGTAAATTTATTGTGTTATTTTACGTTAACGAGGCGGCACCAAAATTTCCTAAAAGCCAATCGTCAGTTTATAGGAAACTAACCCCTCAGTGACCTCTTATAAGGTTCCTTTTTAAACGCGTACACTTGGTCGCTTACAAAATGACAAGATAAGTACACTAGAGACTATAACTCGGATGTTTGGGAGAACAGCAAGGGACAACTCCTTAAGGGTAACTAAGTAAACAGGGTCAGTAGACTCCCATTCGGGATTAAAACCTTAGAAGAGTAAGTGCCCAACATCATTTCGCATTTTTTTCATGCTACCCTGACCCCAGCTAGCAGTGGCATTGAAATGTTGCGTGGAAGCCTCAAAGTCACAGGATTTGCCATTCTACTAATTAACTGGCATCCCCGTTCTCGCCCTCTGATTAACTGCCTTACGAGCCAATCAGAATTAGACTTTGTGCTTGCAATTATTCTGATTGGCTCCTACCTCAAGCCAAGTAGCAACGAGGGCTAATCGGCTTCACATGCTTTTAACTGTGTCTGCGTGAGTGTGTGCACCATCCCTCGGATTCTGGGCTTCAGACTTAGCTGAGGTGAGTTCTTACTTGATATTTGTTCTTTTATGGCTTTAAGTCAGACTTGGTTGGATGATAACACACGGTTAAGCCTCTTGACCTTTTACATAGGGACTGGTCCTGGCGAAAGGGGGCCTCAGAAGACTAAAATCTCCTCTCAAAAACCAGTTGATTAACATTTTTCGCCAATTCCTAACAAGGCAGCCTTGTTGTTCTGTCGACCTGGCTAACACTGAAGTTGTTTAACCCCTACAACAACGTCACCCATGTGAGGATAACGGTGATTACATCTAAAATCACGTGACAGCAATCGGATGTCGCCAGGACTTTTCACAAATTACCAACTTGGCTGCGATTTGCCTGCTCGTGACGTAGACAGGCAAACAGCGTCGGTCGGTCGGTTGGTCGGTCGGTTCGGTCGCTGACACGAGCGCAATTGCGCCGCTAAATGGACTTGTCATTGTCGTGGACTTTTTTCATCAGCCTCAGAGTACTTCAATACGTTCCAAGCTTAGATTTCATGGTGTCCATTTTGTCCTACCTTGTATGTAATTTCTAGATGTCGGTGCGGATGTACTGGTGCGAAGTACCCTTGGCGGCTTCCTTTGATGTATTCACATCTTGCCTCTGCTTATTGCCCATTTACGAAATGTAACCTTTGCCATCCCAGATTACCTTTCATTTGTTATTCAATTACATCTGCGGTAATTCAACAACTTGCCTAAATTATGGTGCAAGTAAAGCGTCGAATTTACGTATTTTTCTCATGGCATCATCCGGTGTTATCATGCCTTTGTTTTGTCGGTTTTGACACTGCAGTCAGAAATTCTCCACTGCTTCTCGAATTTGCCTTTTTTGAGTAGCCATAGTGCTTCCTCTCGTCAACACCAAGTTTACGGAGAATGGGTGGTCTCTCCCCTCATCTCGGAGTGCGCTTTTAAGGGCCTTGTTTGAATTTTCACCACTTTGCTTTGCCAAAAAGAGGTAAACGGGGCATGAATTTTGTAAAGCCTCACTTCTTTTTTCCTATTTTAAGTGACTTCGAGTGGCTTTGGAACTTTGGCTGATCTTACAGCACATTTTAAATTACCCACCAAGTTTGGGAGGGCCAGAATCCTCACCTCTAAAAAACCCACGAATGAGGGCTTAAGGCATAAAAAAGCAATAATCATGTAAGCAATCCACTGGAAGCCTGACCTTTTCGGATAGCAGTTACGGTTTTACATCTATCCCATGGTTAGGTAAAACCCCTACCCTTGCCCATGAAAGGAAAGGACGGAGTGTTGTGTCAATGACTCTCCGGCTAAAATGCGCCAATCAGAGCGCAGGAGATGTGGGACTCTGTTGTTTCGACGCTTCAAATGCACTTTTTCAGGGCATTCTTTTGGAAGTAGCACTGTTAATATCGCCTCTTCACCTCAGGGCAAACATAACGACTTTCTAGACGGCTAGCTTCTAGAGTTATTTTTAGTCCAGGCGTTGGTCTCCAGCTTCAATGGTAATGTTGACTCGGGAATGCGGAGTGGCTGTACTGGGAGGCTAACAAAATGCACTTACTGGCACATTCTCATTCTCGTTATGGTCCACGCTTTGCCTTTCTCACGCATTTTGGCCGAATTCTTTCACGCACACACACACACACACACACACGTTACAACACCTTCACTTGACAGACCTGACCTTTAGCCAGGGATTTACCAATAAAAAGAAAGGTGCTGCTACTGCTGTTACTGAATTTATTATCCACATGGCGATTTCTACCTCATCTTCACCGACAAATTTGGCATTTTCATGCATCATTTTATCACCTCCTTTATTGGGGGATAATATTGCGCTGTAAAATTTTCAGACGCCAATCCACTAAGGGGCGCAAGGTTTTCTTGACTTTATGCCTGCATTTTAATCATCAAAATCGGCCATGTCTGTTTGGCTGATTTGCTTTGGAGGCGATGTAGTCTAGACGATATCCTACATTTCCATCGCTTTTCATGCAGAAATCTGTCTGTCATCAGCTCCGATTATGTCATTAGTCGTTGTGTTCGCGGGCCTGTTGTTAGCCATTCTTTGTAGTCATTGTCTTCGCTTCATTAGTGACACCGAAATCAGCGTGTCAGCCCAAAGACGGCGCTATTTCGCCACGTCTCATGCCGTGAGCCTCGACCATCCAGAGTAGTCAATGAAAATGCTGTTAGAGTGAGTTCGCTTACCTCTGTTCACGGAGACATCTCTGAAACCTCTGAAACGGGGAAAATGTTACCGTTCCCGACTAACTACCTCTTCCCTTTGTGTTTTTCTAGTCCACATTCTCATCATATGGGCGTGGGCAATTTTAGAGATCCTCTAAAACGAAAGCGAATTTGATGGCCAGACCAACTATCACATGACTTTACCTCAATCCCAACCCACCTGATGCAGAATTTGTGCAGAGGATTTACAGTACCTCCTTAAAGTTCACTGCCTTCGTGCATGCTTAATGTGTCCTCATGGTATTTGGATTTGGTAATGTTCGGAGGTACTGTGATTTGTTCTTCTCGCCTTTAAATATCGTCTGTCAGAAGTGACAAATAAACAATCCCATTTAAAGCCCCACTCCTGTTTTCCGATTCACTTGAATAGGTCAATACGGATCCGAAGCCTGTTACGCAGAGTTGGTTGCGTATTTGCGGTTGGATGTTCTAGCAACTTTTGCCTTTTTGGACGGATTCACACCCAGCCGTCGTTGATGAACCTGTGTCTGTTGGTAAATCCACGCGAACTGTCTAATTTGAAATCGTGAAGAGGGCGGACATTTGCGTCCACTAGGCATCAGGCTGTGGTCTATTCACACGATACTTTTGTCACCTAATTCGAGTTCAAACTTCTCTCGCTTCGTGTACTATTTCCAACACATATTCTTCTTGCCAAAACATGAAAGGTTTCGGCTCTTCTATTCGTCTTCAGTCGTGGGAAACTAAGTGCTCTCTCAAGAGTCTTTGTAAGGCATCTCTCCAAGAGACCGGCGTAAAGAAAGAAAAGTGTGAATACTCACTAAAGTTTGCAGGGTTCACTTTGTCAAGACTTGTGTTATATGGCCAATGCTCTTCACCCTCGCACATTCAACGTCCCGCCTTCCTCCCTTCTTTCCTTCACCCGACATGAGTTGAGGATACTTAAAACATCCGCACGCACAGGCGTAAACCGTCCGGGTAGTCTTAAACGGGGTATCGAAACGTGAGAACATCTGTCCCGCTTCGGTGACTAAGTCACTTATCCATTAGCTGGGTGTCCATGGTTCCGTCTCGCTCGTGATTGGTTGGATGTGTGGCCCAGCCAATCAGAACCGTCCTTCGTACAAGTATCCACTTCTCCAAGTTGCGGCTGTTAGTTTGTGTGTATGTATCAGAAATTTACTTATAAATGTCACTTTGTAAATGAGTACTCTGCGGAGGTCTTCTTTATCCGAAAATTTACTTCCACCAGCAAAGAGGTCTGCCTCTGAATGGCATAAGTGGAACCTTGATACTACTTTGAAAAGATAGTTGTAAAAGTTAAGAGAAGGTAAAAATTGGAAGTCATTTGTTTCACATCTTATCCTTCCCGTTAACACAAAGTGTCTAACGAATGTCTAACGATTTCCGCCTCTTTTGAAAGCATAGAGTATAAAAGTGATTTGTGCAGTTTTCTTACTGAAGGAGGAGAAGAGTTAGTGGATGTGACCGTTAAGTGTTGGCAATTCGAAGGGGACGATTGGACTTTCAATTTACGTCCCACAGAATACTCAAAGTTACAGTCACTTCAGTTGGGGAGACGACAGACCGTCAGCAAAACAGGTTCATACATGAAGCGAATTTCACGCCATCAGCCAGGGCAAGGTTAAGGACGTGTATGCAGGTAAGGTCTCCTTTTGCCATTCGGCGTCTGTGCCACGACCCAGCTTTTGGTTACTGGCAGTGTAGTTTCAAGGGCACGATTACCTCCCTAAAGGTCAGGCGATTTTGCCTCCTCTTGGTCGTCTGCAGCATTTGTTTTATTGCTTCACTTCATTAATCAAAATGAAGTGGTGAAAAGTGTGTGAAGAATTGCCGCGAGAAATTGCGCTAAAAGTCGTGTAGGCGAAAAGGCTCCCGAGTGCCTCAAAAATTTTAACAAAGGGTTAAATCAAGAGGCAACGACAGGGGCAGTTTGACCTTTGTTTCACACGTGAACCTCTATTTCACGTTTACTTTACAGAAAAACTTCGAATGTTGTCAGGTCTCTGTTCAAGGGTACCGCTGACAACGTCAGAAAGCGAATCGAACTACAATTCTTCTTCCTCCTCCTCCACATCATCCACCATCCTGCAACTCTCAGTTGCAGATTCCGTGCCACTGGTGCTGCCACAACCCGAGAAACCGCCCCCACAAACTCACCATGGCGGGGTCGAGAATTTAAGTCTGCTCGCCCACCTACGGCGTCTCGTCTTGGGCTCGTCCACCTTTCAATTTCGACGCCTTCAAGACGCGGATTTGGAGGAGGACGCACACACTGTTGTGACTTACATATCGTTGGGTGCTTCCACACCGCTTCAGCAACGTCACGCTGACTCCACTCCCACTGGTGGTAATGCGGATGGTAGTCAAGCCGTGCCACTACGTCAAAAATCGCTGAAAAAGCGACACGTCACCTGGAAAGATCTTGAAGCAGAAGTCTCAATCGAGAAGGTACGAAGTGGGCAAATATCTGATCCATTAGCCGTGGATTGTTTTCACCAAATTTATGTCGGCTTTTTTCATCAGACCAAGGCACAATTCATTGGTGTTGGGTAATTTGTTGAAGCACAACTTTTTAATTTGCGTTTCTAGGTAACCTGAATATTTTAAACTTCGCCCAAGGTTATGCATGAGTGGAGAGCATTTTCGGGTAGATAACTCTAGGCAATAAAGTGGAAATGGTAAAGTTCCCTTTTTTTGGCGTTTTATCTGGCGACATTAAAGAATCACGACGTAGATAAATCGACTTCACGGTCAGGAATGCGGTAGATCGTAAATAAGTATAAATGCGAAGGAATAGTATTTCTCATGTAATGGTTGGTTGTGTGTCAGTTAGACAATTAGGTAGCGCCCCGAGACTTACCTGAAAAAGGAAAAAATATAACATGTATTATCGAGACACAGAAGATCTGGAGGGCTGCTGGCATGATCCAGAGGCCAGACCGCCCAATGCAGGTGCAATGGTGGAACTTAAACGATAAGTTAAACAAAAGATTAAAGTGTCGTCCTCGGTGCTACGTTTAGTTAACCTCATGCGTCGGCCGTCAGAACTTAGTCGGTGCTGTAAGGCGAAGCACCTACGCACCAACCGCGTCGGTATTCGAACTCGGGTGCAAACGAGGAGACATTCGACCTCAACTCCACTGATCCCTCTTGGCACCTTCACTGGGTCAGGAGATTCATCCTGTTTGACAACTGTATTGAGGGCGAGCGAGATGTGCAGGCTATCGTGTATGGCCATTGTCAGTCGTCAGAACACCGGCCTAAAAGTTGAGTTGTTTAATGAGAAATAGAGTTTGAAATAATTTCGTGAGGATGAGGTTTTGCATGTGTTAGTTCTTTCCACTTTGTTCTCACTTCAGTTTTGTCCAGGCATTTGTGTGAGTTCTATCCAGCTAGTAGGGAGGTGGAAGTGGTACTGCGGGTTCACCTCATTGACATCTTCATACAGATGCCGAAGGCAGTGCCGTAGCAAACTCCTTTAGATGGTTCACGGCTATTGCTGCTTCAGTTATTGATAACACTTCTGTAGAACACGGGACTGAGGTGGTTGTCGAAGAAAGACGTCATTTTCGATCCGTCTGGTACAGGTCGCCACGGATTCGCCCCTGCATAGCCCACGACCTTCTACTGTTACGTTAAGGTTTGGCATTCGGGAATGTAAATCGGGTTGGTTATCCTTTATGATCTGATGCACTTCCTGTTGAATTATTTGAACAACTAACCGGGGTGTAGCTCAATACCTTTTAAATTGACCTCGTAATCTGATGAATATCAGTATATCTGCGACATTTATCAAGGATAGGATCGTCCTTGTTTACGCTTAAGAACCTATTGCACGGAAGTATAACTAGCATTTCCACAAATTCTAAGGGGAATAAAGTGATTTCTTTATTTTTCCATATTTTGAATCCTGCTCAACATCAGGGGGTGCCCAACCGTCACTCACTCTATCTTCCCTCCCTGGAGGAGATGAAAGTTGAGGAGAAGAAAGTCCGACGACGTCACAGCTATACAGGAGAAAATGGGGAGGAGAACAGTATCACTTTTACATCACCAGTAGTGGTACCACTGCCACCGCCACCGCCACCGCCGCCGCCGCCGCCGCCGCCGCCACCAGGATACAATGAGGGTGTTGACTTGGATGAGAAAAAGGCCCGCTACAAATTACAGTTGCGCCACTTTAAGCGTCGTCGTCGGTACAGTGATTGGTTCTTCACCCTCTACGAATTTGACAAACCCACAAATCCCGAGGTGAGTACCACTTTTCTCCCCACAATAGGTTGCTAAATCTTCTTCCACCATAAAATGAGTTTGAAAGGTATCCTCCATCGGGCGAGAGCAACAAATGGCAATAAGTTACTTCTTTCGCGCACGCAATTGTTACCTGTGAATGTCTTGCTTAGGGTCGGGCATTTAAGAATCTGATCCGCCGACTTGATATGATACACCTCAAAGGTGTGCAGGAAAATTTCTCATTTAAAAGTGGCCTCCACTAGCCAATCAGCGCGAAGGAATCCCCAGTCCACATGGCGATGCAAGACCCCATACCGCATGATGCAAAACTTACTCATGGAGGAAATCGCTCTTTAGGATAAAAGAGAAATGCTACCCTATCCTCAGTATTCTCCTGATTACCGTTCTCTAAGAAATCATCTTCTGGGATTCGCTAACCACACGACCGCATGCGAATCGGACGGTTAGGGACAGAAACAAGGGTGGCTGTTGGCAAGGTGGTAGAACCATAACTTCTTGTAAAAGTGGAGCTCGTAGCAAACTTGTTAGATTATCCCATTGGAACGTTGTGATAGGGTGTAGTGACGGTTTTTTTAAACAAGTAAAGTACATGACAGAAGCTTTTTGTGTTTGCCCACTTCAATACTTGCATCGGACTCCAACCATATTTGTTTTAATAAGCAACAGCTGTTTTGGGTATCGTTTGTGTAGACTTTTCCTTCGAAAAGAAATTAATTAGACGCCAAAATATGTCGTTCTTATCCCTATAATAAGTGAAAATCCATTAAGAAATGGGAAATAAACAACCAGGCGTACAAAACAGTTGGAAGGTCACTGGATTGGCCTGAAAGTTAAGCCACAGAGTGAAAGTACGAGCCGCGGAGACTAAAGTGCTCGCTTGGCAGACAAAATATCAAATCACTACACAACCAGAGATGCGCCCAAGAACACTTTAATGCTGTCAACCATTTCTGTACTCGGTCAGTCCGGTCTCCTGTTAAGCAGTGACCGCTGTAAGAAAATGAGACAAAGAGCTATGATTAGGCCCTACCACTGCTGAAGAAGAAATCCAGTGCTGACATTTTGTGATGTATCTAATCGCCCTTTGCAGTTATAAAACCTAAAGGAAGTACCTGACTATATGGCTTCCCACATTTATTAGTGACATGATTCGCTCACTGTTGCACGGCGTCCCGAGTCTTTCCTGAGGTCCTGATAAGACGCATCAATGCAGGAGAAGGTTCGGTATCACCGTGCAGAAGGGCTGGAGGGCCACAAACGCTTTCCCTGTGCCATTCCACCCAGCAGAAGTAAAGCCTGATGAAGTCGAATAGCCCATATAGTTAAGCAGCCAGCTAAATAGGTATGAAACAACCGCTGCGTACCAAGACGGAATTTTCGGAAGTGTGTATAGGTCGTAATTGTGTCTGACCATATATTCTTTAACGCAAGTATTTCATTTTTGTCTATATTGTCCAATAAAGTGCGAGAAATTCCCTCAGTGTTAATGGGACAACGGGCAAAAAGATCACGCGTTTTGTCCAAATGCTAATTGTGCAACTGCCACCTCAGCAGTGCGGAGCCTCCTTTATCGTGCGACACCGCTCACAAAGTTATGAGTTGGGATTTGCGCAGAAGGTGTTTTCAAATCATTTTGGCAAATAAATTTCACTGGGAATTGGTGGTAGGACGCAGCTTCGCTCACTGGTTACTTCCGTTGGTAACTTTTCCATCGTGAAAGTCTGTTTTTATTGCTCGGAACATTATTGTTCATTTACACTTTGTGAGACCTAGTCAATTTGAGCATAATTTTAAGCCTAAGGGAAGGCCATCTAGAAATGACTATTTTACTTCCAAATTAATTGAGTTCTATTTAAAATTCAGTCTTGTTTAAGTCAGTTAAATTGCGTTTGTGTAAATACACACGCTAATTGTGGAGATTTGGAATTTATGTAGTTGATCAAAAAAGTTTCGTGCTAGTTCTGAAGGTGTGCCCAAATTTTATCTACATGGCTGCGGTGATTTGATGTCTCTTTCGTAGTACACTTAAACACGCTGAATCTTCTGACCTTACAGATCGTACTTGGGTCATGGCGGCATGGTCTTTCAATTGTGTCGGTGGCTTTTCAACTACTTCTGTAGTGATAAAATCATCTTTATGTACGACTTAAGGGAGGTTTTGGGACCCCACACTTTGTTTTAGTATCTACTCTTGCTTATAATGAAATCCCCAAGTTGCTTCAAAATGAACAAAAGTGTATATTGTACACGATAACATGAATTGTTTGTTCACATAACGATACAATAGAGGAGCTATTTATCATCACAAGTCAGTCAGTCCGTCAGTCAGCAATCAAAAGTGTATGAAGTGTTTTTAGAACATGTGCAGAAGAGGTGAAGAATGGTTTGATGCTTTTCAGCCACTGCACTCCACTACTGTACAGGGCGTCAATTTGCCGCCTAGTATCTTCCACCAACTGCTTCATCACTCATATTAATCATAACTTAAGATTGTTCTTGGCGCTTTCATCCCCATTTATTCGAATCACTGGCGATGTGTGAATCTTCAGGATCGAGAACGGTGGGTCTGCCTGAACAGTAGGGTGATTCATCATCAGGACGTAACTATTTAAACCACCTGTGGGTAGCCGGCTGGACTGCACCATTTGCAAATGCTACACAATAAATATTATGAGAAGCATCTACAGCTTTAAAATCGACTTAAACTTGTTTTATGAGACTTATACCAAGGAGCTCACGAATTTCTTTTGCCGCCTGGTGAGCCTCTACTCGACAATAGGATTAGCTTATTTTAAAGGTGAATGCACCATAGCTAAGAACTTGATGCACTCAAAATGCTGACATACTACGAGGTGGTGTCAAATGTTTATATCGTTAGTTCTTTAATTTTGTGTTTTAGGAGTCCCTAGCTCTGGACAGTCATCTCTTCGAGACCATACTGTCCCGTCTACATGGCATCTACGCCTTATCACTAAACAGTGTATTTGACCCCAACAGCAACCAGAAACCTGCCCGCCTCTGCTTCGAACGCCTTCCTAAACTTCCCACTGTCAGACGTCACCAACAGCGGCAACACCGACGACGACGGTGTGACAGTCGCTTTGCGAACAACTCCTCCTCCAGTTGCGTCTCCTGTATCTCCTTCGGCATGTTCGACAGTACCTCGCCGCATAACCCAGGCCAGCTTTTCTGCCCCGAGCGCGAAGTGGGGTGTGGCGGACCAGGTCGCTCCTTCTATTGTCAAGGTTGTGGACGCAACATGACGGGCGGTTCTAGTCTAGTCAGTGTGGCAGGAAGTGCGGACTCTAGTCAGCGACCCGAGATCTGCTACTCCATGACTCGATCAGTCGAGTTCTACCGATTCACGAGGACAATTCAATGGCAAAAGCCTCATCAAAAGTGCGTTTTGGCTGTCAGAATGCAATACAGTACGGTTTAAGTATCAATCACATTCATGGTTAGCAACTGATCTCGGCACTAAATTCATGGGAAGGCTCCACCCCACGCAACTTAAAAGTTGAAACAAAATCTTCCATTAAATTGGTCGGGAGCGATTACATGGCCTCTAAGACTGAAAGGAGTGTCGAAGGTTCCCTTCACAATTATAGGTCTATGACCAGCGATCGCAGTAAATAGGGAGGGTAGCAAGAAATCGCTTCTACCAGCTGTCGGACTAATCATTGAGCCCAAACTAAGCTCTACATCATGATTGTCGACTTTAAAAAGTGTGTTTTCTTTACAAAAGCCAGCCATAAATCATTTTAAACTTATGCACTAAAGTCATTTGGATTTGTTTACCCTTCCGGAATTCCATTTTTAAGGCTACAAAGACCTTCTTGACTTAAAAGGCACATTTTGTATGAATTATGGTGCTACTCTGCTATGAGCGGTGGCCGGACATCTGGCAATCTGTGTATGACCACTTAATTGTAACAAAGGTCAGTTATTTTAGTGTCCTTCTGTTCTATCATCGCAGTTATGCAAAAAATTCATCGCTATGATATTTCACTCGGCTACCTATATGAAGGCCCTTTTCACCTCTTGGCGCCGTTATTACCATGCTAAAATGCGGTAGGCCAACGGGCCTTTGGATCTACTGGTGTGTATGTTTTAGCGCTATTTTATGTCCCAGTGGGATGAAACACACGCAATGACGCTGTACTTGGAGCTGAATTTTGCGCTGTTTTAAGCTAACTCTCGCGCTCGTGTCAGGGTGGTAGAGAACACTCACTAATCCTCTTTCAAATTAGACCAGGTAGAAACTATTCTTTCAAAAATCGCATTTACCTGCTCCCTGCTATGCAAAGTGCTTATAAAGTGTAATGTTATGCTAATTTAACAAGTTTTATTCCCAATATTTTTTCATTTAATCTGGGCCGTGGCTATACTACTCTGGAATATTAAGTAGCATTTCAGCAATTAGATGAAGTCAGGGGGTATTAGATGGATGTAAATAAAGTAGGTTTGCCTGCCTACTCATTTTGTAGTCAACCGCCAGAATGCAGACTTCGTCACCGCGCTTCACTTGGTCAGCATCATTCAACGCCTCAGTCGACGCGGCAGTGGGTGTGTCGGGCGCCTAAACGCTCCCGTCGTCGTTCCAATGCTCGCCGACATCCCCGGGAGGCTGTCTCAGTGCCGCCATCGCAGCCCACGGCACAGCCAGCACCGACACAATCACAACAGCCGCGACGGAGTTCGGCAAAGGAGAAACACAAAAAGGTGCGACGGGTAATGCACAAAAGGATGAGTCAGCAGCGCGTTGCTGATTGGCTCGTTGCTACGCATGGAGGTCAAGTTGACGACTGTACCGCTCCGCTCATTGTCTTCTAACCCTAACCTCTCTCTCCCCCTTCATCTGAACTGGAAGTGAAACAAAAACTAGATTGTTATGCCTTTCGTTTGCGAATAAATAAAGATATTTTGGTCTCTTGCATTGTCCACTGGAAAGCTGCAAACGAAGCGGGTTGGAACTTCATCATCAATGTTTGGATTCCACAAATCATAGTCATTTTTTTGGCCCGATTTAATCACTCTAAACTGGTTATTGGCTTTCTCTTAAAACAGGCGCTATTGTAGCCTCTTCCTCCCCACAAAAATGATTTCATTTGATTTTAAGGATTGCAGTACACGATAGCAGCACACTTTTTTTTCTTTTTAAATCTTAACAAAAAGCGGTGACGTCGCCTCAGTTTGCTTTATTCGAGTTCACATTGTTAATTAACGCTCCTTCATTGATGCTTCCCCTCTCAAGGCAGAATGCAAACCCTTCATTACCCATTTTAGGTTTGTATAGGAGTTAGTGAATTTGCTACTTAAATAAATTAAGTAACGCCTCTTCTAACTGCGTCTGCTTTAAAGGTTAGAGCGTTCACCCCAGTCACACGAAGCCCCTGATTAGCTAAAAGGCCAATTCTCTGTCAGAAAGTGACTATACGACGTTATACACGGCCATATAACGGTAGTTCAATGTATTAATGATATTTTTCCATGTTTTATGCCATTTTATTTTAAAAATTTCCGGTCTAAATAAATTAATCTACGAGGATAAAGTGGAAATAGGAACCAATCAGAGAATGCGGCCACCATGATTTCCCATTATTGTACCTTAATGAGAAAATATCTTTCGCCTTGACCTCTCCCTTTAGAGTTTGTAGGATTTGGTTTCAATGTCTCCAGTTTCAAATAGCAGCAGAGCAAATTGGACGAGAAATCCTCGATTAATATGCCCCACTTATTGTTGCCAGCTTTTAACAGAAAGTGCTTTTGTTGGACTATTTTATCTTGAACGATGCACAATTAAGATTGTTGTGCCTAATTTATCCATTAGTAGCATAAATATTTTACTAGACAAATTCTTAACAAGTTAATAGTGCAGAGGGTGGGGTTAGGAGAGGGGACGAAGGGCGGGCTTGAGAGGAGAGAAAGGGTTAATGCAAAGCAGCTTTTAGTGTAGTCGCCTCAAAAAACGGCCCACTATTTTACTAATCACCAGCAACGTGAGTCCCCAAGGAATTGGTTGGATGGGTGGTAGATATCAGCCACGAAATTCTGGGATTTGGAGAATCCCCGAATCCATAACCCCTCCTATCCTGGAAAGCAAAGAAATGCGCTTTTTCAGCGAAATTTCCTTAGCCATAAAATAGCCCAAACTGCAGTTTAAAGTAGATTCCGAGAGGTTATTCTTGAAACACAGATAACCTGACCAACGGCTACATTTATTTCAGGTGGTCAACAAGTAAACGGTGAGTAAAAACAACCATTTTTAAGTCTTCTAAAATGCATAACTTTTTCCCCTTCCTACTCTAGCAGGAAGTGATAAAGAAAGACTTTTGTTATGTTTTTTTTTAGGTAATGAGGGACTTACTATTTCGGTTCCCACCGAGGGGCCGCAGTATCGCGTTCACGTCCGCTACCCCTCGGTCCTATCTCGAGGACGCAGCACTATGATAATACCTTTTTTTGTCCAAGACTTGGGCTCATTTTTTGCACCCTGAGACTTCTCTGGAGGCGAAAGAAGCCAGAATATGTATTGTTGACCTATAGAAGAGCTTGGAGGCTACTGGCATGGTTCAGAGGCCAGGCTGCCAGGCAAGGGCCTCATTTGTCGTTACTAAAACCGAGGGCTAGAGAAGAAAAAAACTATTCAAGTGCTTTACCGATTCTGAATAAAATTACTTCTTTTTTGTTCCAGGATTTTGAAAGGGCAAAATTTATTTGTGAAGTACCTTTATCAGTCCTCAAAAAGTACGGGAAAGCTACCGTAGGTTAAAGGTCCTGACAGTGGGAATTAAACCACCTTCACGTGATAGCTCTGCTTAATTGGAAGGGTTTTGGGGATAAATTCCTCACCTTTTCGCCATTTTTCGGTGTTAAACTGAAGGAGAAGTCGGTTGGCTTGAAATCTGTAGCATGGCCTATACTCAGAAATATTAACTCACTTTTTGAAGTAGCTAGGGTATACAATCTTACTAGCGCCACACAGCTCTGAATATTTCATATGCTCTGGGAAAACATGGAATCCCTATCGCTTCAAAAGCCGCAAGATACAACGTCGTAGGCGGTCATTCATTTGCCAGTTGACATTCGAGTGACACCGCGGCCGTACTAATGGCTAGAATTCAAGCTGAGTTTGCTAACTTATTGCGTACAAAAGTAGCTCTTGATTGACGCAATACTTAGAGCTCGTCGGGATCACGTTACCGGATCACGTTACAGGATCGCGTCACTGACATTCGTATTTAGAAGCGCAGTCTTGCGGATCAGTGGATTCAGGGGTTGGTTTTGCAGCGTCTAAAGTGGAAAAAAAGAATAGAAAGTCTATTTAATAGACAAATGTTCTTCAAAAGATGTTTTTTTAGCCTCTTGGTTATATTTAAGTTTCAAAGGCGCTTTAATGAAACTGCAAGTTTACAGTTGATTGGTTGGAATATTCTCCACCACTGATTGGCCGTACAAATGTTCTTTCCTTCTCCTTTTGGTAACTATTTTTGGTATCCACTCATAAAACTGCCTCCTTAGATAGACAAGATTTTGGTATATATTGCTATTGTTTTTCATGAAGATAATGCAGACCTACTCATTAAATGAATTAATCGTGGCTCCCATAGTGTTAATGCCCACCACCGTCTTCCCCTATTAGCGCTAGGGTGGAGTTTTACAAGGAATGGCCTCCCATTATTTACGAACGAGTACTTTTGTGGAACAAAATAGGTGACTATTTTGTGATTGGCAACTATTTTTGGAGGACAGACTCAAACAAAACAATCTTAGTTGCCAATATGAAAAGAGGGGTACAATTCAACTTGCAGCGAGTTGGAAGTATAGCCGAAGTATCGAAGGGCCAAGGGGCTACTAGCATGGAGCGAAATCCACGCCACCCAGTAAAAGTAAAAAAAGGTGCAGTCTTGAGTGCCAACGAAATCAAAACAAGAATTTAAACAATCAACACATTACACAGACCCTCCTCGGTCAACCTTCCGTGTCGGCGATCAAAGCTTAGTCGGTGCTGTAAGGCGAAGCACCTACGCACCAACCGCGTCGGTATTCGAACTCGGGTGCAAACGAGGAGACATTCGACCTCAACTCCACTGATCCCTCTTGGCACCTTCACTGGGTCAGGAGATTCATCCTGTTTGACAACTGTATTGAGGGCGAGCGAGATGTGCAGGCTGTCGCGTATGTCCATTGTCAGTCATCAAAACACTGGCCTAAAAGCTGAGTTATTTAATGAGAAATAGAGTTTGAAATAATTTCGTGAGGATGAGGTTTTGCATGTGTCAGTCCTTTTCACTATGTCCAGACATATCTGTGTGGGTTCTATCCAGCTAGTGGGGAGGTGGAAGAAGTGCCACGAGTTCGCCTCATTGACATCCTCATGCGGCTGCGGAAGACAGCTCCTTAACGAACCCTTTCGGATAAGTTAACGGTTAGTGCAGCTTCAGTAGTTGATAGCATTTGCGCAGGAGGTGGAATTGGCCCCTTTTAGTAGGGGCCAATCATCAGCATGTGCCCTTCCAACGTCACATTAAGGTTTAGCATTCAGAGATGGGAGTCAGGGTAGTTGCCTTTGAGGATCGCGTTCGCTTTCAGCTGTTATCAACGTAGCACCATGAGTCGTCCTTGAAGTCGACGTAAAGAAGGGCTGGAGGGCGGCTGGCATGTCCCAGAGGCTATGGCGCCCAGTGGAATTACAAAGACGGAGTCTTAAGTACCCGCGTAATCAAATCACAGAGTTAAGAAAACAATTGAAGTATAACAAACATTTTTTTGTACCATCAACATCACGCCTTCTTGTCTGGGTTTTACAGCGCCCTCTTTTTATCCATATCTTCAAGTTTTTCCCATAAATGTGACTGAGACATTTGTTAGTATAAAAAGTTTAGTGAAGCCACCGCTGTTACAAAGAAGGTGTTCAGTATTCGATCCTTAAAATAAGCAAAGTCGTTTATTCCCCCCAATGCCAACGCAATCATGGTTTGGGGCGTGGAGTCTGAGGGCCGATTAAAATTAGGCCAGGATGCGTAAATATTAAAGCGTGGACAATAAAATTTCACACTAGTCTTTTTTTAGCAATGCAACAACTCATCGGTAAGTTGTTACAATTTTAATCACCCTCCGTTCGCCGTAGAGTTGTGCAAATTTGACACTCACTCTAGGATTTTCAATATTATAGTCCAAATTTTTTTCTTAAGTATACGGGAAAGCATAAAAATTAAGCAGATGGCAGGAAAAAAGCCTTGTATATTGGCTGATAAAGACGATGGCTTTGATGTGTGTGTGTGCTGTATCCACCTCTTACTGATTTCGTCCTTTCTTCGATGATGTGACGCCACAAGCTTCCCGAGCGCAAGCACAAAAGAGACAGAAGATACTGCTTGTACTTTCGTTACATCAGGAGTATAAACAGACATTGTTATGATTGAAAATTTTCCCCTTTTAAACACCCGATATCATCTAGAGTCTTCCCTTCCCGTTAGTTGGGGGCAAATTGAAACAGCGGGGTGGATGGGCGAAAGTGGCGGAGGCGGAGGAGCAGAAGTGAGAGAGGGTGGCATCGGCAAGTAAAATGTTACAAACCAAAGTACAGAGATTATTTGATCAGACAATATGGTCGAAAATAACTATTATGATGCTCCATATGGTGTTAATTCTCACCCGCACAACTCCACCTTTGATACACGCACTCACACACACACGTAAATATATCCACCTATTTATACTAAAATGTCACCGCTACTTTACGACTTGCAAGATACAAACTGTTGTTTACTTCATTTTAAAAATCTCGGATTATTTGTTTGACTAAATCAAAGATTGTTTATGGAAGCGAATTAGACAAGTGAAAAGACTATTTAATAGGTAGGGCTTGCGGCTAGATCAAATGGAAATGTCGGCTAAGCATTTTAGTGATTGGTGATGAAGAAGGAGATGACATTTGGCCTCAAATTCTCCTTTTTTCCATTTCCTTGAATGGTTTACAGTTCTTAAGTCTACTGATAATAATATCAGTAGCGTCTTCCAATTAATCAAAATGTGGTACCGTTTGTGGTGGTAATTGCCTCTCAAGCGTATCCAAAGCTACCAAAAAGCAGCCCATCAAAAATCTGCTATAATCGCTATTAGCTTCACTTCGATATCGTATAAATGTAGGTTTGCAAACGCCCTTACTACTTAAGCATAAACCAGAGATGAGCCAACGTATTACGAGCTAATAAAAGGAAAATTCTAGCCTAGGAGAGGACTATTGAAAAGGTGTGAATACGGTGGAAGATAGGAAAAAAACGGATGTACGCATTCACGATCGACACTTAAGAAACTAACATTGTCTGCTGAGAAAAAACAGCGCACTAGGAGTCTGGCAACAGTCCCGGTTAGAATGTTCTTTCGAGGCGGCAAAAGTACACGACCCTGCCGTGTATGTGTGTTAGCGGTTGACCAGAAAAGCGGCGCAATTCTGACATCGAAACAAGCCTAATGTAAGTTAAAATAACACATGCGCTCTGGTGCGTTTGGAAGCTACGCGGGTGTATCAGTGAGAGTCGACAGTTGGGTCTTTCTTGTTGGATCCCCAAACGCTGGCCTACTTCTGCATTTTGCCTCTTCATCACATTAGTAGGCAACGATTCAACAGTCAGAGCAGAATCTTAATAGGCTATTTTCCCAGAAGCATGGAATAGAGTAATTCAGGAACTGACGTTTGTATGCCTACTTTTTCCATTCTTCAATCGAAGTTTGATATATTTTAGCATATTTTTGGCCTTAAAGACCTCAAATTGTCACATGTCTCATAAAAAATTGTAACTAAACAATGTTGTTAACTGGCTGTAGATAAAATGAGTCCATTAAATGGCACCATTTGGACGTTGATTTCGACAATAAGTAGTATGTGGCTGCAGTTGCCCAAACACCTTATTTCCAGGCATTTAGCAATCCCAAAATTCGTTTTCCACCGTCTTTCCAGTCGCTCATCAGGGTGAGTCAATGCCTGCTGAGCAGTGGATTCAAAGGAGCGATCGCTAACTGCTAGAGCCCTTCCAGCATAAATAAGATATGATGAGAAGACCAGTATAAAAAACACTAGCCAGTGCAATAAAAGCTGGGTCTGCGGTCTCTGCCAAGTAATTTTATTATTTTTACTAAAATCAGGGCACCGATTTCCAACGCTTTCTTTCAGTGACGCGTCATTAGATTTACACTACTGATGCGCTAAATAAGTAGACACAGGTGGGAATTAGTAAATTGTACGCTTACAAGTGCCAATAAAATTTATGTAACTACTCTTACCAGGTGTTTTCCTTAAATAGTATTTCTTAAATATGTTTACTAATAGGGAAAAACCGCTGCGCCACCGCAGGCCTCTACCTTTTGACGTTCCTTTAACACGGAGGAAGCAATTAGTATCAGAAATTGTCAGGAGATTCAAGAAAACACAATAAATTGACGGGATTTTTCTAGTGTAAAGTTTATCCATTCACTTTCTGTGTAAACAAAGATGGAAGCACAAGTTTTATTTGTAATCCCTAATATTAGCCAAACCAGTTTGTGAAGGATACCGAATTCGCTGCTGTATTCTACCTCCTTCAAGTCAGTCATCGTGTCCAAAAAGACAGTCTCCTTTTCAAAAACGAAGACATCAAATGTCGTGAGAAAAAAAAAGAAAAAGAAGAGGGTAGCAGACGGAGGCTCCCCACTTAAAAACCGATTTCTCATCATCTCGACGTTGGCGTTGTCCAGCGATGGGACCTTTTAGGTGAATGAGAAATGTGTATTTTCTTAAAGTACTTCACACAAACACATCTACACACACGCCGTGAGTATGTTTGTTTGCTGGTGGAGCCATAAATCACTCACCGTGGTTCTGCCACTCGGCCCGCGTACTTTAGCGGTGAGTCACGGCTCGCCGTCCGCTCGGTGGAGGGTTGTCTTGGCTGCCACCAACTTCTGCACAGGCAAGCACAATCACCTTCCTCCTCCAGTCAGTTTGAACTTTGTTCAATGTATCTTGGCAGACTCTTTACTGTGGAGGATTGGGATGGGAGATGGGTAGCCAATGTGAGGTTTGGAGTTTTTAGGTCCAAGTGTGTTCTTAACGCTGCACAATTTTGAGGAGGTCAGAAGGGAGGATCCAACGCGTCCCGTAGGTGCTCGTTAGTGGAAGAATTTACGTTATCAATGGAAAAGTCGCAATTAAGTTTCAGTAACCTATCATTAAGTTGAGTGCCCCGATTCCTACCCCCTCCCCGATTCGTCCGCGGCACCCAGACACGGAACTCGCGACCCTTCGGTATAGCAGATCCAATAGGAAGTAGTAAGTACCGTCAGGACTAACTACACAGCCAATTTGTTTAATTATCCACTAAAACGTTGTTTAATTCACGTTTTTAATAAAGCTAGTGAGACGCATTGTCGGTGGTACAATAAGTAAATACGGGGTTACATGGAAGGATGGGGGAAGTGTACCAAGGTATTCGCTACATAGAAAGCGCAAAAGTGCAATTCACTGGGTTGAAATGGAGACGGAAAGGACATTTGCTACTTCTACTTAGTCAAAAACCTTCAAGTAGCACCCAGTCACTCTGAATGCTATTTTGGTCCTTTGTACTAGGGTCCTTTACGAAGGGAGTAGTAAAACGAGCCACAGTATAGCGTGAACTTCTTCAAAAGTTGCGTAAGAAACTATTTTTAAATTACACAAAGAAAGTGACCCTTTTTGTTTGCAACCTTTATCACGAGTTGGAGTCTTTCCCCCAGTTAAACAGTCCATAGTGGAGGACATCATCTAGGGACATCTTAGGTAGGACAGAAACAAGCAGGCAAGTGAATTCGCGATCCTTCCACCTTAATGAGGTTCACTTGCGCTCCGCTAGGGACCTCTGATGGCGTTTTTTGATAAGGAGAGCTTAAATTACCCCAAAAAAGTCAAAGGACTGTTGGATCATCCATTCACCTGTTCCCTCTTAAATGTACGGTGGCTTTCGCTGAGGTGTGAGTCGGTCAGTAAACAGGAACCTCATAGCAGATTGGACGGCATTGTCTCTCTAGGGGTTGGAGGAACCTACCCTGAGCACGCTTAACCACTTTATTTATCCCTATCCCATAAAGCATTTCCTTGTCCGCTTATTCCAAGGCTTTGAAAGCTGAGGTGGAGGGGAGAAACACCAAGGCCGAAACACTCAGACTTATTTAGTATCCCGAAATCGAGGGCCTCCGCGCTCTAGACCCTCCGTCATTGAATCAGCAATTCCTCTCTTGCAGGACAAAATTCTTCCCGAGGAGGTGAAAAAAAGCGGTCGGTACCAATGCTAATGCTGAATTCGGCCACAATTTAAGTGATCGACTAGTGAAAACAATGACTGTGAAAGCAAGGGTTTTGATTTCATGCGGACCATATCTGTTTTATTAAACCCTGGCAGCTATGCGTTATTAATAAACCATTGATCAACCGTTTATCTCGGTATACAAACATGGCGTTACCTTAACCGATCCCTTTTATTATGTAAATAATTGTGGGGTGTCGTTGATGTGTCCATTACTGGGGGCAAAAACGGATGAAAGAATAGGATCGGTGGGTGGAAAGGCCAGTCCAGCTTACTAGGCGATTGTTCAACCTTAGGCTCCACAGCACTGGGGTTTTGTCAATCAAACAATACCAACTTCATTAAATCTGCAAGCCGAAGTTATTTACCTAATTAAAAATGTCAAATACACTTCTTTCGGGAGGTAAATAAACCAGAAGGGTACAAAGTGGAAAGAGAGCACTCGTCTGTGGTAAATAACTAGAGGCTTGGGTCACTGAAACTTATTTTGAAAGCCGCAAATCCAGTGGGAGATCTTTTTCCTCCAAAAAGGACGAAGAATGCGCAATAGTTCTTTCTTGAAGGTAACCTTGTGTGTAAGCACCCTGAGAACTGAAAATACATGAATCCCATAATATGAGGGAAATAACTTTTCCCATGGCCCTCTCATGGTCCGATTTCAGTCCTTCTTGTGGCAGTAATTGGGGAAAAGTGCAATTAACAAAAGTGCACTTCAATCTGCAGATAAATTTAAGGCTTAGGGCCATGATGGCCTCCTAATCTGTTCCTTTTTGAATAATGGTGTCAGGCCCAGTTCCCAAACCCCCTTAACTGCATCCAATGTTTACCCAGCAATTCAACTGGTGCCAAATCGCCATCGCTTGGAGCTAAAGCGCAGCAGAGTCAGCAATCCTATGGCCGAAGAGATGAACTTCTGATGATGGGGAGGATGTATGATTAGTGTGGGTGACATTCCCGATCCTCTTCAAAAATATTTGTAATCGACCTCGGTGATAACGTGGTCTTCACAGGTGGGTTGGGAAGTGCCCATCCTCTGGAGCTGAGGATGAACAAATGTTATCCACTCTGGACCCAGCCCACGGAGGCAACCCGATTTAGTAACATGCCCACGAGTGAACTGTTTCCCCAGTAAAGGCATCTTAAAAGCGCAGCTTAAATAAATGTGATATCAATTTAAAAATTAGCGACAATTCCAAACCACTAAAATTGCCTCCACTGGAGTCCCCAGGCCAGCCACAAATCACTCGGGCACTTCCCGAAATTGTCAGCCCTCCAAAAATACCAAACTTTGTGTGGGATGCACCGGAGAAATTTAAAGGGACAATGATAATTTTCCATTCCTCCTACGGGAAGGCAAAGTCGCTGGCCGATTCTGTGGGAATTCGGAAAGTGCGCAACTTGTAGTATCAAAGCGATTCTTCCGCCAGATGGACTGATGGACTGCCTTGAGGCTTCAATTCCGTGTAATAACTTAAATGGTCAAATTGTTGATCCACTACTCGATGTAGCACTGGCTTTATTTGTCCTCGATAGCAAACAACCGAGTTGGACTGTTGGCTTTGCCATTGTGGATCACAAAACGCCAGTGACGTCGTGACTTTCTACTGGTGAAAGCCCACAAGTCGAACCACCTCCATTCTTAGGTAACTTTACATTTTATCTCATGAAGCTTAGAAATTGATAACTATGCAGCAAATTCGGGAGTCGGGGTTTACTATTCCATTTCTAGCCCAGTCCGAGTCGTTTAAGTCCACATCACAGGTCAGTGGTAATGTGTCAACGCACCAGTTTTTCCATCATGAAATAAAAGAACTTTTAATCCTTTTTGCTCTACAAAGTGGTCGGTGTGTGTGGTTTAAGCTATCAAGGCAGGCATTTCAAGAATCAGAGCCAAAGTGCATGCAGTTTGAACTCTCCCTCTTGCGGATCCATAGAAATTATTTCCGCATTTCCCTAGGCCATCCTGAAAAGGTGCACCCTCTTCCACTTTGTAGAACAGCCAGCAATTACAATAAATTATAAAAACTATTTCAGTTGTTGGAAACATTCTAGCCTTACTTCATTGTTAAAAGTGCCAGAAATCCATTAAGACCGAATATTGAAAGTTCGCCCTCGAAGCAATCTTCTGTCGTCGGTCCACCCCGAGCTCCTGCAAGTATAAAACAGCAGAATCACAGGCGGGTGCAAAAAAAGGGTTCCTTGTAGCCGCTGAACAGAAGAATATAGTGCCTCACTGTCACCTATTGGCATCTACTTGATTGATGCCCATAGAGGGCGGCGAACTTCGCCTCATGAATGAAGGAATTTCCCCAATTTTAGGAGTCACAACAAGTGTCCCTCATGGCTGTTTGGCATAATTCACAACTCCCAGAAAATTGCTCGTAGTATCCAGCAACAATAATTAAAATACAAAAGGCTGAAAGATGAGAATCAAAGTGCGCGCGTGTGTGTGCGCATAAACTGCGCACACACACGCGCGCACTTTCGAATAAGCCAATCAGGAGGGAGGATGGACGCCACCGCCTCGGTTATAAAGGCGGCTTCTTACTTCGAGGGGACATGCAACTCTTCATCAACCCTCCTATTGAAAAGGCGACCTCTGTGTGGCAAGTCATCTCTACAAGTGAGTCTAATGCCATAACATGCATTTCCCTTTATAGCCTTTAAGGGACTTTTTTGCTTGTGCCTTAATGCCGAATACTCCTATTATTTAAGAAGAAGAGGGGGAGTCAACCGATCTTCTGTACATCACCTAGGGTTCCATGTATTTATCTGGCCCTTGCATCGTTTGCATCCAGCCAAGTGACAAATCTAGATCACCACCACCACCTGAAGGCACACTCTGTTCTGTTGAAGTTTCATGCAGTCTTTGAAGTGAAAAAACCTGCATTTAAAAATAGCAGAGGTAGTAGAGATTGTTGGAGTAGGCACTAAAGCAAGTTACCTCTCAGTAGACCTAATTTCTCAAAATAAAATCCAGTGGTTTTAGCACTGATGCCGTTGCGGTTGGAAGGCTGCATGAGAGCATGGTGGCCGTTAACGCAGAAGGTGAAACCATAATTCAAGCAATCCTTCCTCCACGTGTGAAACATAGCCGACACCTTTACTATTTACAATTACTTGTTTACTATAGCCGCTCAAAACCGTGTCAAATGCCAGATTATAGCAGCGAATGATTAAAAGATCCCGTGTGGTTTTCACTATAGCTTGCAGCATTGACGCCTTTAGTCCACCAAAGACCTGATTGCTCAGATCTATTGGAAATCATAGTTTTACCCAACGCATCGGCACAGTCCTACTTTTATCACTCTCTCCCTCTCTCACACTCTCCACTTCTTCTTGTAGTAGCGGAAAGCACCACCCATTTCCCTCGATCCTAGCTCCAAGTTACCTCACCTGAATGATGATCCCCCATTCCCTATTCTTTATAACGAAGCGCTCAGTGTCACGATTGACATCTCAATTCGAGATGGAGGTGTCAAGAGCACTTGTCGCTCTCGTATAGCCTGTTTGGTGGTAAAACAATGATATGGCACCTGAACTGAGTGGGTATGGAAATTTGTGGTAGCTATTAATTAGGAGGTACACGGGAGAGGATTATCACATGCCAAGCATTAGAAGATAAGGCCAAAGTTGTCAATTTTTTCTTGCCTTCTCTCATGTAATGAGATCGTGTCATCCCTTTAAGACCTTTTGCTGGATATCCGACTGTGTATCCGATTTGTGATGCAAAATGGCTTTTGTATTACCGAGTTAGTCTCCGAATATTCACCACCCATCTCACCCTTCTACTATAAAGAGCTCCATAAAGGTGAAATTCATAGTAAACCTGTGTCTTGTTGAAAAAGAATAGTAGATTGAATTGGTGATACTTCCAGTGAACAGACTATCTGAAGGAGCTTTCTGTAGTTGTTAGTCAATCCGCACGAATTCATTCGGTTGCTCTTCACCTAGTAAACGCAATCTCCTGGCACCGGTGGATCCGACCAAAATCAAAGTTTTACTTGACTGGAATAAGTAGAAAAGTTATAGGCCCCACGTGTAGTGGATACAGCAAAAAATGCAACAAAAGGATGCCCACTGGAGGGGTGGACCTCTTCACTTCCCCAAGATCAGTTCCCTCTCTCCGCCGTGGGACAAAACAGGCATCCGTTCACGCCCTCGTTTCGGCAGTGGACAAATTTGTGCCAGGGTGAAGTTGTACGGTTGTAGGATGACTTAATGGAAGCCTTCATGCAGACTGTAGGTGGATGTTTGTATGATAGACAGCATTGAGCGCACACACACGCACACACGTAGCGAGTGTGTGTGCGCGCGTGCGTAGGTGCGTGCACAGTCATCCTTATAAGCCACTGTCGCACGCTCTTGACCTTCATAACCACTACAGGCATGTTTATTTGCGCGCAGCCGTTTCTCCTCAACATGACCTTCAACCGACGCTCGCCCATCCTCGTCCTCCTCCTTGTGCTCCACAACCTCTTCGCCAGTCTGGCTGTTGTTCTGCCTCCCTCCGATAACAAGGCTCACGGCCTCCAATCCTGGGAGGACTTACTTCCAGAGTCCATCGATTGTGAAGAGTTTATTGACGCTCCGGAGTGCAGAAACCACGATATCATTCGACGCAGGTCGACAGAATGCACCTACACCGTGACCCTGCGTTCTAAAATCTTTCCTGATGAAGAATTGGAAATGTGCGCCCATCCTAGACCTTCACTACCCTGCCGAATGAATGGCAATGTTATCTGTGAAGTTCCACCAATGGAGGTGTCGAAATTTGACCTTATGATACTCTATCTCATTAATCACGAGTTGCAAGCGAGAATCCTGCGTCTGCAGAATCAGCAGGAAGCAGGAAGAGGCCTCAGCATCGATCTACAGCGCGAGATTGAGCTGATGATCGCGGATAATGTGGCATGGATGTGCTCAAGAAAGTGCAACAACTCCTCGTGCGAGTTTAGCGCTGAGTTGCAAACTCATAGGCGTACTGTGGGAAGCATTCCAAGAATGACCTCTCTGGTGACTGAATATCCTCTCTACGCTCGCAGCTCACGCCTTCAGCACATTCAAATCGACCTTCCGATTGGATCGTTTGAGATATCACGTCTACTGAAGAAGAAGGCGCCCTTTAGACACCTCGCTGTCTCCTCACTACCTCTCATGGTGTCGTGCCTCAAAAACTGATCGCACCCTCCAAAAAATACCTTTTGGAAATAAACGATCTCGTCTCCTTCTCATGTCAGTTGTTGCATTTATTATAACACTTGTGGTTGGAGCAGCAGCGGTACCTTCGTACTACTGCCCGACTTCTCCGACGCAGTCAGTTTTGCTCCGTCTCCCTGTCCCCCTCCCTCAGCTCCGTGACAAGATTTTCACTTTTACCTCTACGTCTCTCCCTCTCCCCCCTGACCTCCCCATGTGTGTGTGTGTGTGTGTGCATTTGTGTGAGTACGTGGTTGTGCTTTTGACCAGCATTCCATGCGACTTTGTGTGTCCTATTTTGTGGTGTCTATGTCCTACTTACGACCCCTCTCCCACCGAAGGAATGAGACAGTTTGAAAATAATTATATTTAATGTGTGCCTTTTGTGGCGTGTCTGTTGATGCTATACCGACAGGTTGGCTGTGTCCTCGGGTGGCGAGACCCTTTGCCCTCCAGAGCTTTCCCTCATGAGAAGTTTCAATTACGAGGGCTCTCTGGAAAGTTTATTTGGGTGTAGACGGAGGGTCACTTTACTCTTTGACAAAAGCCAAATCCTTGTGAATAGTCAGTCATCTGTGTAGCCAGTATGGATCAGGGAAGGCAAAAATAATGGTACACCTTCAACCACACGATTGATAGTGATAGTGGGTGATCATCCAGGAAGCCCCCACCCACCAGCGCTTGGATTTAGATTCAACAAGAAACTCATTGCATGCGCATTACGCATAGTCATGCGGGATGTTGATCTGATGAAGTCAGAAGTCCTTCACATGACACACCGGCTAGGCAATTACTCCACAAGATCAATTTCACACCCTAGTGCCAGAGCTAGAGTTGCGTGACTGGTATGGTGTAACCGGAATGCACTACTACTGTCAGCAGTAGGGACAGTAGAGCAAACCTTTACCGCCCCAAAAGTGCGCATCTCCTCCGGGTTGGAACAAGACACACCACACTCGGTAATGACAAAAAGCCAGCCTCATCTACGACTCCGTAATCACACCACCAATTCGAAGCCTTTGAAGTTGCACTACTGCAGAGGCGTCCACAGGGGTACGTGGGGCCTAATACGAACCTGCACCATCTATATTACCGGAAGTTCAAATGATTGATAGGTGATGACAATGGAAGGCGCATTTTGTACTCTTTCAAGCACCAAAAGTGGCACCTGTCAAAGGTGCGATGTTCGTGTAAATGTATCCACCGCTAAGTATCGGTACACGCCCTCGTCTAGTTAACTTTTCGACTGCTTTCTTTCAAGTTTGCGGAGCTGATGTAAGCTTTTGGAATCGCGTTGGTAGCGCGAAAGTATCGGTCCTCCCAACGCCATACTGATGCTGCTGCATTACAGTCTTTGCCCATCTCCACAGGAAACTAGATAACTTTTCGAGATCACTCACACATGACGAATTTCTTGACCACCGTCTACTATCAATCGTCGTCACATGAAATCTTCCCGGTACATCTGCATCAGGCAATCGCCTGACAGTTAGGAAAGAGTGGAAGCGGTGGAGGTGAGGCGTCGTGCTTCAAAGCCAAATTGTCTCGCGAGGGGAAAGAAGGATAGATTGGAAGTGGTGAGTGCTTTAACGACCGCAGCATTTGAAGACGCCTACTGGATGAGCTGGCTTGACTACCTCATGCTACCTTTTTTCGGCCGTTGCCAAACTGCGGACGGTAGTACCCAGACTCCCAGGATGGAATAGCGACACGTGACAGAACGGAGAAGGTGAACAATTGACCAGCGTCCGTGTAAGCGGCCCACCACCTGTAAATAGATGCCATGTAGGTCGTTCGGCTAGCATGTAAGTGGCTCGTGATTGTCCTGCTACCTCCACCATGTGCTTTGATGCACTCCCTCTCCATCCGCCTCAATTTCGCAGGCACTTTTCAACTGTACTTGTCGGGCTATCTATCCGCCAATTTCTTCTTCAATGCCGACGTCTGAATAATTTAGACACGTCTCGTAATGTCCCACGGAATGGAGTCGAGGGGCACCTATGCCTTGTCAATTTGTCCGATCATTCCTGCTAGTCATCAGGTGGTAGTCGCAGGACCGAAGTGACCGAAACCACTTTTAGTGAAATAAAAAGCGACCTTTTGTCTACTTACCGAATTCAGACATTCAGTACGCACTTACTGATTAAAGAACAATGTGTCCCTAAATTAACTGCGTGGACTTTAAAAATCTCCCTATTATAGGCTACACATATCTGGCATGGAGATCTTTCTAACTACCCTTATCTGCGCAGTCTACAAAGTTTAAATTTCTAGAGTAGGTTTTAAAAATTAATTTGATTGTGACAAAATAATTATTTCTAAGAGCAATCTGATGGATGGAATGTCGGAGAACCAGAAAGACCAACACATCTTCCCCCCTCATACCCCGATCCAAAACCTCATTGTCGCCTTTATTAACTTGACTGACTCAGGTCTTCACGAGGGCTCAATCCACGATCTCTTGTTCTAGAAATTTGTTTATTTTTTGGTTATAATGGAGCATAGATGTCGTCGAACTTCGTTCTGAGGCAAAACTGGGTTACTCGAGCTAAGTCCTGTTTTGCCCTCCAGTACCTAGTAAGCAGGAGTCCACGCATTTAAGCTCTGCCTTCCCACTTTTAGAAGGTGTACTTTTGCCCCTCTTTTTTCCTCCCAACTACATTGCGTACATCTGCACTCCTTGTTTGTAGTTCCATCAACCGAGATGTTGACTGACACATCGCTGTTGACGAAGTTGGAGTCGTCTGTCACATCTCTTCAGTGGCCTTACCGTCAATCATTTTACTGGCATTCAGCAATACCACTGGTCATTTAAATTATACTAAAATTGAGCCTTACCAATAAACCACTCACATTTTCTTACCATTTCAGGGCCTCAGCCTGCCTGGACAAAGGCCACACCGAACTTCACTGTGACTGAGAATGAAGTAGGTAGGGGAAATCTTATTGACAGCCCCATTTATGTCAAGTGCTTGAGCTTTCCCAGAACACGGAGGCCAATAACAACGCACCTTTGGGGTCATTCACGTGCCAGGACATTCCCTCCCCAGGTGGTGAGTGACCTCACCTCACATGCTGGGCGCAATAAAACTTCAGGCGCATCACGTGCAGCAATAATGGCACCAGGCATTTACATTAAACTGGCAATAAAATAAAAACTCATCTATCCCCAAACCCATCCATCCATCTGACATCCATCCAACCGTCCATCCACCCTTTGCATTATCAGCCGTCTCTCATTCATGAATCCGTTTCCATCCACCTGTTCCGCAGCCATCCATCCTGCATCCTTCCATCAATCTATGCCGCGCTCATCTACCCGCCTAGAAATCATACTTAAGGCTCAATTTCGCACACTGAAAATCACTTATCAGAGCTCCAAAAGCCCATTTACGAATTCAAGAGGTGAATAAATTCCAGGAGCTTTTGGAAGGACTTCCTTGAGCAAAGGGGGAGAAGTAACAAAAGATAGCGAATTAATGAGCGTTTGGAATACTCCTTCAGCGCAGGTAAACACAAGTTCTTGCCTTCAACATCCTTTTCGGCGATCTACCATTTGCGTGGACTGCGAGACAGTTACGGCCAAATAATCGTGGAATTCCCCTGTCACTTCACATCAGCTGCCTTCAAACCGCCGTCCGCTCTTGCATCAAAAACGCTTTGCCATCTATCCCACTAGTGATCCATTTTGGATCAGTGCGATTCAGGAGTCCTTAAGAATAGCCTTACCTCCGTCCATAAAGGCAGAGGAGGCAGGAATGCTTGCAAAACCACTCAACCGTGCGTCACTACGGTCAAAACAGCTATTCCTTTGCATAGAATTAGTTTCTTTTCCCTAGAAAAGTTTCATTCATACCCGAGAAGGGCCTTTGAGTGCCCGCCATGACATCCACAAGCAACCCACCGTGGAGTGATTGATGGCAATGCTCATTTTCCCACGCCTCTTGTGAAGAAAAACCCTGATACAATTGCTAGTTAAAGCAAAAAAATAGGAAGGAATGCAGAAGAGACTCAGTTGTTGTTATTTTATTTAATATAGGTCAATTTCTCTTCAAGGGATGACCAAAAGTTGGTTAGGCTTGCGGCACCCCAAGCCACAATGATCGGATGTAGGTCGGCTGGTAGGGTCTTGAAAGGCGCAGTGATTTACAACGGCTCATAAAGCATAGACGTGGACCAGTTTCTCGGTTCTTCGCATCATGATCTAAAAATTTTCCTCCAAATTGACTACCACTTCTCGACAATAACCAGAGATATGCGCATTAGCGAATGCGAAGGAGAAAAAACAGTTTGAAGTAAAGGTGAGATATAAGTAGAGCTGTCAATGGTAAGGGGCTTTGTTTCCGCAGATAAGGCAAAATCGTACAGGATGACACTATGATATGCTCCTGGCTCCTTCGGGAAGGGCGACAGATTGTGATGACAGACGATTTTGACGAGTCCAGTACTTGAAGACGCCTTTACCTTGCTTTTTCGCTCTGAGGTACTTGTGTCCTGCCCCAAAGGAGTTGGATGATCTCTGGGTTGGGATGAACCCTGACTTTAATTGTACATTATACTACCCATCTGACAGCCGGAATTCGTAGAGTTTGAAGAGCCCGAGTCATTATACGGACATCTTTAGTCAACGTCAGTAAGACAAAGTGCGTCCTGATGTCTCCACTAGATCTAGACCTTCATCCTGTTTGATAAGTGGATTGAGGAAAGGGAGAATATGTTGTCCAATGTTGGCAGTAAGAACACCTACCCGAAAACCAGATTTCAAAGAGTTTTGTGGGAATGAGGGTTTGAGTCCGTTCCTTCTTGCCACTTTTTTCTTACTTCAGTGCTTCCCACCGCTCTCTGCCTGACCTCTACCCAGCTAGTGACGAGGTGGAGGAGGAATAGCGTGTTCACTTACTTGACATCTCCACAACGAACTCCTCCAAATGTTTCACAGCTATAGCTAGAGTCGTTAAGAGCATTTCAGCAGAACACGGGACTGGGGTAGCTACCAAAGGTGGACGTCGGCCTCAATCCTTCAGTTAGGAGGCGACATAAATTCCTCCATTCGCGGCATATACCCTTCTTCCCATTCAGGAATGAAAATCAGGATGCGAAGCCTTTGAGAATCGGGTTCGCTTTCCGCTACCAGGGATGTCAAGCCCCCAGTCTTCCCACCGCCGAAAGGAAGGGTGGAGAGGCTACTGATAACCTACCAGAAGTCGATCTACGAAAATAAATGATCCGATAAGGTGATCCGACCAGCCGAACTCGCATGTCCTTGCCCTCCCTTCGGATGGGGATCGCGTGAGCCAAATCAATAACCTTGGCGCCGCCAAGACACTGACAGGAGGAGAATGCAAGGCAAGCACGTGGCGCGACCACAAATACTTGTGGCTGCATGAACACATTTTTCCATAAAAAGCTGTAAGACATCACCAAAAACAGCAGCAGCATTAGGTGTTATCGAACCAGGACTGGCGCCTTCGCCAGTATGCATTTGAACCAGGCCTTTGTGAGAGCTGCCTCACACCTTACGGGCGAATGGTGTCGCAACAACCAAAAATTAATCCTTGCCTGTGACATGGATGAGACCCTGTTGACTGAGTCCGAGGACGACAACACTTTATTCTGCGTCCCAAAGTACTCTATATGCTGCGCAACATCCGTGCTTTCTACGAGCTCTGCCTAGTGACTTACTCCACACGTGACCGAACTGAAGACATCCTACGACTCAAATTAGATCCCAATGGACGTCTATTTAACGGTCGTGTGCTCTGTCGTGAGGACGTGTTGGCAGGTTTTGAGAATAAGCGTGAAGCTCTATTCGCGCATCTGCCCCAGGGTAAGACAAACAAGGGTTTGATGAAGGTGCGTCGCCTCAAACCTGGGTACATTGTACGACCACCTGCCTGGCCCTACATTGTCATGCTAGACGACTTTCCAGCCGCATGGTCCAATTTCTCCTCCTGCATCCCTATCCGTCCCTTTCTTCTTGGACCAGATGGAGGTGGACTCAACTCCAATGGTAAAGCGTCGACCAAAATCCTATCCGGTGAATGTGGATACATGCTCAGCGTTTACAGATTTTTGGTAAAACTACACGCAGCAGTCTTCCAAAGAGTTAGAACACCTATTGAGGTGGACATGAATTGTGCACCAATTCGTGTGCGAGCCGAGAGGAGGGTAATGGGTCGAAAGAACAGTAGTGGCAGCAACGGTCAGGCGCATATGACAGCCTTCTCGGCATTGGTATCCCTCAAGCGACGCATCAACTCGGCTCAGCGTTTCCAAAACATGTGCTACGTGGATCCGGGTCAGCTACTCACCTTCGAGTGCATCAGGACCCCCAATGAACGACGATCAAGGTCAGCAATCAACCAGTCACACGTGTTTGTCGACTCGCAGTAGGATAGGGCGGGAGTGGGCGTGTGTTGTGGGATCTGTACTGCGAATGTCACTTAGCTGTTTTCATTCCTCTGTGGATTTTTACTTACGCTCCAATACACATGCCGCCTTGAGCGTGGGCAAAGACACAAATTCGGTAAAGAAAATTTAGATTTTCTTTGATAAATATGTTAGCTTAATGGTGTGATTTGCAATGTTCCTTTAATCGGTGAAGCGTGGAATAAACTGAAGGAATACCCTCGAGTCATTTATCACCAGCCACGGCAGCAGGTAGAAGGCTTTCCACGAGCTGTGGCTTGTTCAGTAGACACTGTTAACTGTCCAGTATTTTCAATATTTACTAATTAGTTAGAAAACTTTGAAGTAGTTAATCACAGGAGTGCTATTCTACTCCGTTTTTCGCTGAGGGAATATACTACTTTTATGACTTAAGTATGCTAATGAAAGACCCCGTTAACAAACGGTCTAGTTAAGGACTGGCAAAGGTTATTAGTAATATGACACATCACTTTAACCCTCTCTGACCACACCTTCTGTCAGATAATGCCAAAGGCCCCTTATTATACCTAGCAATACTGGCGAAACGTCTGATTTGTCCCTGAAGAAGTCACAATGAGTGAGACTGGAAGTATCTTTACTGTCGATGGTGGCATATGCAGCATGAGCCATCAGCATGACTGAATGGGCAATAGTAGAGAGGACAGGTGGTACCACCAAGATTCGGCTATTGTAAGGGCGGAGGTGCTTTCAGTAGATTTATCGTGAAACCGTATTCAAGGTCTGATATCCTCACTGAGACTTTTGGAGATGCACTTCTGTGTCGTGAAGACTGAAAGAACTTCTTTTACTGGTCTCCTGTATGGTCCTTCAACCCACTCCGTTCAATCGCTTTATCAATGACCCCGCCGATTATGTGTGGGTGGGAGGGAGAGGTGCAGGAGGCGGAGGGGTTGCACCAGGAGATATAAACGTGGTGTTCTATGTACAGGCCAACCCACAAACAGACACACAAGGCTGCACGAGGTTTAGGAGTGATATTTTTTAGTGGAAAACAGCCTTAAAGTACAATCTTGCACTGCTGATCGCATTGTTGGACAAAAAACAGCCACTGCAGGCACATAATGTGGCCAATCAAGGTCAACACCAAATTCTTGACAAGCCTGAAGGTCACTGCCATTTCTCGGAGAAAATGTACTAAGGTGCTAATAAATGCTGAAAGAGAGAGGAATATAAACATTGAAGGGTTGAGAGAAGGAGGTGATACACCATATCGAGGTAGCTGAGTGTGTACTTGAAGGCGACTCTTGAGAGGTTGGAAGGAATTAAACGAACTAGTAACCAGCGCCGTACAGGTTAGTTGCTTCCGCTGTCGTAGTATGAAGTGTTGACAATTCGTAGACAATCATCTTGGGTATATGTCCGACCTTTGTGGAAATCGGTGTTGAAGGACTTTTGCGTGGACTCCTTCAGATCAGGGATGAGGAAGGTTGTCTGTACAGGCCATTTGATAGGCATGAAAGTCACAAAATTACAAGGACGACATACAGCCTGTCATTTCATCCGATTGCCAAATGCCAAGGTAAATGGAACTCTACCATTTTGCTATCAGTTTGCTCCACCTGAAGTCGTCTCTTTAGAATTTTGACTTGGCATCAGCACTCACGTTGATGCCTTTCACCCTTACCAAGGCCACATGACAGCTGTCACTTTTGACCCCAAGGTGGGCACAAATAAGGCTCTCATTAACCAACATTTGATAAGGTAACAACATCCTTGCGGGTCTGACGGAGGCAGTAAGGGTCCTCCCGGAGTTGTTGATGGGATCGAGATTGCTAATTTGCTTATGACAAGGGGGCTGCGGTTTCTTCTGTCCCTGGCAGCATTAATCCCTTTTAGCTATCGAAAACTCGGAATTCATGCAGTTGCCCCTCTCCACTTCCACCTATTTCGGTACCTCACAGAGTGCCTGTTGAACGTCGGACCTATGCTATCCAAACTTGTCCACCCAATGAGGAAAGTCTAAAAACGTGCCGAAGCATAAATTCCACAGCCTATTTCCCTCGATTCTGGTAATGACTTACACCAAGATGCATCGCCTGCAAAAGGAACCCCTACTCCCCATTCTTCATACCGAAGCGCTCAATGTAGCGACTGACACCTCAATCCGGTATGGGGATGTCAATATCACTTGCCACTCCTGCTTAACCTGAATGATAATAGAACAATTGGTTGACACCCAAACCAAGTGGGAAGGGGCATTCGTGGCATCTACTTAGTGAGCGGTAGACAGCTGTCAGTGGAGAGAAGTACTTCCACATCCTCACCCTCCAAATTCTCATGACAATATTCCTCAACCCTCTAACAAAGGTCGAATTAGTATTAAGTAATGGCAGGGGAATGGAAACAAAGACGACTAGAAATAATCTTTCCAACCCTAGAGGCAGATCGCTATCTAAAATGCCATTCGTGATGGAATTGTCGCATTAGCAAAGGATCAGTTAAAGAACATCTTTCAGAGAAATAGGACAGGCTACCTCATTAGTCGGAAGAGTACAAAGGACACCTCCCACTGCACCCATCCATCACTCACTTGAACTTCCGGTGTTGGAGACACTGGATGTGTGTGTGTGTTAAAGTACCGAGAGTCTGGCCTTCCTTTAAAGGGCACGCACCGGATAAAAGATCGCCAGCTGTGATGTCCTTGGCAGTAGCCTTTGACTCGGCAGTGTGATTACGAGGTCGCAGATGAGGTAGGGGTTGGCAAGTGCCGAGAGTGGTTTGTCTTGTGCACTTTAAAGGTGGTAGATACCCGTGCGACTGGCCCACTGCCCCTACTGCTGACAGAAGTAGTGCATGCCATTTACACCCTGCCAGTCATGCAGCTCTAGCTGTAGGTCTGTGAACAGTTGTGTGTGAATTTGAACTTGTAGAGTGATTGACTAGTTGGTTTGCGATATGACAGACCCGTGGCTTCACCATTTCTCAACAAAGGGTGACAGTATTTGGTGGAAAAGTTACAGTCAGGCTTTGGGACGATTTCAGCTGGAGATGTGGTGGTGGTTCTTCGTCTTTAAACTTGCTTACAAGATGGGAATTTCTGGGCGAGGACTCCACCCACTCAATCAATTAATGAAGGGCTTCCATTTGTCCAGTTGAAGGCTTACAACTGTTTCCAGAGGTGGAAACATATGACCGACCAAAGGTCAGAGGCTGAGATCTCTATGGGCTTATAGTCTTCAGTCTCCATTGGCTCCCACCACCGTCTTGATATCATGATCTTCCATTCGAGTCCACAGCCCTTCACAGCACTTCTGTACCCCAGCTACAAACCATCTTCTTAAACTTGCCCTCAGGGACAACTATGAGCGTTGTATTTCTGGTCTTCTCTCTATGAGGGCAGATGAGTTAATATTGATACGGAGTTGATTCGCCTTCTTTGTAAGGATATTCAAGCAGAGATATTGTGATACCTATCTTTAACTTTACTGAGACATCCAGACTTATTAACGCGTTTCCTGATGAGACTACATTCATCGAGCCTTCTACATCTCTCTTTGTATTTCGATTAACCCTTAAGAGCGGTCCTCTTGCTTCCTTGCCATCCATACCCATATCGAAATGTTCTTACATCTAGACTTTGATTACACCTAATCAACGGAATTCGTAAATATAATTACACTTTTTCAAAGACCATTTTTTCCAGGATGTCTAGTAAATCTCACTTTCCAATTGTAGCAATAGTACCCAGACATCTAAAACCCTATTTAAAATATCTGTTTTTGTGGCCTTTTCATACTCCTGTTCCACTGCCTCTCATATTGACAAATGAGGAGAAAGGTGGGGGATCTCATAAGGCGCGTGTAATTGTAGATTTGAAAATGGTCGCGTCGGCTGACAACAACACTTTAATATTTTGGTGTACAATTAGGCCATTGTCATTAATTTGTTATGAGGGAATCAGAACGCACCTTCAGGCTCACACTGGTTTGCGCAGCCAGAAAGTCATTGTGATAGATGCCATCTCTCGCCAGCGGAAGTAAAGACAAATGGATTACCATAACTAATTGCGTGGTATTACGAATTTGTTTTGTTTTAAGTAATAAACGAACTGTTTGGACTGCGAATTTATTTCTTATAAAATCACCGCCATTTTTCACCTATTTACTTTTTAAACATTTATTAAGAGATTCAAGTGAGCCAGCACATCGGTAGAAAGTTAGGCTGCTGTCTTGTTGATAGCTCCTTTCTGTCAATTACATCACCTCGATGATGACCTTTTAGTAAAGGCAGGATTTAAGCAACAATAGTGACTGATTTAAAACTAAAATATGTAATTTACCTATGACAGTAGTATTATAGTAATTTGTGAGTATGCTCAAGAGGTCAAAGTATTTACATCATGCACAAAATGAATCAATTTAGTTTCTAATGACCTTGAGGGCGAATTCTGAGGTCGTTGAAACTGGGAGACGGCGTTACCCACACAAACACCTGGAAAAGAAATTGCTGCCAATGTTATCGTCTTGCATTACCGCCTAACAAAAAGCTAAAGTCAGCATTTAACCGCGGGTTATTCGGCTTTTCTCGGATAAAAAATAGCATTTGCAAATAACTTGCTGTAACGTCTCAAGTCTCTTCGTAATTTGGGTAAACTACATAAGATAACAACGAAATACTTTTAAATAGCAAAGTACATTTGTATAGTATATCACTACAGTAGACTGCTCGTTAGTTATCACGATTCCAGGCCCATGGCTGAGAAAGAAGTCAAATGCAACTACTGACAAAATCAATTTCTGATAGGGAGGCTAATAGAGTTGGCATAGAGGTCTGCTTTGCAGTCATCACTTTGCTACTTGCATTGATGATCAGTAGAAGGGCTTTTGCTGCCAGGGCTCGGTGTAGTCCGACGATCATGTGTTCGTGCGCTTTTGCGTATGGCTCTCTCGAATGGCTCGGCTCGGCTGGTCTGGGGACAGACTTGTCAAATGCACACCACCAGTTGCAGCACTGGTGGAATGCTTTGCGCCGCTTTCACGTTTTTTTAATCCTCTTCTAGCGAAGCACCGATTGGACCTCATTGATGCAATTCGAGCAATTCGGCTTGACCAGCGATCGTCATACAGCACTTGAAGAAGGTGTAGTACACGATAGCACAGTGCATCATCCAAAAATTAGATTTTTGCGATGCATCACCTGATGGTGTTGTATCATATTAAAACAAATCGCTTATTCTTCACAGTGAAGAAATGCACATTACTGTCGATTGAAATAATTAAAGATCGTCGTGTCAAGAGCGAATGTTAGTAATTACTTAGATGAGAAGGCTGTAACAGTTACTAAGATGATTAAGAGATGAAAGTTCACTTAATCACCTACTTTAAAACACACTACTCTTGTCAAAAGGTAACATACTGAGATGCACATTTGTTCTTAACAGTGCTTAAGGTTAACAAACTTTTTAGTCAAGTCTTTACGCTGGTGGATAGAACACCCTGGTAAACAGTAAAAATTACTGACTGGGTGACTGAATTATTGACTTTTGGCCAGACTTAAAAGGTACACGAGGTGATGGAGTTGTTTTACTCAGGATTACGATGTTCTGCCACATTTTGTAGATGATTTCGACAAGTCGCCTTACAAATATGATGTTGTGTTTTTCCAATTTGTAATGCAATGGATAGCTGTAATGGGTAACATAAAACCACATTTTAGGGCGTAAGTGTGAAAGGTAAAGCTGCCGCCTTAATAACACTTCAGGACTGCCCATCATGGAAGGACAAGTTTTAGCAAACTATGCTAAAAACCTTTAAGTCTTCCGAAGTATTTTCATAAGGATTATGAATAATCCCCCCTATTTCTAGTTTTTCGCTTCAAAACAACTATTTTTAAGCAATTTTAATTATTTTATACTTACAAACGACTAGATTTTTACGGCAAAAAAGCACAATTTTCCCTAACAAAGTGAGGTGCTATCACTCCTCAGTCCGATTTTGCTCACTGCTTTCAGTCGTATGGACGGTAGTCAGTAGACAAAGACACTGTTGCACCTGGCGCACAAAACCCGGAAAATTTGCATCAAGGAGACATAGCTTGACCAGCTCCACCAGTTGCTCTGTTGGCCAGTTGGTATGCCATGCCGCCTCTACAGCCGCCGCCTCTTCACCATCGCAACTCCGCTCACCCCCCGTCATGGTGGACAACCACCGCGCTACTTGCTCCTCTTCTTCTGCTGCTACTGCTGCAGCTGCATTAGCTTCGGCATTGCTCGGTGAGGAAGAGCGCTGCTTGACAGAAACATACCTGGCAAGCTCGTGATAGCAGGAGCGAGCATCGTCGGACGTCGGGAAAGTTAGGCGCAGACGGCGAACATTTTTGCGTCCGCGTATGTAGAGCATTAATTCATCTTCTAAAATACATGATTTTGAATGACGCAAGTTTGACTTACGTATTCTGCGACCCTATTTGAGCTATAAACAGTCTTGGCAAGGTACGATCTCACCATTTTCTGGCCCAAGTTTACAATTTATTTATGGTGAGGAAATTAACGTTAGAAACATTTTATTGTTTTGTAAAAATGGCCATCAAGAACAGGGTTAGAACTTAAACATTTGTTCTCGAGCACGAAAGCCAAGTGTTTGATACAAAAATCCAGAAGTTTTAGCGTCAAAGAAACGACTACGAAGCTAGTCCACTAAAGAACAATAACTAAAAGGCAAAAAAAACCAACTTTCCCAAATTCTTAGAGCAACTTACCAATAATGACCATTTTAATCCACTTCTTAGCCAAAATAAGGAAGTAGGACTCGACAATCTCACTGCCTTGAAGAATGACGAGGTGAGCGTAATCGGAGAGACGAAGAGCGAGCGGAGCAGCATTGTGGTTGCGCCTGGTTAACCAGATACCGTCTGGTGCAAGATCCGCTGCAGACACCTCCGCAGACGTTCTGCACTCTGTGCTTTTACCTGCAGTGGCTGCCTCCGTTTCACGGAAGCAACGGTACGTTTCAAGACGCCATTCCTTTGGCTCACTGCCCATGCTAACCTGCAATCGCTGCTGTATAATTGCATTACTAGGGCACTAACCACATCAGAAGATGACGTACCATTATTAAAAAAGACGTTTTAAAAATAATTTGGTTAACAAATATTACAAAGTGAAACCGGACAGGTTTTTTATCCATAGAGAATAGACTAGTTTGCCCTATTAAGTGGCGCTAAAATTCCAGCCTTCGATGATAAATACAGACGACAAGCATATTAAGCACCCTAATTTGTTTATAACCGCCCCACGAACTAAGTGAGAAGATGTCCATATAAACTCGCAGAACTGTGGAATTGAGGGTTGGTAAATCAAGTAAAAAGTTCGTCAATTTTTAAAGGGGTCATGCAAGGGTCTCTTAGCCAAAGTGTTAAAATAAATCAAAATAGCTAACCCTGTTATCCAAATCAAACATGTTTTACAACAAATCGGGGAAATTCACGTGCACCTCGATAAATAATACCGAAACCAATTATGGTGTAAACCTGACCTAGAGACAATAAATGAGATGAAAAAAACAAAATGGTTTCTGACAGAAAACACATTAGCTTTGCATTAATTGCCGGTGCCTTTATTTTAAACAGCTATTGAAAATTGCTTGAATAGTTAAGGAGCACAATGTTTGCTACCTGAAGTTGAATTGCGTGGATGAAGATCTGACAAAAATTCTTCCAGCTCATGCCAAATGTTAACCGAAGTATGGCTAATTCCACTGAGGTACATGAAATTAAGTTGAAACGTTTGCTGTTATCATACTGTAAGTAATTACTTGTCAAACTATATCAACTAAACGCTTGTAACTTTCCTACAAACTCCTTCTTATGCAACGACCCGAGCCCTCCCTAACATTGTGATAAATCAAGGTGGTACGAAGAAGCGGATATTACGAATGCACAGAAGGGCTGAGGGGTTGTTGGCATTGGCAGAAGGCCATGCGACGGTGGAAGGTCAAGCCACGAAGCCTATAATGCCCTTGTGGCTAAAGGCAAATTTTAGCACAATTAAATATTATACTTCATTTTACGAACTAATAACAAGTCAAGAGGTATAACATTGGCTCCAATAAAGGGTGGTTTTATTGAATTATATGGCATATAAGGGAGTTATATGTGTGTGTATATCACTTTAATTACTCGCCTCACTTTGGTTTTGGTAATGGGTTACTTATGGGCTCGACTATTGCGCCTCCACCACGGAGCCTGGCCTCCGGGCTATGCTGCCTGTCCTTAAGTTCTACTGTATGTCGACAATACATCTTCTGACCGAGTATTATGTTTCCTTTAGTCTCCAAGGTAGTAAATCAGTGTTCTAGGTTAGCACTTGCACATTTGGCTTTTTAAAGGTACTTTGATCTGTCCTCCTGAATTTTTATCAAACAGGTAAATGAACGGTCTTTTGGATCTAAAACACTGCATTTTTAAGTTATAAACCCACAAACTATTTTGCTGCCTTTACTGGTTAACAGTTCATCCACTGGGGTTTTTCTTTAATTTGCTTACTTGTATCCTCAATTATATAAGCCTTCTGATGAGTTGTCTTGCTTTACTGATTTAGGTATTCTGTAGAGTAAATTGGCTAAACTGAAGTTTTACACCTTAAGTTTTCTCTTTGGCCAAACAAAATATAGCATTGTTCTAGAGGGTTATGCAGCGCCTCGAGTCTTGCCTGGAGACAGAAGAAGTAAAAATGCTGGGATAGAAAATGTATCATCGGTAGGTGTCTACTGGTATGCCCCAGTGGCCACACCGTCCCGAGGAAGCACAACTTCAGTGCCTTCAGTGCCCGCGTAATCGAAACTGGCACCGTCTTTGGTCAGTCTTCCGCGTCGACCTACATAGTGTAGTCGCTGTTGTAAGAAAAATTCAACTGTGTCGGTCATCAAAGTAGCCTTACAGGTAGGAGGAAACATGACCGCAACGCTATCAACTCCTCCTGGCAATCCCATTGGATCTTAAGTTCCACCCCGTATAGGAAACGTATTGGAGAAAGGGGGTTTGTGCTGGCCACCATGCATATCCATCGCTGATTGCAAGAACATTGGTCTAACAGCAGACGGGGCTTTAAACAGTTTCGTGGAAATAAGGTTTGCAATTAATTCCTCCTCGCCACCTGACACACACTTATTTCACACTTATTTCTCTACCTGGGTTCTATCAATGCCGTGGAGAGGTGGAGGAGGTACCCCGTCTTTAATGCACTGGCGTCTTCTTTACAGGCGCCGCAGACAATTTCGTAACGAACCCTTCCAGATTATTCCATGCTAGTGCAGATTCACAAAATCCTTTAGCTTATAATCTTTACTAATCGGCTTTAATAGAAACATTTATCAAAGTCAGTCAGTGTATTTTCATATCAGGTTCTTGGCCGAAATTGAAGAGAAAAACCATTTTCTGTGTTGGGTTATGCCAGAATAGCTCTATGCAAAACAAAGCTTGAATTTTTACTGTCGCTTGGACCACAGCATTTCGCCATTTGACATTGCATCTTTGTTTGTGTTTGTTTGTTGCCATGGCGACACGGTCATATTGTTACTAGCATTGTAAAAAGTGCTTTTGGGGATAAAGGCAACCTCCCGAGATCTTTCATAGGGCAGTGAATTTCTTTTCAGGTTAGGGAAATAGAGAAGGCATGCCAGTAACTGCTCCAAGCCTTGTACAGAAGGGACGTCCATCTTAAAGTTAGCGGTACAAATCTACGAAGGGAAGCAATAATTCGTTCACTTCTTAGTGATGTTTATTCCCAGGGCCTAATAAACGCTTTTGAGGCCTTGATGAATTAGCTTTGATGACATTTGACCCTTAAAAGGCAGTAGACGGGAAGACAGGAAGGGGATGAGATACTAGATCCTTACCTTTGAGTTCATACACTGTTCTCTTCAAATAAAGTATCAGCTTGGGATACCTTACTTTGTCTTACCAACCATGTTCTAATTCAAACTTCTCAAAATTCTGGGAATTCTTGACTACTGGTAAATTATTCACTGCCCTCACCGATTCCTCTTGTGCAGGTTATGCATTAGCCATGAGCCCAAAGATGGGCGTTTCCCCCGCAGTAAGTATTCAAAAAAGCAACTGTTGAAGCCTTAGGCATCATTTAAAGCAACTGATCTGAGCATTCCTCCACTGGAGGTCTCCCGTGCAAGTTATGGGCAGAAACCTCCTTCCTCACCACAATCTCTGCCGTGCTAACCTGCACCACCACGGATGCCTGCCATCTTGACTGGCAGAACTTCCACCGTCCACGACATGCCCTCCTACACTCGTAAATCCACCTTTGCTTGATTCTCTTAACACTGACTTGAATAACCATCTGGTTTATAGATTTGGGAGAGCCACATTTAAAGCAAGAAAACCATTTTTAATTTACTTTAACGGAATTTCTTTTTCAACAGCCAGCCCCAGGATCCACCGACTTTGAATCTAGAAGCCTGGTCGATGAAAGCATCCGGATCTAAGGTGTACGAAGGCACTCAAATGCAAGTTTTGCTACTTACAGATCTTATTCTAGGTTTTAAGTTCAATGAGTATACCATTATAAAGGTGCCAAATTTCAGAAAAATGCATACGAAATAAACAGTTTAGCTAAAAAATACGCTAGCTATGTAGAGTTCCAACATACGTCCAGTGCGTAATGGACGGATTGAAACCGCTTGACGTGATTATTCGGTTGTAAGGCCGTCTATTCTTCACAACTTTAAGAGTAGCAACAAATGAAGAACGAGAATTTCTAAGTTAAACTTATATAACCACTGCTACGAACGAGAAAGATCGCACAGCAAACCACTAGGAACAGGATGAAAGACGATTTTATAAAATATTATGAAGGCGAGTGTGAATCTTTGTGTGAGCGGGAAAGAACGGCCATTTGACTTCCAATCAGGATCAATATAGACTCTTTTGAAATAGATTTAGCATTCTCTATCTAAGAGCTGTCAAAGTTTCATAAGGCAGTTGATTCAATGATACCAGTTTATAATGCAAGAAATTTCAAAATATGCAAGGCGACATGACTCTCGGTTTAGTAGAAGAAATGGAATGAAGTAGAGTAAAATTTTGTTGAGTCAGAGGCTATCAGCGCTCTTTCAAGATACAGATGCCGTCTGCTTGTTCTTAATTGGGAGATAGAGCTTGAACTCCGCTGGCAACTCGTCTTCTGAGTAGAGACGATCACAAAAGTACACTCTTCGAATTCTGCAGTTGGCGTGAATCTAAATATGAAAAAGTTGTGTAAAGCATAAAATTTCTATGAACCATTTGATTAAAAACGCTTTAGAGGATAAGTTCTATAAAGGCGCAACGAATCTCGAGAACCTTACATTCGTAAATGAAATCATGTACTATAATAGCGGCCAAATTAGTCTTTGTAGACCTGAGATACGTAGCTGTAAAGGTATACCTGAACTCGCAGTGTTTCAAGATAATTTGTCCCGTATGCACGACGAGTAAAGTCGGACAGATTAAACTGAATCTGGTTCCAGCCTTCGTCCAATCGCATGGGCATAGTGCAGATAAAAGGCTTCACGCGTGTCGTGCTCTGGTAATTACTAGCTCTGAAGCGACGCCGTATATTTTTGTCATCAATGATCTGCAAAACACTGTTAAAACGCCAAAATATCATGCCTGAACTTCGAAAGTGAAGTATTTTTTCAGGTTCTTAACTATCATCACCAGAAACGGGAGTTTGATCCCTAGAGTTTTGTTTGGACCGGCAGGACACGATATATATGTAGTACTAGAAATGAAAAAAAAAGACATAAGCCTTACCTGACGTTTGTGCCCATGACCTCTAAAACAAGGGACTGTATATCATTATCGGTAATTCTTTTGATATGCCCGTTTTGCACCTAAGTGTCTATATTAACCACATTACTTTGGTACGTTTTTGTCCCATATCTGAAGCGGTTTGCTTCCAATGCTATAGAGGATTGAGAGAAAACCACTTTGAAAGGAGTTTTTAAACATGTCAGAGGTTTGCTAAACACAACTATGGATAGAAATGTTGCCACTTTTCAACAGCTCGAGATACTTGTAAATATGTAATCGATGGAACTAAACAAACTTCAAGGTAATTTGGGTTAGTTACAGTTTTCAATGATCTGTCCATAACACAATGAAATACGTATTTAGTAGGTGCTTTAATATCATTTAAAGCAATTTTTGCTCATTAATACGATTGCTAAAGTTGTGGCTTGTGCAATTTCTATGTAATTATACTTTTTTTGTATGAAGGCGCTTATTTGTTGATAAAAATTGTCGCATTTTCCCCAATTTTGTCAATATTTAAAATGGTTAACAAGAGTAGTACCAATTTGTTTCTCAAAATGCTCCGTATGCATGCGCACTTTTAAACAAAAGTGGTCGTTCAGACCTCTTTTTGGCCATGAGCATCTGTAGCGTCCCGAGACTCCCTGAAGACGAAAGAAGACACAATACTCGGGCAGAATATATATATTCAGCACGGAGAAGGTGTCTGGGCTATTGGCACGGTTCAAAAGGCCAGCCCACCCAGCGAGGTACAAGGGGCTAATTCAAAGTACAAAAGTGGCGCCTCAACAGAACCGAGGGATAAACCACTATTGTATTACACATCACTAAGAGAATAAAATAGCGCCTATTTCGCTTAATAATTTTGACGCTTTCAGCATGCCTGTTTCGTCAAGTAGTCTGCACTGGTGTATAATAAGAAGCCTCAAAAATTGTTCTTTTTCTACCCCTTCTACTTAACCGATTGCTTTCGTGCTATCACAGTTGACTTGTCCATCACTTTTGAACTTACTCTTCGGGGTGAGGTGCCCGTTTTATTAGTGGCGATTTATGTAATTCTAAAAAAACTCACGCGACTTTTTCATAACTTACTGTCACAACCTCATTATTAAATTTTCCGTTTAAGGCTTAAGCTTTTAAATTCATCCATTGATTAATGTTGTTACGAGATCCACTGTCTAACCGGCCTCTCCTCTAGCCTAAGTTGTATATCACTAACAGTTTCAATTAATTTAGTTATTATTTTCACGAAAATCATGTCACTCTAATATTGCGCCATTTTTTTGTTGGAAATTACCCTTTTCACTTTGAGAAAAGCATGCCAACTATTTGTCTCCGCACGAAAAAGACGTAGTAGACAATAAAACACAGTTGGCTTAATCAAACAAATTAATATGTAACCCACACAATAGTTTACTCAACTTCAAAGAGAATTTCAGGACCCCTTTTATGCGGATACCCAACCATATTCCACTCTGCGGGGGTCATCGACTGCAGAGTGTCGAGGTCAGCCTCTCTGACGCACACGAATTTTTCCAAGCGGTTCAATTCTGTGGACGCTTTAGTCGGTCTAAAAGCACTTGTTGGCAGTGTTAAGGCCATCTGCAATGCGCAGATAACAAAAGTACAAATGAGAAGAAGAGGCCTGTTGTAGATCATCTCCAAGTATTGGAGTCTGAAAAGGAGGCAAAATGGACAAGAGTAATGTCGCTTTATCACATCGATATAAGTTCAAACCTTTATATGCAAAAGGGCAGGAAAAAGTGCTTTGCTAATTCGAGATCAAATCAGTTTTGTCTCTGCTTCGCTAAATGTTCCAAAAAATAGTGGGAAAAATATTACGAGATTGTAAGTAGAGAAGTTATGAGGGAAATAGTTAAGCCAGACCCACTCGATGGTGATCTGGTCCAGTTAGTGTGACTAGGCTCCGTTTTATACTTGGCTGAATGGCTCTTATACAAACATACCTTCGAGAAGCCTATCTTATCTCTCAGTAGGTAATGGAAAGAAACTCAGCACGATGTCAAAGCCAGCTGTGGTCTTTCTCAGTGGAATCAAAAAGTGATCATTTGAGTGGGCGACTGCGGATAAAAAGGGTGGTGGAAATAAATACTACTTGTGGTGGCTATCTTGCGTAATTTTATGCTTTTAGTAGGCTTTTTAGATTTGGGGAAGGATCAAAGCAATGTGTTGAGAATGAATGCGCATACGGTAAAGCAGGAGATCATTTTATTTAGTAAGTTTTAGCAAGAAAATTTAAAAAAGTGCAAATAACGAGGTTCATGGCTTGCAAAACCAACTTAACCTTTATAATTATCCAATCTGGAGACGCTTGCATTTAATATGTGTATTTCTAATCTGAAAGTACCACTTTTTTATTTTTCGCCCATGAGTGCATGCAGTGTCTACCGGACCTGGTTTGATCACCGGTGTAAGTGCTTATCTGCAGGCTACTTGCGCTATATTTAGATATTGGACTTACGTTTTAACTCATTGTGACTAAATAAATTTTTATTGCTATTATTTTTAACATTTTGCCGCTGAAGTGCCTCCTAGCTGCGCACACACCCCTCCTTATCATTTGGACAGAACTACGAAGGGTTTGTAAACAGAGGCAACACTTCAGCTGAATAGGCATAAAAACAACAAGGCAAACACATCAACTCCGTTAATAAAGCTAATCCACGAATAGGCTGAGGCTACCCAAAAAGCTTTTAATAGAATAAATGCATTAGGCAAAATTTGACCACGAATATTGTCTTCTTCTCGGAAGTTACGGTATGACACAAATCCAGAAGAATACAGACAGTCTAATTTGAAATATTATCTCCTCCTTTGAAGAACTATGCACTTGAAGTCAATCAATGAACCTTGAAAAGCACAATTTATCACCTACATAACGTAAGCTCTTAATAGCTAAAGTTAAATCAGCCTTCAAAATGCAGTGAACATGCTTTACAGTACGTTGTACAAGGTGGTGGCAATATTTGCAGGTGTTATTTTAAAAATTTGTCACTCACATGATTCGCCTCATGACAGTGCCCAAGGTCAAAAAGTGTGCTTAAACTTAATACTCTAAAGACGTATTTAAATGTATACAATGTGCTTAATCTATACCTCTTTGTCTGCACGATTCTGACCGTAGAGCGACTGTTCAGTCCCCGAATAAGTGGTATCGCTGGTGCTAGCAATATTTAAAATTTTTGCATTGACTTCATATACTTTCATTTTTGCCCTACCAAAATCACTGGAAAGTATCTATTTTATCAAGGTCACATTTGTTCTCTCGTGTCAATGTTTGACTGCCCTTCGCGTTTGAAATCAAGTCGTATGTGGAATGGGAATATGTGAGGGGGTTGTGTCTTCCTACCTTACAAGTTTTACAGAATACCTGTCTTAGTAAATTTATCTAGTTCTTCTTAACTGAATCCATAGTTGGCATGCATAATCGCAATCACGGATGGTGTCAAATACATAGCTTCTTTAATTATGGAGTAGTTCTCGTTATGTAACTCTCATTGCCTTATGATTCCTTTTTTCTTTTAGCAAAATTGCTCAGAACTATTCGACCACACTTTAACAATAGGCGGAGTGAAAGCATCCGACGGAGTTCTTGCGGCAACTTTGTTCCTACTCCGCGCATGCGCTTTCGATCACCTTTTCGTGGATCGCTCACGGTTGAAAACTTGGATACTTTTCTTGACACCAGAACACTTCATGTCGATCTTGATGACTACATGGCACAGGACCGTATCTCTTCAAAATGTCCAATTCAAAAGGTTCACGCTAGTCAGCTTGCTGCTAACAACCCCATTGAAGATCGGTGGAACTGTGGCTTTATTCAAGTGGGCACATTCCTGGGTTTTTTGGTCCTCGGAGCCTTGATCTTTCCTATCATATTATTTAACACTTTAGACGAATGAGGAAATATCAAAATTCGTTTTCTCTGTGGTCGACGGTCACTCAGGCTCCTCGTGTAGCCATGCACTGGCTTGGATTGTGCTAGAGTACATCGCTGCAACTCTTGTAGGACCCGAAGATCTCGATGCTGCTGTAACTCGTCTTGCGAGTCTACCTTCCGACTGTGAACTGCCTCCAAGGATTGTAGAGCAGCCCACCCTCTACAACAATAAAGGTAAAAATGTGACGAAGCGCTTCCTCACCAATCGACTGCCTCCTCCCGATATCAGAAAATTCCTCATCGAAAGATTGGTCATTTTCATGCAGGAGCTGAAGCTTTCGCCGCTGTCTGAGAAGCATTGCTGTGAGTTTGGGTCATTGCATCATTTTCTTAGTCTTGTTGGATGTCTGCTCTCCGCATGGGCTTAAGGTTGTACCGACGTTTGCTTTGATGGGGTCATGTGCTCCATGGAACCATTATATCTTCTGTGGGAAACGTGTTTTGTTTTTCATCCCTGATTCCATTTTTCGCGCCGTTACCCTGTGTGGTACAGGCAATGTCTGTGCATTGTTTTCTCCCCACCAAAGCATGAGTGGGAAGCTCCACGCGCCTCGCACCTTTGCCCTACCTAAGCGGGTGTTTCTCTCCCGCATGTGTGTGTGTGTGTGCTGAAATTGTGCTTCCATTATTAAAAGTAATGATTTCACGTAAACAGAGGTTGGGGTTTGATCCATTTTTACATAGTTTACCAAATCCAGACCCGCATGTGATGACTGAAGGGTTTACTGCCTCCAGATTTACTACCTTAATTACACAACGAGTCAAGCCATGTGATAATTTAGTTTTACCGGTTTTTTTGGTTAATAAGAGCGTGTAGGGTTTGGCGTTCCATGAAGATGAATTTGTTTAGCACTTTTGGAATTTTTGTTTAGTTCACTTTCCCCCAATCATTTTGTGCTTCTTCTATTGCGTTATTTTCAAGAATTGGTGTGATAAGTGCCAATTAAGCCCAGCTAACTTTTGTGAATGACAAATTAGCGGAAAAATTTCAAGACTGTGGTGACACGCCCTTTCTATGTGAAAACCTCAATCAGCTAAGATGACTAGGGTATGGCAACTTTTGCTGTTGCTAGGCAACTTGGAAAGTACCTTGACATTTTCTTTCCCGAAGTGATGCTGTCGTCTTCATGTTCGCCCTCCGGTTCATGCGAGAGTTGAGCAGTCAAGAGGCGAAAGGTAGTCGCGTGACCTAGAATCGAAACTCAGTGATTTTACTTCATTTTCTTTATATTTTTAACGCAAACCGTTTGATTATGCGTCCTCTATCTTCTTCCCGATTCTAGCTGTATTTAATCCAACAATGGTTTCTGTTTTTGGATTTTAACCACTTTCCTCGTGAATTGGGGTTCAATCTTTCCGCTCCAAACCTGTCTCGCCTTCCTTAAACTTGAGTCACTGAATTTAGAAGGTAGTTTCTGTACTTTTTGTCCATCAGTTTGTATCTCTGAGCTGTGACACTCACTCACACATCCTGTATTTACCAGAAATACTTCATTATACCGTTTCTTGACAACTCTAAGGAGGTGAATACGTGATTTGTACTTTCATTCTTTGCTGATTGCTTGTTTCTCATTCATGGTCTAAAGCTATGCCTTCCCCAACTGTTTGTCTCCGTAAAAATGGCAGTTTTAGGTTGGTTTAGGAGCGAAGTACACTTTTGACCTTTGGAGGAATTCATGCGTGAAACGACAGTAGCATTTGTTCTTTCACCCTCAGCCTACTGAAGCTGCTTAAACTACTCCTGTGTCTACTACCTTTCATAAATGGGACTTGGCTGCTTTTTTGTGTGGGATGACATGCCGCCTTTTCCTGTCACACATACGTGACGGTCCGACTTTCTTATCCGAACCTAATCTCGTAAACGTATGACCAAAGTTCTCGTCAGTTTCTAGTAGCTAGTTCCTTCATTGTCCCTCGTTTTTGCTCGTTCTCGCTGTCTCCATCTCTTTATTCCCAAATACTGCCGCACCACTACCGACGCAGTTCCGCAGTCGCAGTGGTGGCGACACCTCCGCCTTGTGAATGAACCATCCTCCAACACGGTAGCGAGCAAATGACAAATGACATTTGCATAAGCCTCATGCTTCGCCTCCCTCCTCTCCGTTCTCTCGGTGCGTGCGTGTACGTAGACACACCCCGTGCATTTGCATACCTTTGTTCACGTGTGTACTTTTTTGGCGTCTAAAATTACTTTAAATCACTGCTTCTTCTTCTTTCTCTTCCTGATAAAGGAAATAAAGCTAGCTACTTACCAAGGCGTTTGGTACTTCCGTGCACTGGAACAAGTTGGTCAGTCTTGCAGCGTCCTCTTTTCCTCTCAAGCTTATCAGTCTAGGCTGTTGGCTTTTGAGTCGCTGAAATTCCTCCGATTGCACACCGAAATGCGAAGCACCATGAATGCGTGACGGAATCGCCCCCGCAGTACCGTTGGAAGTGTCACGAGAGGGCCTGTTATCCATAGTTTACAACAGATATGTTTTATTTAAAGCTATCCCACTCTAAGGCTATAAAGTGCAAGCCCCCTCATACCAAGAGCAACCAGCTTGTTTGCAGCACGCTATTTTGTGCAACTTGATGAAAAGCTTGTCACATATATGTGACGCAATAGGAGGATTCACGAAGCGTACTTCCCCTCATCCTAGAACCATGTCATCAGGTACATTTGCACGTAAGCGAAGCAATTCTTCTAGATATGAGTATCACTAATTAATCTGAGGCCTGAAACTAAACACCTTCCATCCAGCAGCAGGAGCAGGTGTTGAAAGCACTTCTCCTCGCGTTTTATGGTGTTTTGTCAGGTAAGCGGTGTCTTTACTCGTTAAGTTGGTGTACCCTTGACTCATCCACAAGTGAGTCACAATCGCATGCAAATGCGGCTTGTGAGAATCGCTGCATTAAGCAGATTTGAGAATTCTCTGGTAGTTGTTCTTGAACTGATGAATTGCACTGGTCACAGCGCTCCTTTCACTAGGCTAACCGTTGCCAACGCATAGAAGAGACACTGGTGATGGGCAGATAAGGGGGATACGCCGAACGACATAAGTGGTAGTAGAGCATCAAGGTGTCACTAACTTCCTTCCTGTGTTCTCTACCTCTTAGAGCTAGTCAAATGACGATGCTGGTGCCATAAATACCTTTGTAAGTCTCTCTCCTGCTCCTCTTCCAACTTGTTTTCTTTCAGGTCTCTAAAGGCAAATAAAGCGCCGAATCGTAAAGCGAATGCCAATAGTTGTACACCCATTTTATGCTGCCATGCACTTTCAAGGTGTATCCGCCGCTTTGGCCCATAACTTCTACTTTGTTTGTTTCCTGTTGCTGCCCTATTGGCAGAAGGCATGTAGTGATACTGTTACAGATGAGTAAATTTTGCCGCTCTAATGAATTTTTCTACATATTCTAAAAAATAAACTTTGCAATGGGTAAAGTACATCTCTGGTCCCTCCTTTCTCCACCTTCATGTGGAGGAAAAACTCCGCTTCATTGTGTCAGCGGCTTTTTTTGTGTGTGAAGTTGCTAAAAGTAGGATCTGATTTATATTCCACCACCCGGGTCAACTTTGTTATTTTTTCTCGCTCCTCTGACGTCCTAAGTCCGGGTGGGTTTTTTCTACCACGTGGGACTTTGCGCCACGATGTTGGTTTCTTTTAAACCTACGAAGTTTTTAGTAGAATGTATGCGTTTTGTAGAGATTAAAAATAACTACTTATTTTGCTGTCTTAACTGATAGTTGACTTTATTCCCTTTGACCCATGGAAAAAGTTTAAACCACTTAAACTGTGCGGCCACACTCCTTCACCGTGTAACTTTTGATACTTATTTTATTTAAGTAGACATGCTACTCTGCGATGACTGTCAATTGGGTAAGCCCAATTATCAATCGCCTAGGAAATGCTTGCGTGCTTAAGCGCCACTTTTTATTTTTGCCTTTACTATAATCAAGAGAATAAATGCCTAAACGCATCAGAATGCATTTGTCATCCGTTTTGATATGCCTACCAGGGCTAATGTATGAGTTGTCCGAGTCGCACTCAATGTCAACTGTTTTTGATATCTTGGACAAGTCTATTAATAAGCCTTCTAATAACGACTCAAGCATTCCAGTCGGGACAGCTTTGAGACAAAATTTTCGAGGTATCGTAGCCCAGCTAATTTGTGGCTGTATGAACCTACTGAAATTGTAGAAGTGGTCATTTGGAACTAGATCTTGCTTCGTTCAATTCACATCTTGACAACCGTTTTGTAAGACCTGGCAGAAAAACGGCAGGAGGTACAATGACTACCACTGCTCTCCTTCTATTACTCTTCGCTGTATTCAAAACTTACTGGATAAAATCCATTCTACTAGTCGCTCTTCGGTCAGTCGCCCCAGTTGTACCTTCTGCTGCAAAACCGGAGTTCTTTCCCAATGTTAAACGCTTGAGAATAACGCAGCTTTGGCATTCCTTTAATTAATAACTAAGGCGGTGCATATTGCCACTGCCTACACTAAATTCGATTCTTTTGCGTAAAGACGCCCTCCCTTTCGAATTGTGGAGGTATCTTGTGTTCGCAAGAACTCTGGCAAGGTACTTGGAAATAAGCTTAATTCTATCAGGCCTGACGCGTACCCCGTGTTCATTTAATTCTTCGCTCATGTTGCTTTTCCGACTCACCCGCCAAAATTACTTACCTTTTTCGTCGCAGGGGAGGAAGCATTGATGCGTCTGGACAGTGAGTTGTGCTCCCTCGGTCTGGGCAGTGTTTCAGCGCTGTCAGAGGCGACAGAAAATCCCTTCACCTCGACAACAACGACGGCAGCTCTTTCGGCAGACATGCTTCGCGTAGCACAAAGCGGCGCGGTAGGGGTTTTCGGTCTTCTTGACTGGAACGCCAAAGGCAGCGATGGCGGTGGCGTCGAATTGCAAATTGCTAACGTTGGTGATTGCTCTGCCGTTCTCTTCTCCACCTTTGATGATTCTGGTACGTCATACTTGCACTTCCAACCTTTTGCTCCACTCCTTCTGTTTAGAAATAAGTGACTTAGGATTTATTTTCTGCTGCAGGTGAACTGAAACCAAGGCGCCTAACCACACCGCACAATGGCAGCACAAATATCGATGAACTGAGACGCCTGATGCTCGAACACCCGGATGATAAGGCGGAGGATTTGATACGCAATGGTGGGCGCCTGTTGGGCGAACTGGCGCCCACTCGAGCCTTCGGTGATGTGCGCTACAAGTGGACTAACGAACGTTTGAGGCAAATGGCCGATTACCTCGGTGCTACTGCCGATTCGACCGAGATGACTGCTGGCTCGTGGGCTGGGCTGGAGGCGTTGCCCACACCTTACACCTCTCCACCTTACCTCACGGCTAAACCAGAAGTCACGACCTGTATGGTAAGCGGTCTTTTCGGTGAATCCATTGTGATGCTTAGGTTATTCCTGAGGGCATACAAATTCAGAAGCTTGTTTACTAGCCATTTGGGAAGGAGTTGGGAGTCCGGTAGCCTCGATGATGTAGTTCATGCGTTTAGTTGGGTGAATGACGTTAATCCTTTTTTCCCTTGTCTAGTTGAACCCTTCCGATCGATACCTTGTTCTGGCAACAGATGGACTATGGGACACCCTAAGTCCAGAGAGGGCAGCGTTAATACTGAGTCGTTTGCACCCCGATCAGTGTCCGGCGACGCGTCTCATGCGGGCCGCGCTCTCTTTGACTCCCACTCTAGGGTTACCAAGCCACCGTGGGATGGCGAAGGAGGACTTCAGACTCGCCTCGCTCCTCCTCGCCCTTCCCCCTGGGGTTGCCCGACTCTATCGAGATGACATTACTTTGGTGGTGGTGGAATTGAACGCTCCTCCTGCGTAAGAGTTCTTTTTCCACTCATCTTCGCTTTAAATGCGGCAGCAGTTGCGGTGAATGTGTACATATGTTCCTTTTCCTCCCTCTGTCTTCGGCCTTCTCAAAGAGAGCCTTATTTTGATACTAATTATTTTGATGTCTTCTTGGGGGGGGATCAGGGATTGGCGATAAGTTGACCTATCCCCGTAAGACAACGTTTGTATCGAGAGGATGAGTTGGCAGTGACGTTTTCCGTGTGGATCTAAGCGCTCTTTTAGAAATATGGGATTTTGGGTCAAGGGAGTTTTGTGGTTCGATTGCCTTGTTTATTTTATAACCACTTTGGTGCTAAATACGACAAGACTATTTTTAGCCTCGGAATAAAATTTGTTGCCTTGAAAATCAGTTTGATACAAAGTAGAGGGCGCTTGAGAGGCCGATTTGGTATTGCATTTCTGCAATTTGTGTCCCCGAGGGCACTCCGTACATTTTCAAGGCCACTGTTCTGGTCATAAAAACAAAAAAGTAGAAATGCCTGAGCCTATAAAGCCCTAATAGGAAGACACTCTTCAGTAGTTAATCAGGGTTTATATCCCACTAAATTGCTAACAGCCACTTAAAAAGGCAACAATCATGTTTAAGAGAGTTGGTTTAAGTAAATTTAATAGGTATCTGTTTTTAAGTAAGCTAAATCGGTAATCAATTGTGTGACCCTTAAGGGGAGGAGACATTGAGTACACAAAGGTCATATAATGAATGGCCACTAAATGAAATAATGAAGCCGCCGGTTTATTAAGGACTTAAAAACTCAGTTGACAATAAAATGCCCTTTTTCTAAATATAAGAAATGGGATGAAATCCAAGAAAGACCAACCATATTTGCGTCTCCCTATGATTAGTCGGTGTAAGCAGAATCCATGATATCCTGGTGGTTAAATCCTCCACAAATGTGGCATCTCGCCTGAGTGTGAGTAGGGGCGGTAGGTCGATGTAACATGAGTCCAGTATCACGAGACTAAGGTATTACTTGAAACTAGGACGAACGAGGGGGTCGAGTAGGCAAATATGTTATTTTGATTTGGTCCATTGTAAGATGGGTAATCCTTTTTCAAAGAAATAAACTAGAAAAAGTGCTTTAGATGTTTGTCGAGTCAACGACTGGGGCCTTAGTCAGACCGGCTTGCTAGCGTTTTGTGGTAAACGCCTAAGTAGAGGTGGTGGCGCCGCAAGCTTCTTCTTTTGAATGGCTCTGTACTTCTCGACAAGAAAATTGCCTATTTACACACTCTCATTTTACTCTGACAAGCAGTTCTAAACAACTGGATGAAGGAGAATCACTTTAGTCTCCCAAAGAGAGGGTACTCTCCACTTTTTCTGCTCTGAAGTAATCGCGCAGAAGTTTACGGATGATAAGGAGTTCAAACAGTGTCAGGCAGACTCAAGTAGGGTAAGATGGAACAACAGGACTTAATTTTTCAGTGTTTGCCAGATCCGATTGCCCTAATATTTATAAACCACATCAGAGAATACCGGTTGGGCCAGAGAAATGTGGATTAGACCTTCCTGACCAACTAACTAACTTCAAAAGCCGTAAACCTTTGCGTCAATTTCGTTGTGCCGTTTGCAAAAGGCGTGACACCAAAAAAGTCACACCACCTGGGAGAGGGTAGTGAATCAGCCGACAATTGAATCCAACGTACAAGCTCCAAAATTGTCACTTTGTTTTCCTCTTCCTCTATCTGCTTAATAGAGACCTGTTGTGCGTTTGAGCACCGCTGTACATTTGCCGTAGCAGATGGCTTTTGTATTTCCCTCCCGTGTTAAATGGACGAACATTGCATCAGTTACTCCAAACAATATACTCATCACCCTTTCTCCACCAGCTCTTAAGGCCTCCCTGTGAGGTCCCCGAGACATACGCCAGGTCATCCACAGAAGTCTAAGCTTCGTGCGTGATGGACTTAAGACCTGATTGTTCACTCGCTGTAGGTCAAACATCAACTGTGTCTGAGACCACCTATCGGAAGTAAGTCTTGCACTGGAAAGACAGCACAAGACCCCATTCCACCACGAAACCCGGGCTTAAGGATATTCTTGCCTTCGTTATGGTGAGAGGGTGCAAATGGTGATAACATCTTCTCTTTTCCATGTCCCTGACATTAAAATTGACATCTGAGAATCACGTGATCAGAATTACAATAGCAGGAACAGTTCGGAAACTGCCTTGAAGCAGAAATGGAAGCGACTTGGGGATAGGATCGATTAGGCTTTGAGTTTGTGATTTTAGAGACAAATTCTCCCATAAAAGTGGACTTCAAAGCTGAATTATGTCCAGCTGGAAAGGAGCAATCGAGAGTCCCGATAGCTACTTCAGTAAGTAAAATTTTTAAGGAAATTGTGCACAGTTTGTTACTTTTTAGTGCAATAATAGGGCACCAACCCATTCCGTTCTCTCAAAATCGACTTATATAAGTAGCAATAGAATCCATCTTTCTGAATACCAGGTGAAGTAGCTCCAACATCTTGATGTTTTATGCTTATCTGAATGCAGAGGGCATTCCATTAAAAAAACCTAATCAGCAGATGATTAAAAACTAGGCATAAGGAAATAAATTTCAGTAATTTGAAAAATGTGGGAGGTACAGGAGCCTGGATGATTGTTAGCACGGACCTCCAGTTAGAACAGTCTGGTGCGTCTAGCTCAAAATGCGGTGACGCGCCTGGGCGATAATTCATAAACCAAATTTTAAAAGTCTCTAGCAAATTATGGCCCTAACATTTATTTTAATCACTTTAATCTACTTCCTTCCAATGTTTTCAGTAGAAGTGTCGGTGGGGCTAACACCATGCTCCTGCCTCATGCCGAACTGATTATTTCACATATTTCTTTCAAAAGTTGGCGGTCTCATGTAACCTTAATTAAATCAGGTGAATATAAAATGGAGAATATAATTGTAGCAAGTGTTTTAGGCCTTACAAACTGTCACAGACGTAAATGCCATTCTAGGACTTAGAGTGACAGCAGTAAATCTTTGCCGACGTCAAAACATTGAAGTCACAGAAAGCCAACAAATTCCAACATACCCACTTTACTGTGATGAAATTTGTTTAAGTCTTGGCTTGTGCAGCTTGTTTAGACTTATCTTAATGCGATGCAAGACATGAAATCAGGGCAGAATACGTACTGTTAATGTTTAGAAAGGCTGGGTGGCTACTGACAAGGCCTAGAGGCCACTCTACGCAGAGGAGGTACAGCCAAGGAGCAGAGGAGTGCCCGCGAAACTAAAACGAAGAGTTAAATTGACGGTCTACGTACTTCATAGCCCTCCGCCCCTTTTGAGCAGCATCCCTGACTCTTCCCTTGGTCACCTCCCACTTCAGCCACCACAACGTAGTCGGTGCCGCAAGAAAGGAAGCACCCATCAGCCAACTAAACCAACCATCGAATGTGCGTGCAACTGAGAAGATTGTTGACCGCAGTGTTACTTATCCCTCAACTGCAGATCCAGTGGAATCGAAGGAGGTGCATACAAGTCATCTCGTGGAGAAATGTCCTCGCGTGCATTTTTCCTTACCACTTTGTCGAAACTTCAGTACTGCCCAGTTATGGACCCACATCGATCCTATCGAGCTAGAAGAGAGGTGGAGAAGGTATCTCATATTCACTTAATTGACGTTTTCACTTAGGTGCCACGAAGAGCTCCACAGAGAGATTTTGCGAATGGTTATGGCTGGCCTTGCTTCAGTGGTTAATATCACTCCTGCAGACCGTTGGAATGGGGTAATTTCCAGAGGTATGGATTCTACTTCCACCACGTTAAGGTTGAGCCTTTAGAAATGGAAGTCAGGGCGGTTGTCCTTTAGGATCGGGTTAGATTATCGCGGTCACCAATGCAGCGTAACGAGTGTCTTCTGAAGACCGAAGAAGCCGCAGTATTAAGGTGGAATATGTGTTGGCGGTGTACAAAAGACTGGGGCGCTACCGGCATGACCTGAAGCCCATTCTGTCTAGTGGAACCATAGAGGTGGAGTCTTAGGTGTCCGCGTAACCAAAACAAAGCGACATACAACCGATCATGGTATTGCAACACTTTTTAGTTATCAGGTGGGTGGACTGGAAACCTTCGTGACCGACATGCTCCCAACAATCTCCACAAAGCGAGGGGAAGGGGACGGCAAATTCTGATTTTTCCATAAAACTTGGATGGTCTGTAAGGTCGCGCATTATCACAACAAGTAAATACCTTTCCGCAGCCAATATTCTCCAGCCGAGAGTCTGAAGCCGGGGAGCGAATTCGCCAACTGCAACTTGACGGGATCACCTTCAGGTAACAGTTCCATTCAAACATAATAAACAATTCCTCTTTTTCCCAGGTCTCTACAACTGAAGTAACAACTTGAAAAGAGAAATTAAATCCAAGCACAAGTTCAAGGTAATAAATCATTCTTTCCAAAACAGTTCATCCTGGTTGTCGGTCTTTTGTCTCAGAGGCGACAAAATTCGAACAATGGTACATCAATCACTCCGTGTCCTAATAATCACGGACCTGCCAATTAGTCCACTACATAAAAACTATTTTTTTTAAAGTAAATAGATTTTTGGAAAATTTAATAATTGCTTTGTTACTTAGAAAGATTTGTGCAAGTTCTGTAACCTGCGATACGTGCTTGTGCTGCCTCCACGTAGGGCCATTAACAACGTCGGCATCGCATCGAGTCTTTCCACATCGAATATTACACCACAAAATAAAATTACCTCTCATTACCAACAAGATCCGGGCGCTTTGGTTCCATGGCCTTCGAGCAACAAAGAAGAACGCTACTAGACACCCCTTATGCCTGCCAAATATCCGACGTCCATGGCCTTGTCGGACCCCGCCCAATGTCTTCCTTTGACTGCCTAAGTAATCCAAAATGCTGTATTTTTCCACCAGTTGGTTCTAATACTACCGTAGTTCAGATGTACCTCGAGCGAACGCCATTCTGTACAGCGAAATCAAATGCACCTCTGATATTCCACAAGCCAAATACCCCGCTCCTTTTATCTTCCACCACATCAGCGCGAAGAACTAGCTTTGAAGGGTGATTGGCAAGGGCATCCACTTTCTTGATTGGTTACCTAGGCAGCGACATCCCCATCTTTCTACCGACGGGAAGGCGAGAGGTGACACTGGGAAAGAAGCATAAAGCAGGATTTTGTTCCTTTCTTCTTGGCAAACTATCCAAATTGGCACCCGTGGAAATTTTGAATAAAAACTGACGCAATAACCTTACTTTCATAGTTAAAATAAAACACGAGTGTGACATTACAATCGGCTATTCACCTCTCGGTTTCTGTAACGAACAACTGAGGGCGCCGTCGAGCTACTTGACCTCCGGACCACGCCACTCGGCCAACAGTTATACACCAAGATTTCACTTTCAGCTCCAGTACTTTACCCTCTTTTGTCTTCAGGAAGATTTCAAGGTGGTATAACAAGGCCAAAGACCCAAATATTACAGCTCGGTGGCATTGCAAGTTACATGGATCAGACAAATACATCCAAGTGACTCTTTCATACTCAGTACAGTGTAGAATAGGCCTCTTACATCTTTTTATTTAAATTTTACTTTGATTTTTAGTTCTAGGTCATAACACTAACCTGTTTTGGAGTTTAAATATACTGCAATCATTTTAAAGTAACTGGTGGAGGCGTTCAACAATCCACCGTTACTTCCGCTCCACCCGTGGATAAAAGTTGCCGGGGCGCAGGATACAATCTATTCACTTAAGTTTTGTAGCAAAGCAAATTATAAATCTGGAGGAAAACAAAAGCGTGAGTATTACCAAAAACAAGAATGACAGGCAAAGTGACAAGAATTTCTGGTGTGAATTGCTTGGCATGCTTCAAGAGGTGTTGTAGCATTGGTCCTGCTGAACACAAAAAAGTTGGAGAGGTTTTACAAGTTATAAGCGTGGAGGAATAACCGAAGAAAACTGTTACCAAAAATCAAACAGTCAAAAAACTTTTGCCTCAACTGGTTGAGTGATTTTGTTGAAAGTAAATGTGATTCGGAGTTGATAGGAAGATTGACAATGACAATTTGAGTCTGCCAGTATGCCTGTCATTGTAAGTACATAGTTTAACAAAAAAGCCAAAAATTGTGCACAAATTAGTGATTAATCTCTCTACCTTGTTAAGCTTTTTGTAAGAATAATACTATACACACAGCACTGCCTGTTCTGGTTAAAAGTTTGTGTCATCTGTCACTTGCCTACTGCCAGTCAGTAAAGCTGTATTTGGGATCATCATTAAATAGGCCTCTCTATGTAAGCCCTCTCAGCAAACTTTCTCTGTCTGTAGTCCTCTAAGTCTAGCGAATAGGTTAACATCCATAAAAGCTAGATTGCTGAGTGACAGTAGTCAAAAGTTCTGGAGAATTCAATTATCTTCGACCATGGTGCTTCCCACTTCAACTCCTACCAACCCTACAATTCTTCCATTCTACCTATCTAGTTAATTCAGATCTGAGGTTTAGTGCATTTTTTCTTTCAAAAGAGCCCTATAAAGAATATTTTGAGAGGAGAGCAATCTACTAGTCCGTATAAGCCTTAACCGCAAATGTGTTGAATGTTCCCAGGATCCTGATTGGTTGAAAGTGACCAATCAGATTGACCCTGCCTATCACCTCATCTGATGAACCATATAAGAAGAAATCTGCAGGTGCTTTTACGTTTAACATTTTACAACATGAAAAACGTAAGTACCCACCGCTAACGCCTTTAATTACAATGATGATGTTTGAAGTAAGTTGTACAGTCAGGTGCCTGTCCAAAAGGTATTCCAACCTCTACATCAAATATAGTTTTCTTGGAGTGTATGCGCCTTATTTGTTGCATATTCTAGTGGTGTTGTTGATTAGACAATCGCCTTGTCGACATTTTGTTGATGAAGTGGGGATACTCTCCTAGACATAAGTGTACTTTATAGTACCTCCCATTTTCCCAGCAATTTAAGAGTAGACTGTAACAGTTTCCTCCTTTAAGACAAATTGGTTTTGTGTATGCCCCAGCTTAGGAGTAATTGAGCAGGCGATTATATATTTCAATCCCGTTTTTAAGAAGGGCTCTCTGTTTTCCAGCGTTGATGTCTAAGTAGTCTAGGCATGACATATCAGACCTCCCATCATGCAAATCTAGCCATGTTTTACGATTTGACCCGAAATCATTTACGTAGCCTCTACTTGGCCATTTGAGGGTTTAAAAATTTAATCCGACCACTTTCTGGTAATTAGTCTCGCCATTCCCAAGGGTCAGAACTACATCGAACACATACTCACACGTACTCACATTTGCGATAATTTGTTTCCTCCTCTCCACGCTGAATTTGTTCAGGAGGAAATCGGATTACACTGATTGAATTATGTGTGAAGATTTAGTTGTTACATAAGTGTTTAAAGCCCCGCTGCTCCTTTCCTCACCCACCGAATGCGTTATTCTTACTCCCAAAGGGTCTCCTAAATCACTGCAGACACCGAACATCAACCACATTTGTGTGTTTCCCCCCCAAATTGCAATGTGTCCGCTCCACGACAGGAAGAGGTGACAAACTGATTTTGTTAACATAATAGCCGCCAAGCTTCTAGTCGATTGAACAGGAGACAAAGATTAGTTTGCTTAAGCCTTCGTCAACGTTTTTCTAGGTTTCCCAATATTTCATGCCACAAATTTCACTTCGGCTGGTCTTCTTCTCTGTGGTGCTCCTTTTTGTCACAAATGCCGTACACGGGACTCCCAGCAGCTATGAGAAGACAGCACAGATGGATGATCTGCCTGAGGAGCTGAGTTTACGTGACTATCTAAATCTCATGCGTCTGAGAGCTCTCCACGAGGAATTGGATGACGGCAGCGATGGTGAGGTGGAGAGTTTTGGAAAGCGGGCACGATTCCGTCCGCGGTTGGGAAAACGAAACTACAACTTCCGTGCGCGTCTTGGTGAGTTTTTATTAATTGAAAAGTGAAATTTAGATTCTCCACGATAACATTAAAGATGCTCTGCTTGGGATCCGCAGTGAGTTAGTGTTGTATCCTAGCAAAGGAGTCATAACCTGTATTAAGATTGGTCGGTCGTTAATCCAGGATTCCGTATGACCTCCGTTAGGGCATCCCAAGCCTAGATTGGGAGCGTGCGGCCCAGCAGCAAATGCATCAAAATGTGGTGAATTTGTAACACCCACAGTACCGCTTCCTAAGGCGTCTTACTGTTGCAAAGAGCTCTATGGAGATTTCCACAATAGCATGTACTTGAAGAAACGAACGGGAGCATTGTATGCCATATCAGTGTAGACCAGGATGGACCCCCTCGAAGGTACATCCTGCTGTTCGCAAATGACTTGCATCTGTGTAAAAGTTAAAGGGAGGATTCGAGGTAGAACAATGGCAAAAGGAGAGGTAGGAGAAAGGCAGAAAGTGCCAGCATATGGGCCAGATTCACTCTGTCGATCCTGACTAAAATCTTTCGTATTGTTGCAGGCCATTTTCAAGTAGACGGGGAGAAAGTTGAATAGTGCCATCCCCGACAAACACAACGGGTGATTAAAAGGTCTAAATGGAGTTATGAGACTTGATCAGGGGAACGGAGAGAAAGTTATATGGAAAATGGGATGTTTGAGATACGATGCCCTAAAAAAAGGCCGACTCCATTGGTGGTGGAAACCTCCATGAATGCTTCATAAAAAAGTTTAACTCAAAAAACGGACAGCAGATACATTATTTGAGGAAGAAACTGAAATGCATATAAAGGCCTGCCATAATAGCAGCCTCCCTTTGGCAGTTAAGGAGGAGGTTGGCGGCAAGATGGCTCTGGTGCAGGAAGGCAAGTAGACGGATTGCAGTTGTCTTGGAAAGAACTCGTCAATTTTTACGGATCTAGATAGACATTCCATGTGCCTCAGTAGTTAAGGTGAACTTCTGTCATCAAGGTCAATGCTTGTTAATAATCTTCAGGGTGGCGTTGCGTCAGACACTGCCGCGGCCTTCAATAAGGTTGCCTTCCAACAGTTCCTCAACCGATTTTGGGTCAAGGGCACTGCTTACCTCGCATACAACTTCTTTAATCAGTTAGGTGGACATGTAAATTTAAGGCAGTGTCTTTACCACTATCAGCGACGGGAATATCTCTGGCGTTGTCGGCCATTGTGTAAGCAAAAGCGGCAACAGGACCACATCGTGGTCACAATTCATAGTTTAGCGTTTCACTCCAGCGAATCTCTCCTATGAAGAAGAGAAAGCAACCTGCTACCATGACCCATCTTGGACATAAAAGAGCTTCCAGGCAGGGATCCTACACAGATTTGCATAAGCACATTTCAGTCAGTCATGGGTTTGGGATCCCTCAGATTGCCACTCTTGGGACTGCCTTGATCTCTGTTGGAACGTCGCGACTCGCGCGGTTCAAGATGTAAACAGCGTCAAGTGTCTTTTGATTCATTTACTTATTCAATCCGCCTTTTATCTTAAAAATATTAAATTATTCACCGCTTATATTCGACAACTTCGTTATAAAAATTAATTTTGAGCAAGGTAGGCATTTATGGAATCGCCATTTCGACAAACAAAAGCTTTGTATCATTGTCTTTTTGGTCTACTATTTCTTAGACAAAAGAATTAAACAATCGGAAGAAATGAAGCTTTAAGCTACCTTCTCTCGTAAGCTTAGTTTAAAATGGTCTTAAGTAAAAGGGTGTTCCATTTGCCTCTCGTGGAACATAGTTTCGCCCCATTAATTCGGGCACAAAATGTGTCAAAGGCGGGTTATTGCTCCTAGATGGCCGTATTTAACCATTGCATTGTTAAGTATTCCGAATGCGGAAATAATTTTGAAAAGGTATAATAAATGAGCCATCACATGAATGTGCCACCAAGCGGAACCCTTCCTAGCGTCGCCTACTCGATTCCATGATTTTATGGATACTACTACGGTGAAATGATGTTTGCTGGAGGATTTATTCAACTAAGTGAGATCGCTTCCCTCCAAGGGCTTCGGTTCGGTGCGAATTACCGACTATTGATTTTTTGCTCGGTGGAACAGGAGGCTGCTCACCGCGCCAGTGCAGCACCTTGAAGCCTGAAGGGAAGCGCAAAACCGTGGAGGATTAGCTCACTGTTGTGCGCAAAAGAGCCGGGAGACTCGAGGTGGGGTCAGGAGGCTCTCCCGTAGAGAGCGAAAGACCAAATGGCAGTTTACTGCCCTCTTTTAGATCCAGTAAAATCGTGTCTATTTTATGCATTTATGTGAGATTATAGCAACTCTCTCACCCACAGATTGGTTTACTTCCAAAATCCCCTCCAAAATATTTTTGTAGATGGCTATCAATCGGATTGTGTGTTCTTTTCTTGTGGCTCGTCTTTCGCAATTCATTCTCCTGTATTCGACTAACTTAATGAAAAAATGTTCGTGCACTTTTTATAAAATCAGATTTACTTTTAATTGCGCGATTAATAGTCCACTTTTGTGGCATTTTAATCCAGTTTAAGTGATCCATTTCATTAACAGTCCAGACATTTAATCAGCTCAAAGTATCCTTTTAATCAACCGACGAAATATAGCACCTGAAGTTGTCGCCTCTTTTTCTAGTTCAAATTTTTGCTAAATACGAGGATTCGGCATTACATAGGAATGTCACTGACTACTGAAAGTGGACAATTTAAAGTGCTCAACTGTGGCATAATCAAGCACATTGAAAGGTTTCCGTGAGCCTGTTTCTTCGGACGTAGCTCTGTTACGGAGTTACCTTGAAGATGCCTAATTACGAAAGCAAAAGGTTTTTTTATCTCAGAACTATAGTCTCCTAGACTTCTCTGAAGACTAAAGGAGATAAAATACTAGGGCAGAATATGTATTATTGGCGCACAGAGGGGCTGGGGTGCCTACTGTCATGGTATGGAGGCCAAGCCGCCCAGTGAAAGAACAAGCGCGGAGCCTCCTGTGCCTGCTACTTCTCGATGACGTTGAGTGCAAAGAAATAACAAATCTTATTCTATTTATTGTTTAACAGGGATGCTAAACGCTTATTCTACTGCTTTAGGTTAGCATAAAAGCATACTGGATTGGACTAGACTGAACCGTTCGCCGTTTTGTAGACTCCCCCGCCTATCAACATGTAATACTACTGAGATGTCCTTTGTGAGGCAAATAAACCACTTCCTTAATAAATGTGTAATCAAGTTCCATGCTTTTTTCAGGTTCCTGAGACTGAAGTTTTGATATGAATCTGTGTTAGATGCTCCTTTTTTTCACGTTGCAACTCGAAGTAGCTAACTAATCCAACGCTGAAGTAAGTAGTTTCAAGGGCGCAGCCATCAAAATAAAACACTTTAGACGTCAGTTGGCACTTAAGTTCCCGAATTCGGGCTGAAAATCGACTGTAGGGTAGATAGTGGAATAATGACAAAATTGACTGAAACGTCACCATGCCAAAATGACAAAGTAAATCTGTAGGGATTGAGTAGGTTGTGTAGGTAAACATGTGTAGTCCTCCCTTCTCCTTCAGCATCAATCCCACTCAGTCCTCTGTAGTGGTTGTTAAAAAGTAGTCGGTCCCCTTAAAAATCTCTCACGAACCGAGAAAGAAAGTCCTATACTGATCCTTTCTAAGGAAGAAAAGACAATTCATCCCTCTGTCAGTTATGCATCTCATCGATGCCGACAGATCGCCCGCTTATGCAAATGTAATTCACAAGCGGACAATTGGTTGTTGAAGCGTTTGTTCAAGATGGTTTCATGAGGCTAATGTTCAACATCCATTCTTCGTTGGCACCGTATCCTCGTTTCAAGGCTACCTAGACGTCTGGGCCACCCACAGTTTTTCATACCATGGAAGGTGGTGCTTTTACCCAGGCAATTAACACCCTAGGTCAAGGTTGCAGTCAGCTTGTGTGTACTTGGTGGTGGGATTGAAGGAGAGGAGCTAGGAGGGTTATGGCTGAAAGCATAAGGTGGGTTGCTTTTCTCTGCATCTTACACTTTTGACATTGTAGCTGTCACTAATACTGATGATTTAGCCTGTCTCCGTCTTCTGAAGGGTCAACATAATTTAGGTACTTCTGGCAAAAGCAACAACAGTTCTGACAAAGTGACGGATTGCAGTCATGAAAATGATGTCAATTTCCTCTTAATATGTAAAAATCATTGATGACGGATCCAATTTTGTAAATATGAAGAACCTACACCTCCCAAGTCCTTCCTGATGTCTTGATAAGCCAAGGCGGTATGGTGGAGCACTCATCAAACATAAAATGAAACTGAGAAGATATTCAACAGTGACGCCACCGGATCTGGAGTTCCATCCTGTTTGCAAAATGTACTGGGGGGAGGGGGAATATGCTAGGCATCTCGTATATCCATCGCCAGTCGTACGAACACTGGCCTGAAAGCAGCATCATATAACAAAGGACGGTGGTTAACATGATTCCTTTTTGACATTTTGATTTCACTTCAGTGCTGCCCAGCCACATCTCTCAGGGTTCTATCCGACTAGTAGAGAAGTGGTGGAGGTGCTGCGTGTTCACGCAATCGACATCTCCATTCGGGTACCGTAGACAGCTACGTAACAAACCTTTCCAGATGACTTACGGCTAGTGTCACTTCAGTTATTAATAGCATTCTTGCAGAATACAGGACTAAGGCAATTGCCGAAGGTGGACACCATATCTAACCCTTCTGTTTGGGGATCGTAGCCTACACCCTTCTTCCCTCACGTTAAGGTTTAGCATTCAAGAATCGAAATCGGCGTGGTTAGCCTCTACAATCGAGTTCGTTTTCCACTGTCATCAATGTAGCCACCAGTTTGGCCAACAGATAAATTAGTATGGGATTACAGCAGTCTCTGCAGACAATTCATGATTATTCACAAAGCCAATTACTTGGGATGATGTTGCAACCGTTTTAAACAAATCCGCTTCTGACACAAGACTCTTAACTCTAACACTGTCAGTAAATCATATCTAATGGGCAGAACTTACTTCTCCAGTAGTAGTAGTAAGGCGCCTTCCCCCTTTGCTTCGTCCACTGGCCAGGATAAGTTAGCTGTAATGCCTGTTGAGATGGCAACTTTTGGCGCATAATTCGCAGCTACTTGATTTGGCATCCAACTTTTCTGGAAGCTTGCTAAAATATTGGAGGACTTCATGGAATGAATCCAGTGTAGCGCCTCGAGTCTACTCCCAAGACGAAAGGAGACGTAATAGTTGGGCAGAAAGTAATCTACCGACATACAGAAGGGCTGGAGGAGGTCCGCTGGCACGGCCCTGAAGCCATGCCGTCGAATGGAAGTACAATGGTGGAGCAAAGAGACAAACCACTTGTCTCTTGTGAGAGTGGAGAACTTTAGGTGGATGCTTTGATTTCCAACAAGGTTTTACACTTATTCTGCCCTCAAAATGTCAGAAAATAAGCGATATTTGAGCCCGATTTGGTGAATTTGAAAAATGCCTGACCCAATGAAGTAGATTATCTTCAACATAAATAAGGGACATTCAAAAATTACTCTGAAATTACCAAAATACGGGGACCTCGTGACTCGCCACACCAATGCATGCATGAGGCGGTTGGGAATTATCGAAAGAAAAAAACAGAGATTATGGGTGGCCAAGTAAACTCACTTTCACGGATCCATTCTATTAAGATAAAACACTAATGAAAACAAATTTCAGCTACCATAGCAACAAATAAATCCACGGGATACACTTTTTGCCGTATAAATAGAGGCAGAAGTTGGGGGGAAACCCAAATGCGCTTCAACCATGGAAGCAGAGTCGAAGTAAATTTTATGGCCCTACAGTTTAGGCACCCAGAATCACTGGAAGAAGTTGGTTGGACAAGAACAGGCCTCATCGGGTAAGGATAAATAAGAGGGTACAGAGGTGTCAGGATTGCCGCATTCAGGGTATGCTTCCTCCTCCGATCCGTCAGGAGATTCGTACCCACTGATTACCACTTCCATCTCTACAGAAGTACGCCTTCACAGTGACTTTACCATATTTTGAGGCAAGAATTAGTAAAATTTTGTAAAAAAGTGGAGAAAGCGGTGGAATACTCAGGAAACCGGATAATCGGAGGCTTATTGCTACTGATAGCATACCAATTTCGGATCACGAAATTCGCTTCCTATCCCTCCAAAATTCAAGAGAAGCTTTCCATCTGGCAATTTTCAATGATTCTTCTGCAACACTCTTCGTTTTGGTTGCGCGGTCACTTGAAGTCTACCGAGTGGCGTGGCCAACACATTATTTCCCCTTTTTCCAATGCAGTTTTCAAACCGAACAAACGCCAGATCCAGTGGGATTGCAGAGCTGGATCAGCGCCATTGTAGTCAAACATCTTCTCAGTTTCACGCAACTTCGATGGCTGGAGTGGTTGGCTCGTGGGTGTTCTCTCCTATATTATCGGTTACGATTTGATGGCCGACGGGGGAGGTCAACCAAGGAAACACCGAGGATGATGCTGAAAAGGAAGGAGGGGCTGTGCAATACTTTACTTGTTCATTTAACTCCCCATTTCGATTACGTGGGCACTAATGGCTCCGCCAGGCGGCATAGCCTAGCAGAGCCATGTCAGTAACCCTTCACCTCTCCTCTACCCAGTCCTTCTGTACGTCAAAAATACCCCTTCCGCCCAAGTATTATGTCTTCTTTCGACTGCAGAAAAGACTCGAAGCTCTACAGTTTGTCATCTCGAATGTAATAAAAGCAGTGGGAAATGCGGAGATTGGGGAGGTAAATTGTGGTAGGTTTGTCAGAACCAATTAAACACATATGTCGCCAGCAGTAATGGAAATGGTAAAGAGACCGCACTAATGCATCCCATGACATTAAGGTAGAAAGATGGCGGTATTTTTATAGAGGAGAATTAGTGCTCCAAGAGAGGCTAATTTGGTTTAAAGAAAGCCCTCTGCTTTCGTTTCCATTGGCTAGGCGATCATTTATCTTGAGGCCGCATCTAACTACCCCCAACATTAAAGTGGGATAAAATTTATCAAATGAAATATTACTTCAGATGTTTAATCAGTATCAGAGCACCTTACTTACAAAAGCTGAATGTGATTTATTTCAATCTGCAATTCACTTATTTTTGTAGATAACTGGAAGTTGGGAAGGTGGAAGGGAAACGTTGGATGGAAATTTGACGGAATTTTTGCAAATTTTCAAAGACCATGCATTCCTTAATAATTTGACTATAAGGTGAAAAAAATGAAGCCTCTTATCTCCAGAATTTTCACTTTATAGTCGGTAACAAATAAAATTCTTACTTGTGAAATGAGGTATTGATGGGAGCTTGTCGCAGCCAAATGCTTAATCAAAATTTCTGGACTATCCAGACATCACCTCCAAAACCGACTGCGAATTGCACTTCCTCCTTTATTTTCTGGGGAAACAAAACTGAATAATTTGATTCTGAAAAAGTACTTGAAGGTATAGTGCCCCGAGTCTCCCTTGAGGTCAGAATATGTGCTATCAACGCATAGAAGCCACGCCACCCAGTAGACGTACAATCACGAAGCCTTCAGTATCTGCGAGATCAAATATTTAAACAAATAAAGTATTACATAGCCCCTTTCTCCTCCTTTGAGCATTGTCCTCAACGCTCCTCCTGGTCGACTTCTCGCCTCGGCCAGCACAATGTAGTCGGTGCTGCGGGAAGGAAATCTTCCACGAACCAACCGCTCCATTCATCGAATGTGCACACAAATGAAAAGTATTTGACTGCAACGTCACTGACGCCTCCTGGCAATTCCACCGGATGTGGCGCTTCGTCCTGAATGGGAGCTGTATTGGCGAAGGGGGAATGCACTGGCCATCCCGTATATCCATCGCTAGTCGCTGGAACACCGGCCTAAAAGTAGAGGCATGTGCCCAAGAACATGGTTCCGTGGAAGATAAAGTTTGGCATTGGTTCCTTTTTGACACATTGTTCCCGCTTCAGTACTAAACAGCCTTATATATCCATTTGAGTTCTCTCCAACTATTAGAGAGGTAAAGGAGGTTCTGCATGTTCACTTCATTGACAGCTCTGTAGCAAACTTTCCAGACGGTTCACGGTCGTGTCCATTGTAGCTTCACCTGTTGCAATCACTTCCTCTGAAAGGGACTGGGGTGGTTGCTGAAGGTGGATGACATTTTTAATTTTTCTGTTAGGGGTCGTCACGGAATCTCCTATCCGCTGTGCACAACCTCCTTCCATCACATTAAGGCTTAACACTTACCAATGGAAAATAAGATAGCTGTTCTTTAGGATCAGGTTCGCTTTCCGCTGCCATCAATGCAGTGTCCCAAGTCTTTCCTGACGATGGAACAAGTCATGATGCTAGGAGAGAACATTCTTACTTGGGTCAAGCAATATGCCAGACTCTTTCTTAACTGCCTTCATGCAGAGCAAAAGATAAAAAAGTGACTGTCAGTTATGGACGAGGCTTCAAGAACTCTTCTGCTCCACGACGGATGCCTCTCGCCTGTGACGCGGAGATTCGGTGCTTAGCCAAAGGCGTGAGAATGGTTCTCCCTTCCGGATCGGGCTTGTTTGTCACCGACACCACTGTATCAAGCTGAGCGTTTTCATCCAACTTCATCGTCTTATATTTCCTTTTAGTCAAAGAAGCTCCACTGGAAGGTTGCACCTAAAGAATGAGCGATGAAAACTGTGCTTTCAAACCTTTCTGCAACGACACCTTCCGCACTAAAATCTTGTTTTCCACTTTGAAACAAACGGAGAAACTTGGCTCACCTGAAACTGCTCTGACAAGAGTTTGATTGTAATGCTCTGACTGTTTGTTCAACTCTTCGCAAGCACTGAAGGCTCCGCCTTTACACCTCTACTGTGCGGCAGTCTTCGGGCCATGCTGGTCGTCCCCCTCCCCAGCCCTTCTGTACGTCGACAATACATACTTTGCCCAAGTATTACATCTTCTCTCATCTTCAGCGAAGTCTTAGGGCCCTACATCTGACAGCCGATGTAGGAGGTTGAACAAAGGGAGCACTCGGGACGACGTCCAAAGGAGTAGAGAGCCTATGTTGTACTCTGCTTGCTTAAACCTCAGCTTTAGTAACAAGCCACTCAGGTCTTCGCTATTGTACCTCCGCCGGGCGGTCTGGCCTCCGAGACAGGGCAGCAGATCTTAAGGGCTTCCATACGTTGACCATACATATCCTGTTCGGGTATTATGCCTACTTTCTTCTTCAGGGAAGTCTTGAGGCGCTAGGCAACTAACAAATATTCGCCTATTTGTACAAATTTTACGATGGGATTAGACAAAGAATCTATTGCTTCATTTGAGGATAGGGAAAATTGACACGTGTAAAGATAAAGGCAACCAAAATGGTAACGTGGCGTCAGTCCCGAGACCAGTCTGCAAAAAGTGATATGTCAGGCAAATGACAGGTTAAAATGCAAGCTTCAAATCGTAGTGGTGTATATGAGGCACGACTTTACCCAAAAGTAATTAGCAAAAATCACAAACAAATGTAATCGGAGCGCCTAGGCTCGAAGCAGTAAGGAGATTTGTCGCCATGACTCCGGGAAGCTCGTCTTTCGATCAATGCAACACACCAGCCTGCCCTGGAGTCATGTCGGCGGCCTGGAAGGGGATTGGTTAGCAACGTATAGAAGGGCTGATGGTCCATGGGCATGATCCTCTAGCCGTGCTGCCAAACAGAAATGCAAACCTCGAGGCCTGAAAAGTCTGTATGATGAGATGTATAATGCAACGAAGTCCAGGATTGAAAAAGATGAAGAGGAATCTTTGTACTACAGATTAGGGGTTGCGCATACTCAATAGAATTCTCAAACAGGGCGAAACTTCAGATTCAGTGGAACTACCAGGAGGTATGAGTGACATTGCAGTTGCACGTAAATTCGATGACAAGTGCGGTCGGACCGTGGGTAGTTTCTCTCTTACAGCACCGACTACGTTGCTGCGGCTGACCAAGAGAGCACCGAGGACAACGCCCAAATGAACTGGACAACATAATCCATGGACTACGTCAGTGATCTCCCAGTCCTTCCATACGAAGACTTCTGGAAAGACTCGGGGGCTTTAATTACATCAGTTTAGATAGATTTGCCAAAAATATGCGTAAGGTAAATTCAGTTCCCTTTACACTCTGGTGGAGTTCACCAGAGCTATTAAAATAATCAAATCGTTTTTGCAGTTCTGTACTTTTTTAAAAAGTGACCAGATAAGTCTAGATTCCACCAGGATCTAATCTCCTGTAAATAACGTGGCGTGTGCCTCAGAGAAAGGCCTCATGGAGAGGCCTCAGGGGTGTGTGGAGGAAGATGAGTGTCCTTTGAGCTACTCAACGCTATGTTTGTACGTCCAACACTGGAGAGAAATACGAAGGCCACTTACCAATACAAATTCACGATGCGTTTTTATCACATGGGTGGAAAAAAAAGGAAAACAAGGCAACAGTTTTTGAGCTTACTGTCTATCACCCCTTAATGCATGTTGCATTTCACAGCGCTACTCCAGCACTAGCGGAGACTACTGGTGGCGCCCGAGTCCCCAATTACTTTATGAAGGAGGCGCACATGACTTTTTATGATGCTTAATGGGTCCCCACAGAGATGGTACAGTAATGGTACCCGCCTTTGAACAATCCATCACCGGAATGGCATCCTAAGAGGCACTTCTTCTGGGTGGGTACTACTACACCCTCCTTAAATGTCATAGCAATTTGGCTCGAGACTTCTCCCACCTGACATTACCGCTCTGATTGGTTGGTTGAAAAAAGGTGTGACCATGGGGTCATGCCACACCTTACAACGATGAAGTTATTCGAATTAAACAGCCTTAATCACTACAATGTGAAGGTATTGAAGTCAACGAATTCATTATGCATTGAAACGTGGCAAATAGGAATGACAGGTGCTGACACTAGCACTTTCTTCAAGTTAGTAGTATCTCTGTCTGGTCACAGTAGCAACTACAACTTTATCACCTGAGACAAATGAACTGGTAGTATGGGATATACAATCGTTGACAAAGTGACAAGACAACTATTTGAGTCGGTTGCAAATCTAATTAGACTAGAATCACGTCAATCCACGACATTTCATACTCATACAAACTGCCTTGCGCATAGCAGTGAAGTGGATCCATCCAATACAGGCGCGAATGCTGAGTGGATCAAAAAAAACCCGTTTGATAGCAAAGCAGGCACAGCGTTGGAACATATCAATTGACTAAAAGTTTTTCCAATCTTCCTTGAGGGGTTAACTTTTATTGCCTTCCTGACCCTAAAGGACTTTCAACGAACACCGCAAAAAAAAAGCTTTCCCCAATCCAAGGTCAACAAAGCCGGCCGCGGTTTTGCCAGTGATAAAATGTTTCTTTGAGGAAGAGACTAACATTCTGCCTGGTTGTCTTGAACAAGGTCCTCCTCGGTGGTGGATAATGTCCGAAAGGCTTGACTGTCGCGCGTACTAATGTAAGTAGACTTAAGTTCCCTCTCCAGTCAAATTCACGGTTGATTTAATTGACATTCAATTGGACTTCGGCATTTGTCCATGCTTTACGAGGTCTGCTGTAGTGTCCACGGCTGAGTAGCCACTCTGTTAGTCATCCATGACTCTCGGACTTTAACATTCTCCGGTTACACTCACTTCCCCATCTACACTAAACAGTGGCTACGGAGAAGGTAGTGAAGGGGGTTCAGCTACTGCAGCGCTTGTGCTTAACTCCTCTAGAATAGTTATGCCGTGACTACCTCATAGCTAAACACACATTCCGCATCCATGGGTGGAGTATGTGCAAAACAGGCACTGATGTCGAAGCAACGAGAAGTGGGTGGGGCTGTTCATGAAGAAATGGCAGTCGTTTGAGCTTCAGCAGGCTGTGGTCACTACAGCAATAAAATGAGCGTTACAGTGCCTTCCCATCAGCATCCTAAATAGGATACTGCTAGATAGGATGGCACTACTGACAACTGAAAGTAGCCAAGTTTTGGTCACCGTGTGTGAGCTAGTCAGGCTCTCAGCGTAAATTTCGTTGATACTTTGGGCTGGTACAGAAGCAGGGCGCTGTTAATAACGAAGTGCTATCCCATTACAATATGAACTTAAACATAACAAGCTTGTGTGTATTCAATCCAAAAAACGTCCATAAACTATAATCAAGTGTGACTATCACCCTTGAAAGTGATAAGGTATTAACAACACAAAGTGATGCGCTTACACAAATAGCATTCAAAGCCTAGTGGAATCATATGATTGAAGAAAGAATTATAGTGACAATGCTGGATGGCTGAAATTACCAGATATGGGATTTAAAGAAGCATCAAAATCAAAAAACCACATTTTAAAAGAAAACCATATTTTTGCATTTGTGCTCTGGTGATTCAAACACTTTCGGAACATGAAACGACCTCTAAGGAATTTGGTTGCGGAAAAGGCAAGTATTTGCAAGTGAAATTGTAGCATACAAAGACTGCCTAGTCCGACGACTTGCCACCTTCAAGGCACTTGGTTTTAAACGCCGCCTTCATCTCCAGCCGCCTTTTCGCTCGAGAGAATCGGTTATTCTCCCTTGCCTGCGCCTCCCTGCGCCGTACCGCGCTTGCACTGCTCTCACCATTAAGAATCTCGTCCAGCCGCTCCTTTAGCCTCCTTCGGGCGATCAGTCGATTCACCTGTAGATCCCTACTATCCTGTGTGGAACCAAACATCAATGCAGCACTTTGTCAAAACGTGATTCCCCAATGGGTAAAATGGGAGTCACTCACCTGACACTTGACGTAGATGCCCGTAGGAAGGTGTTTGAGACGAACACAATTGGCAGTCTTGTTGATGGCTTGGCCGCCGGGACCCCAGCCATGAATAAAAGTCTCCTCCAAGTCCAAATCGTTCAATACGATGGACGAAGTCTCCTTATTACTACAACGTCCTGTAGACGTGTGAAAAGGAGCCGCAAAATGTAATTGTAATCGAGTGGCAGACAGAATTATTCTCCGCACCAATAGACACGACATTTCTAATTTAAAACACAAGAGTTAGAAGCTTAAAGAAGGGCATGCCAGCTTGGCAACTAATTGCTAGACTGGGAAAATGTAAACAACACGACACGACGAAAGATTTTAAAAGCAAAACGGCGCCATTATCCTTTTGAAACGACCAATTTAAGATTTTCAGCAACTGCTGATATCTTGTGAACACGTTTGGGACTGGCAGAAATAATACTGCACATCTAAATTAGATCAGCACCCCCCAACATTAACGTCGACAAATGTCAGACGCGCAATTTATAGACACAACTGTTCCAATCTAATAATGTAGAATTCATTAAGAGTAGCGCGCATTTTTGCACCATACAACAAGTTGGACTATTCAAAATAAGGTGATAATCAAGGGACATACGTGCATGGCCATCGACTTTACATCCAAAATTCTTGATTTCCATCATTAATAATGACTGGTCACTCTATGTCACGGACCTTAAACAGACAGCTTGGAACGTTCAGAAAATGAATGGACTTTACTAAACACAGTATGGTTCAGTGAATTTACACCAACTAGTTATAAAATACATGGCCGAAATTATTTGCTAAACACTCATATAACTTAATTGCTCGCGACCGCAGGACTCATCGATAGTAAGTATTGAATGTTTCTGTGTAGCCTAAAACTTAAGAGGCATTGCATTCCATTAAAAACGGTTTCAAAAATAGCCGAACCAGTAATAGAAGAGAACCCACGTTACACACATCTTTATATCTCGCGGATCTGCAAAAATAAGTAAGGATGTTTTGCAAAAATCATCATTAGTTCTGCCCAGAAAATGACAAAAATGGTAACGTTAGATAGTGATTTTAAATAAAGTGAATTTTTTTGATAAGGTGAACTTTTGCATAGCTATTCCAGTATTCTAAATTCTCTCCGCGGGACAAACTAAGAGGCCAGTCTCAAACAAAGCACTAAATGTGTAGACAGCCAAATGTATTTAAATACTAGACCTCAATAATACATAAATGAGAGGGAATATAGTATTACCGTAATATGCGATTATGCTCCTAGTCATTTGAATCGGCATTATTTTCAATAAACCCATTTTAATAGAATGTTGGAAAATAAAGCTCAATAAAATTTTTTACTTGTTTGCTAAACGAAGTGGCACTGAAAGTGTTTCGTCACTC